TGTGAGAAACGGAAATTTATCTGAATGGTTTTATAAGCTGCATTCGGGAAAGTAAATAAATTTTTGAATTAAAAGCATCAAAACTTGCCTTCTGATGTTCAATTTGCAACTCCCCCACCCCCCGATCTTCAAAAATATACCCCTGTTTCCTTACCTTAGCTGGAGGAGGATAGTATCTGAGTAAAACTGTTCTCTGATTTTGTCCAGGTTTAGATACAGCAGTCTTCTTCCAGTGTTTCATTATGTGGGAGAAGGAGAGCTTGAGGTGCGCGTCAACACCCTTCAGCTGCAAGTATAATAACGATCAAGCGAGGAATAATATGTAAATATGAACATAACTTCAGATATCTCATCCATCTCATGTTGCCGAAGAGTGTGCAAAACACTTAACAATTTGTACAGCAATAAAATGAAAAAATAATCTGTGTTTTTCAGATATAGCTTCAGATGACCAATATTTAATTGAAGTATTAGGATTTTATCTTGTTACGCTAGATTTTCTGAAGATAGGCAAATTGTAACACCAAATCTAGCACTGGGTTTGGATACCTGCCTGCCTGCCAACCAACCAAACAACCACCCAATCAACCACCCGCCAGACCACCCGGCCGGCCAGCCAGCCACCCATCCACGCAACCAACCAGCCAGCCACCCACCCGCCTGACCAACCAACAAACCTGGAAGTATTTAGTATTGAAGTAGACTAGTGTGTTGAGAAGAACGTGAGGTGAGTGTGCACCGAGCTGCTTGGATTCCCACAGATGTTCTTCCTAAATATTAAAAACTTTGAAAAAAAGTTTATTTATTTTTAACATTCTCTTTGTATGTACATGGCGGAGGCTCACTCAATATTAAATCCAAATCAAATTCCTTTCCCGATCCCGATCCCATCCAATTTGAGCCATATTACCATTCAATTTCTCCATGTCCATTGATAAAAGTGGTAATAGTTTTTATGAATTTTTTGTGTACTTTATCATCAGTGCTAAGGATCCATTCAATTTTGATGCGGATCCGGATCCTGGATCCGCACTGGAAAAAATTGGATCCGGATCCAAATCCGATCCGGATCCGGGTCATTTCTTTAAGATTTACTGAATTTCTTTAACAAAAAATAATTTTCAAATTTTTAGTTTTATTTTTTTTCGCTTAATTTTATCCTAAAACTTGATGACCCATTCAGAAATGAGGAAATATTTATAATCTCTCTTTTTTTCAAAAGTTCAGATTTCGGGGTTAGGAGTTAAAAATTAAAATTAAAAAAATCCGGATCGTGAATATCATAATAAACGTGCTCTAAAGTAATCATAATGCTATAAAGTTTAATTAGGTGTACATTATAGGACGTGTGCTAAAAAGTTTTGATTGGTACCCGGATTTTCTCCATTTTTTTTTTGGATATTTCCAAAATATGTTTTTCAATTGAAATGAAAATAAAATTGAAATCAACTTTATATTTTGACTCCTGCTTTGTTTTAAAGCTTATTTGATCTAGAAATAGCCATATAAGACTAGTACACAAACGTTTCATAAAATTACCTAGAACACTATTATTTTGGCACGACGTGCTAAACAGTTTATGGACTTAAATTTTTTCTATATCTCAAAGGTTCAATCCTTTTTAGATTTAATTTTGTCCAGAGCTGTAGCGAGGAACAAAATATAAGAGAAAGAGAAAATTTCTGTCAAAAACTTTAAACACTGCGCACCAAAATAACAGTGTTATAAATAGTTATTAAAACAATTGAATTCATGAGAAAAAAATGAATAAATCACCTCTATTCTGGTAACAAAGTATCCAAGCTCGTTCATTGGAAGTTTAAACTCTTTCACAACCTAAACATTTGTCATTTTATTTTAATATCAATCATGCTATTATTTAGGGTGTGACAGGGCTGTCGTGTGCATATACTTATTTGGCTTGTCTGTTAGTTTAGTTTTGGTATCCAATAACCGACAATATGACCAAACTGAACAGGTCCAATGCCCGGTCAAGGAAATTATTCTATTTTATTTTTTTCTTTAAAAATCCCCCCTTAAAACAGAAAAAATAGTCATTTAAATGATTAAATTGTTTCAAAAAGAGCTCGCGAAGCGCCCAGGGAGTCCGTAAAATAAAACAACTTTATATCCCTGCAAACATTATTTACCTCGTGCAGTGCAGTTGTGAATCCGTCGAAGTATGCATCTGTAAAAACGTTGTCTATTCGTCCATTCTCAAACAGGAACTCCTTAACAAAATCAAGTCAAGTGTAATGTAGTAAGTTTATTTTTAATATATTATTAAGTTAAACCCCCCCCCCCCTTTACGGTCGTTAAGGAGGGGGTGAGTTAATTAGTTAGTCAATTTGAATAAACGAAAATCAAAATCAGAGTTTTAGAAAACACTTTGCTTTAAATTTTTTTATGTATTTTTTGGAAACGCACAAGCGCAAGGAAATGACACACATTATCCAATTTTTTTTCTAATGTCATTTTCATGCGTTTTTCCGCGGCGCAAGAACGCACGTTTTTGCAAAATAAATTGATATTTTTCAATTGAAAACACACATAAAGAAAAGATAACGCACAAACGCACGGATATATCGACATATAACCCAAATTTTGATTTTGGGGCAGTTTACACCAATACAGCTTGACATGCACCATTTAGCTAGAAAAAGGTTAGCATATGTTGCCAGTCGCTAGCTAAAAAGAAAACATCTAAAAGTGACTGAAATGTTAGCATGCCATTGAAAAGTGAGCATGTTAGAAAAGTTATTTGAAAAGGCAGCATTTTTAAAACGTAACATAAATGGCTGCATGCTGAAGGATCAGGTTGCTATATAAGTATGCTTGAAGATCCAGAATGTTGTAGAGGTATGCTAAAAAGGACAGGCCGGGTGCAGAATTGATTTGAAAGTAAGCAGCATGATTAAGCGTGCTACAAGAGTAGGCTGATCGGTCAGCAACCAGCCTACTGAAAAAGTAGGCTGGCAATTTAGCATGCTGCATGATTAGGCGGAGGCGTTCATCATGCTGAAAGGCCTTCATCTTCTTTTGCTTCTGAAATAGGCTGACAGGTAAGGTAAGAATGTGGGAAGGCTCGCTGGCTATAAGACATATTACTGGGCGTCTGACATACTTAGGGAATAGAATTTTAATTTTCATTTTAACATTTCATTGTTGAACTTGTCCAGGTTTATGGGCCTAGACATGATAATTAGTAGAAGTTAAACAATAGTCCTAGAAACTTTAAATATTCTCTTTTCCGCTCCTAGACTCAGAAAATTTATAAACCCATGTTTTTTTAAATGTTTTTATGCATCAATTCTATCTTTATTTTTTTCTTTTGTAGTTCTCATCCTACTTATTTGATGGTCTTTAATAACTAAAAAAAAACACAAAATAAACATAGAAACTTATCTGACCTAAATGTATATAATTTTAGAGCACTTTTTTATTTATTTAATAAAATTCATTCAATGCAATAAAATCTAAATGACCAGGCTTTTAGGGCGCTTCGCGCCCATCTTCTATTTCAACTTTTAACTGTGGCTTTATCTCTAAGCATCTTCTCTTTGTACAGTATAAAACAAAAACAAAAAAAGTTTTCGGAAATCATAATATTTTTTCGCGCATTTTCTAAATTTTACTAAAATAAAAACTTTTAAACACAATTTTTTTAAATTTTAATCATTCATAAACCTTCCCTGGGGTCACGTGACACGGTCAACTAGAGGTCCTTGGTTAAAAATCTAGAGAGTCTTAACTTAACTTAACTTAACTTAACCCATTATCAAACATTAAATGTAGATATTTAGTATTTGATATTTTATACTTTTTTGTTGGTCTATATATTTTGAATATTTAAGTATATAAGGTTGTTTACGCTTTTATTGACGTATTTTGAAGGAGAGATCAAAATATGGCTTAAAGGAATACCGATACAGACAGGATGCACTTCGTTTTGTTAGTTTTACGTTGTGATGTCTCACACAAAATTTGGGCCTGATCGATTCAGCCGTTTTGACGTTTATTGGATACGAACGAACAGTCAAACAAATAAACAGACAGACAAGCTAAATTTATATATAGAAAAAGAAAAATAAAGTTTGCTAATTTTACACTTAATCACTATTTCATTCATCCAAATGCTAACTCTAAATAACATAAAAGGTGGTAAAGTTAACTAATGAATTTTTAATTTTTTTTTATTTCTAGTAGCTTTTACTGTGATACTTTGCTACCGGACCTCATAGACATGCATGTAGTAAAGGCCTCGTCGGTATCTGTCTTACAAAATACAACTCAATCTAGAACTCCAGGTTCCTCAATAATACTTTAGGCAATATCAATCCGGATACAACTCTATCTATTCTCAGGTATATGTCTCACACGATACGACTCGGTATCTGTCTTACAAAATACAACTCAATCTAGAACTCCTGGTTCCTTAATAATATTTTAGTCAATATCAAACGGGATACAACTCTATCTGCATTCTCAGGTATATGTCTTACAAGATACAACTCAATCTAGAACTCCTGGTTCCTTAATAATATTTTAGTCAATATCAAACGTGACAGAACTCTATCTGTTTTCTCAGGTATCTGTCTTATAAGATACAACTCAATCTAGAACTCCTGGTTCCTTAATAATATTTTAGTCAATATCAAACGTGACAGAACTCTATCTGTTTTCTCAGGTATCTGTCTTATAAGATACAACTCAATTTAGAACTCCAGGTTCCTCAATATTTTAATCAACATCAATCCGGATAAGACCCTATCTGTATTCTTAGGAATCTGTCTTTTAAGATACGTAATACCATAGTTTGTAATCAATCCTGATAGAAGAAATATAATTACTCTTACACTGTAATCAAGCGGAGTGTTATTCCAACTAAGGTATATTTTGAGTCTTAATATTCAGGTTAAATTGATGAATGTAATTTAGCTAAATCGTAACACAAGTTCTATGTAGATGGTTACAAATGCAGTTAATTAATAATGAGCGTAGTAAGTTTACAGATAATGTACAACGTAGGATACTATACTATACTATACAGGTATGTTCAGGTTTACTACGATATTTACTACATGCAGATAGTATGTATAGAAGCGTTCGTCAGTACAGGGTGTTCCAATAAACATTGAAATTGAGTGACGATTTCGATATCGTCTTTTTAAAGTAATTCTTTGATTTAGTATAGTGATACTTTCTGAGAAAGCTTAAGCTTTTAAGATTTTGTCTTGTACGTCTTCCCTGTTCAATTGACATTATAGACACATCTTTACAGTCTTTTATTGTTTCTTAAAATAAACTCTAGCAGACATAACAATAGTATTGCTTTTAAAATCAGGTATCACAATGCTAATTCTTAACATAGACGATCTCAAATTCGTCACTGAACTCCCATGTTTATTGGGACACCCTGTACAATCAGTGAGAAACTGTGGTTCCACCGCATTTTTAAGGTCTGCGGAATAATTTCTATTGCCTATAAAATTCATAATCAATCATCACTGCATACAACCTTGTCATTTCTCGCTAACACACCCTTTAATGTTTCTTTAAACATAATCTTAATTAACCCTTTAAGCTAAAAATATTCTTTCTTTATCTGAGTTTAGAATTTTCTGCTCTTTATCAGGTTGACAGGGTATTCTAGTAGGGTGTAGGGTTCCACCTAGCTTTTTACTCAGTATTAATGAGATTTGTCGATAAACATCTTTGTGTCTAATGTCTGCTATTCTAATTGTCCTCTATTACAGAAATATTTTTGTAGTACGAACATTTTTCAAAATATTACTAAATATAATAAATCATAAAATCTTTTTTTGTTGTTGATATGATGAGGGGAACATTTAATAATCTCCTTCAAAAAGAAGTTAATTTATCTAAAACCAAAAATAATATATAAGAATAAAAAACGTATTCAACTTTAAATCTTCTCACGGTGGACCAGGGTCGATTTATATTCAAACTGGACAGACCCTTTGTACCGGCTTTAGTGACTCACGGCAAGTACCGCCCCGTCCATATTCTATGTCAGACCAACTTTGATGGCGCGGCCAGACTTTTTACAGTACCTGGCCTATCATAGGCCTTTTTTACCTACCCTACTAGCAACGCACCTCTGCCCCTTTAGTCAGAGTAAATTCAACATATATGAAGCATAAAGTCTGACCGCGCGTCAACCTTGTTGCACCGGCTAGTCTTGTTGATTGCCTGCTTTTTTAACCCCAATGTTCGTACGGCAAAGTACAAACTGGGACCGGAGAGGTTGACCCGGCTCGGAAATTTAAATGTACTACGGCTGCCCGTGTAGCTTAGTTAGTATTTTCTTTGCTTTTAATTTGTTATTTAGCATTTAACCCCTAATTCTCATTTATTTACAAGTTTATATAATACAACTCGTTAGTAAGGCTGAGATACAAACTGCTTGAGAAGCTAAGATTAAAGATTGAACGCCTAATGATCATTAATTACATCATTAGGACGATCATTAACCGCGGATACTGATCAGACAAATCTGCAGATTTATTATCAAGCATCAAGTATCAAAAATATATTTTCTTTAATCCCAAAGGAGACTGAAACTTAAGACATCAAACTTCGAAACCTAGGTATTAAGAGCACAGTTTCGTTGAGAATTTTGATCCTTTCAAAATTGGCTTTATTTTCTCACAAAAAAAATAAATAGCTAAACCTAAGCTCAAAACGTTAGGACACGTTCTGATAATCTTAAATGTAGAGAAAATATTTTTTTTCGGACACCCTGCATCTATTTTTCAATTTTATATCTGTTTATTTGGGACACCCTACATCTATTTTTCAATTTTATATCTGTTTATTTGGGACACCCGGCATCTATTTTTCAATTTTATCTGTTTATTTGAAACACCCCACATCTATTTTTCAACTTTATATCTGTTTATTTGGGACACCCTGCATCTATTTTTTAATTTTATATCTGTTTCTTTGGGACACCCTGCATCTATTTTTCAATTTTATATCTGTTTATTTGGGACACCTTGCATCTATTTATCAACTTTATATCTGTTTATTTGGGACACCCTGCATCTATTTTTCAACTTTATAACTGTTTATTTGGGACACCCTACATCTATTTTTCAACTTTATATCTGTTTATTTGGGACACCCTGCATCTATTTTTCAACTTAATATCTGTTTATTTGGTACACCCTGCATCTATTTTTCAACTTTATATCTGTTTATTTGGGACACCCTGCATCTATTTTTCAACTTATTATCTGTTTATTTGGTACACCCTGCATCTATTTTTCAACGTTATATCTGTTTATTTGGGACACCCTGCATCTATTTTTCAACTTTATATCTGTTTATTTGGGACACCCTGCATCTATTTTTCAACTTTATATCTGTTTATTTGGGACACCCTGCATCTATTTTTCAACTTATATATCTGTTTATTTGGGACACCCTACATCTATTTTTCAACTTTATATCTGTTTATTTGGGACACCCTGCATCTATTTTTCAACTTAATATCTGTTTATTTGGTACACCCTGCATCTATTTTTCAACGTTATATCTGTTTATTTGTCAGTTATGATTTCTTACTTTATTTTCTCTGTTAACCCCGTAAATACTTGTAGACATTCCTTTCCTCCTCTTTTTATTCCCCCCCCCCCTTTCCCATTTATTTCCCCCTCTCCATCACTCCCTTCCCATTACCTTTCGTCGTTCAACTATCTCTTTTCTTCTGTTTTCCCAATCTTAAAACAACTCCTTTCTATGCTTCTCATATCAAATTTTTAATTAATAATTTTCAGTCCATTTTCCGTTCCCTGTAAACCCTATTTTTCTTTCCATTCTCCTTCTTTTCCTTTTTCTCTTTCTTTTTTTCATTCCCCTGGGTACACTTTCCTTTATTAACACTTCTCCCCAATTATATCCGTTTTTCCCCTCTCCTCTTTCGTCTTTTTCTTTTTCACCTTTTTTGCCCTAAATACCCATTCCTTTTCTTTCCTTTTCTCCACCCTGTATACTATTCCCTTCCCTTGCATTCCCTATTCCTTCCACTGTATACCCTTTTCTTCCCTTTTCTATCCTTCCTTCACCATTCCCAACTTTCTTATTCACTACCTCTTCATTCTTCATTATAAACTCTGCTTAGCCTCTTTCATCCATAATTCCAATTCCCCTTTATTCCCCTATCCCCTATCCTCCCCCAGGGAACTCTTCTAAGTCTCTGTGAATACCTATCTCTGCTGGAATGTATCATGTTTATTGTCAAAATAAGTGCAAAGACGAGTGTGTGTGTGGCAGTGTGTGTCTGTGCGTCTGTAAATATTGACATTCTTGGGATGCCGGGTAGCGGCTCATATTCCCCCCCCCCCCCCCCCCTCCTAGCTTCTGGGAGGGATAATTTTACAATATTTTCATACTGTCAAACAATAAAATAATAAACTGAGTCTTTGCTACAAACTCAGATTTTCTAATCCTTATATCTTTGCAACCCAATGTTGTAACCTGAGATATAATTTCAAACTTTGAAATATTAAATGTTCTAAGTTTAAAATATCAAAGGTTTACACCGCAAAATTGTAAAAATAGCGATTAGAAAATTTGAGTTTGTCGCACAGACTCAATTCCTCTGTTTGAATTACGTGCAACACTGAAAGTTAACTTTCATTAATAAATGGGTATGCATGATTCACAGTGATACCTTTTAAACCATTACCTAATCAATGATATGGACGATAATAAACCTAATCAATGATATGGACGATAATAAACCTAATCAATGATATGGACGATAATAAACCTAATCAATGATATGAACAATAATAAACCTAATCAATGATATGGACGATAATAAACCTAATCAATGATATGGACGATAATAAACCTAATCAATGATATGGACGATAATAAACCTAATCAATGATATGGACGATAATAAACCTAATCAATGATATGAACGATAATAAACCTAATCAATGATATGGACGATAATAAACCTAATCAATGATATGAACGATATCGACGTTTTTCTGATTTGAGAAGTGTTTAATTCTGACAATTTCTTCTGAATTTCTGAATTGAACTCTGATTCTATCTTGGTTTTTTTTAAAAGATTCTATTAAAGTTTATTTTTTATATTCTATCAATATTTTGTTAGACTTTATCAAAGTTTTGTTAAATTCTATCAAAGAATGGTTAGACAAAATTCTGTTAGATTCTATCAAAATTTTTCTAGATTCTGTCAAAATTTAGTGTTTTAGTAAATAAGAAAATTTTCAAAAATGAATCATTTAAAAAAATGTAAAAGGCTAATTTAGAAATTTTCTTGTAAAAAATACCACATTTTTCGAGTATTATGTGAGTATTTTGGCGTTAAATTTTGGAGATATGATATGATTTTATTCAACAAACTTTAGACCTCAGGAACTCTACCTTTATGTTCAATAAATTTATTCATTATTAGCTAGCTAGCAAGAAAAGGAAAAAATCACAAAGCTAGTATTTGTGACACCTTAGATATAAGGGTTGATGTAGATGTTAACTGTAATTGTAAACCTAGAAGAACAAATTGACCTTTTAAACCGTAAACCTAAAGGTGTAGGTTGACCCGCGAGCCTGGTGAGCTGATAACCTGTTGGATCGACAAGAAGGATTAGTAGAACTTGTTGATCTCAAGGATAGATAGATTGGTATAAAAATAGATAGAAAGATAGATAGATAGATAAATAGAAAGATAGATGAAGACCATATCAGTCATTCTCTGTCTTTCTCTAGGAGTTAAGTTTCATATAAGATCATAGCTGGGAGGTAGGAGGGGGGGTGGGGGTAAAAGTTGACGTTGTATTTGATACATTAAAATAATAAGTCGACCTGAACATTGCTGTTTAAACTTACAGTAATTTAATACAATGAGAATATTAAAAACTAATGAGTGATATATGTTCTATAGCTAGCATCATTGCTTTGGATATATGTGGGACAACTTGTTGTTTATAGATAAAAACGAATACCGTTTTAAGGCATTTATTTAAAGAAATCGGTCTCCATGAGCTTCTAACTTTTGAATTGACGGAGTTGATTTGAATCTGTTCAAATTGTTGAACTAGTTCATTCCTTTTTTTTAATTGGAAATAAGTTCAGGGGTTTTACCAATGAGAGGTTGAAGAATAAGTTAAACTAATCTGCACATATTTAATTTCATTCTTATACCATTCATAAGTTTCCAGCTTTGACTTTTGAACTTAATTAAGACAGATAGATTTTAAAATATCTTCCTAACACGAAACTTATTTTTAGCTATTTTGTTTGGTTTTTGTTTGGTTTATTAAAACATCTTTTAAGAAAAAAAAATTAATATAGATTAATTCAAATGGAGTGATAAATAGTTAGAAGGACAGGGATAAATAGATATTTAAATTGAGACAATTCTTCTAAATATAACACTCTCCGCTCCTCCAGTGGAAACAAAAACCCTTTTAGCCAAAATTTCCTTTCATTTAACCATCTCCACACTCTGCGGAGCTGAAAACTTTATAATGTATAAACTTTAATCCTGACTTCTTGATCCGAATATCCACTGTGGAAACTTTTCATTTTTGTCCTTAATCCACTCTTTTTCTCTCTCCTTGGATATCCGTTAATTGTTTTCTCCAATGAGAATATTTCTGTTCTCTCATTGGTTGCCCGCTTTTCTCTGATTGGCTGCTACAGTTTCTCAGATGATTAAATATTAATTTGAATTTTATCGTTTTTCATACACTTTTAAGATAATCTTACAAGATTATGTTAATCTGGAGATTAAAAAAAGAGTGGATTAAGCCTTAATCCCGATATCCACCATTCAAAAGTTCCCAGCTCAGAGCTGAAAACTTTAGGATGGGATATCCTTAATCCAGATCGGTTAATTAATCTGGAGATTAATAACAAGAGGAGAACAAGCATTATTTAATCTGGAGATTAAGAAAAAGAGTGGATCAAGCATTAATCCCGATATCCACCATTCAAAAGTTCCCAGCTCAGGACAAATTTGTTTATCGCGACCTTAAAAGTTAGATAGATTTTAGCTATACAGTTAACTAGATTTACAGATAGATAGATAGACAGATATCCGGTTTTGAAGTTTCTCCGTTTAACCCTTGAACCTTGGGTACTTAATTAAATATTTCATTCATTCATTCTTCAATAATCATCCTTCCTCTAATATTCTACAGATAGTCTCATATATCCTATTTAATGACTTTTAAGGGAACTGCAAGCGTAATTTCAAAGATGGCAATGCCCGATTTAATACGGTACCCTTGAAACCTATAATTTGATAAAAACGTGGAAGATACCGTCGCTTTCCTGACTCGGAAGTGTTTATTTCTGTAATTTTCTCCATTGCTTCTTAGCAGGTATGCGGAAGTCACATTTACAGAGAAGCTGCTATTGAAAGAAACAAAAACAATAGCTTCCCTGAATATCATCTTGTTCAGGATGCATGATTTGGCAAAGAAAAACAGTAATTATTCCATACAGTCGTCTCTAAAGCGTCACATTTAGACGCGTAATCATGTCTGAAATTAAGGATCGAGCAGACTTAAATATTTAAGAGAGTAAAAACACCTGCACTGCTTAAATATAAATTAATTAGGCTTTTAGGGCGCTTCGCCCACATCTTCTATTTCAATTGTGAACATGTTTTCTTTGTATACATTGTAAAACAAAACAAAAAAAATCGCAGATTTCGTTCACAAATTTCGTAGATTTCGAAATTTTCTAAAATTGATTGAAATCGAATTTTTGGAGGGAACCTAACCTGTAAAACTACCTGACAATCTCCTGGAGTAAATGCCGTACTCGTAAAACTGCTTCTAGACCTATAGCAATCCATGTACCGCTTGTCAGCTATCAATGTCAACACGGACACAAGCTCAGCTATCAATGTCAACCGGGACACAAGCTCTTAAACATTCAATGTCAAACTATTGGGCACAATCTTCTCAGCATCTATGTCAACATAGACACGAGGTTTTAATCATCAATGCCAAACCAATGGGCATGATCTCAGCTCGTATTTTTCAACGAGGATTAATCTATCACTGTAATCAAAGCGGAGTCTATACTAACTAATGTGTATTTTGAAATCTATGTTGGATGTTAAGTTAATATAAATATTTACAAGATTTACGCATATATATTCCATCGTAGTTTAGCTAATTACATTACGTAGCTAGTCGAAATCGCAGTACACTGTTCAAGTTCAGCTTATTTACGGACAATGCACAACGTAATATATCTAGGTATGTTCAACTGCCTTCCAATCCACTCCCTACCTATCCCAAAACGTGTGAATTTGATGTGCGTATCCAATCATATTCACTATCGCTACCTAACTTAGGGCCAACCACTTAAAACAACCTACCCTGGTTAGGCGGGTCCATATTGTACAGTAAGTTGTTATTGCTTATTTGTAATATCTAATGCTTTGTAGTTGAATAGAAATATGAAATATGAATAAAAGTACAGAACCCAACCTGTTTAGGTCCTCCCTCCCCCCAACAGATAAATCTACAGTCCTCTAACCTAAACTGACCTCCACAGTCATTAATTCATTAGTTGCATAATTAAATCTTGACCCGGAAATATTTCGCTTAAAACATTTTCTTCCAGATTTAACCTCGTCTGTTATCCTCCCCTCCTCCCCCCCCCCTCCTATAGGTTTCCCAGTACTTTTTCAGAATATGGCGGGCGGAAGTTATAACATTCTGGTGTCAATTACGCCAGACAACACGCTCTTACACATTTGTTTCAATTTTAGAATATTTAAATATTTTTCAGTAATTTTAATTTTGATAATATTAGTAAACAGAGGAACTGAGTTCTTACCCCAAACTTAAATTTTATAATCCCTATATCTTTGCAACACGATGTTGTAAATTTTAGAAGTTAGATATTTCTAACTTTGAATTCTGCTAGATCAAATAATCCATAAGTTTGAAATATCAAAGGTTTTCATTATTAAGTTGCAAAGATCTAGGGATTTGAAATTAAAGTTGTGACCAAAACTAAGTTCCTTCGTAGAATAATTATAATGTTAAAATGTACGAGGTTCACAATATGTAAAAAAGCACCATCGAACGTAATTTGACAAAATGCCGATAACTAGAGTTATTTTCTAAACACTTTTTATTAATAATTATTAAAATTTCTTCACACTCGATATAATTGTATATTACTTATTCAAATATTCATATAAAAAGACGACATTCCTTAAAAAATATCATGTTTGATGGGAAACAAGATCTAATTATTGCATTAGCGTAAAATTTCTCCTTTTTACATATTCCCCCAATTTCTCGACAATCTCTAAAATAGATTTTAAAAATGTCGAACTCTCTTGTTATAAAAGATATATTTGAGGTTTGTTTAAACTAAACCTTCTTATCTCACCCTTTCACACACAATTATTTCTCCCGCATTTCACCCCAGCTTCCTCAGATCGGACTCTCATTGGTCAGCTCATTATATTCCTGTCTTATGATTGGACGACAACCTTATCTTTAAGTGCGCTTCTGTAAGTCCCGCGATGAAATAGTTTTCCAGGCTGTTTAAAGTATAATTCATGCGAATCCAGAATTTGCTTAACCTAAAATGAGTTGCAAATTGGCAAAGCAATATCCAGGTCTAAATGAGCGGAAAAAAGGAAATTTAAAAAGATTTTCTCTATGCATACGAATCAAGCTTCATTTGTATGACATATTAAAAGTTAGTGTTTTGGCGCTTCGCGCTCATCTTCCATCTCAATTGTGAACATGTTCTCTTTGTGTACATTGTGAAGCAAAACAAAAAAAGTTCGCGGATTACATAGAAAAAATTTCATGGAATTTCAAAATTTTCTAAAATTTGATTAAAATAGAATTTTGATCATTCATAAACCTTCTCTGGGGCCACTTGAGGTCCCGCACAAAATTTGGCGCGATCGGTTTAGCCGTTTTGACATTTATTGGACTGCAAACAAACATACATACGGACAAGCCAAGTATAAAGATAAATATATACCATTGACACACAGGGCGCTTCACGCCCCTAGGTGGTAATTTATAGTAACTAATTAATTAATTAAAAATTTCTTCTTTAAACTTTTTAAAATAACAATTTACAATGAAAGATTTTCCACATTTCTGAAAAATCAAAAGAATCGAGGCTTGCCACAAATTTTCCAATTCCTATTCTTTGCAACCTGGTTTTAAACTTAGAGTATGCGATCCAACTGAATTCATAATTTGAAATATCTAATATCGAAGACATGTACTGGGTTACAAAGATATTGGAATTATAAATACGAGTTAGTGGCAAAGACTTAAATTTTTTGTCTTGGACAATTTTAAAATTTTGAAAAAGACAAACCGATAGAAGAGACAAACAGACAACTGTATATTAAATCTATCTATCTATCTATCTATCTATATATCTATCTATCTATCTATCTATCTATCTATCTATCTATCTATCTATCTATCTATCTATCTATCTATCTATCTATCTATCTATCTATCTATCTATCTATCTATCTATCTATCTATCTATCTATCTATCTATCTATCTATCTATCTATCTATCTATCTATCTATCTATCTATCTATCTATCTATCTATCTATCTATCTATCTATCTATCTATCTATCTATCTATCTATCTATCTATCTATCTATCTATCTATCTATCTATCTATCTATCTATCTATCTATCTATCTATCTATCTATCTATCTATCTATCTATCTATCTATCTATCTATCTATCTATCTATCTATCTATCTATCNATTCCCCTACCCCTCCACAAATATTCCCCATCTCTGTACCTCAGACTCTCCTAATCCTTCACCCTTACGATTTACAATCTTCCACTGAGCATGAAAAATTATTAAATTATTTATTGAACAATATTATTTACTGGGTAAAAAAAAAACGAAAAAAAAATTTTTAATTTATTTTTGCCTTTAACACCGCCCGGCCACCCACAAAAAAATCAGCCCAATCCGTCCAGCCGTTTGGCCTGCTATACACAACATATATACGAATGACTTGTTTTATTATGTAGATTCGTACAATGAAATATATTATATTTTCAATACGGCGGAGATGATAATTAGAAATTTTCTGTGGGACCTAACATGGCCGGTATAATGCCTTAACCCTTAAGATAGAACCCATTTTCACTCGTTATAACAGGATTTTTTCCATTTGCTATTTTTCAGTTTTTTTGACTGATTTAGAATTAGTGATCACAAATCAAAAATGTCGAAAAATGTTTCTTTTGGCAAATATACAATTCAAACCCACCCGGCGGTTGCCCGTTGAATTAAAAAAACACTTTAAAAAATACTGAATTTTGAAAAAAAATCGATATTTTTTAGCTGTTGTTAATGGAGTATATGTAGGTTTCTTTAAAAATCTGCCAATTTGTTTCAACTGTTTGGCCAGCTATAGCTATTAGCTATGGCTTAAATATATATATTATAGATTTATAAAGATACTAGTCTTAGAGGGCGCTTCGCGCNGGATACAGGATACAGAACAAGGGATAAAGGATACAAGATACAGAACACAGGATAAAGGATACAGGTTACAGGATACAGGATACAGAACAAGGGATAAAGGATACAAGATACAGAACACAGGATAAAGGATACAGGTTACAGGATACAGGATACAGAACAAGGGATAAAGGATACAAGATACAGAACACAGGATAAAGGATACAGGTTACAGGATACAGGATACAGAACAAGGGATAAAGGATACAAGATACAGAACACAGGATAAAGGATACAGGATACAGAACAAAGGATAAAAGATACAAGGTACTGGACACAGGATAAAGGATACAGAATAAGGATGCAGGACAAAACAAAAGCATACATAAGCAGGAAACAGGATTAAGGATAATGGACAAAGCCAAAAAATACATATCCAGGACACGCACTATATGAAACAGACTTAAGGATACAAAGTACTGGAAAAAGGATGCAAGAGATGAGTATGAAAAGATAAGGATAAAGGATAAGGACGAAAGGGTAAGAATAAAAGGATAATGATAAAATGAGGATCGAGTATGAAATTACAAGGATGAAAGGATAAGGATGAGAGGATAAAGATGAAGGGACAAGAATGAAAGGATAAGGTCGAGAGGATAAAGATGAAAGGACAAGAATGAAAGGATGAGGATGAGATGATGAAGATGAAATGATGAGAATGAGAGGATAAGGATGAAAGGATAAGGATGAAAGGATAAGAATAAAAGTATATGGATGAATGGATAAGGGTGAACGAATAAGGATGGAAGATTAAGGATGATAGAATGAGTATGAAAGGATGAAAATGGATAATGAGGATGAAGGATTATAGATGAAAAGATAAGGATGCTCGGATGAATATATATATTAAAGGATGAGAACGAATATATGAAAGGATGAGGATGAGTATTTCGATCCCAAATTTAAAAAAATCTTCGACCTAAATATAGAGACAGGGTTTAAGGTTTACGCTCTCACAGTAAACAGTATATATTACGGAGTTTATCTATCAACTCAGGTTTATTTCTTAGTTCATGTTAGAATTGGGCCATTAACAGCGTAATTACAAGTTATGCGCTGGTATAATATATATAACGTAGTTAACAATCACATTATGGGTATGACGGAGCTATATATATATATATCTACGTATATGGAATTGGTTAATCGCAATCCATGATTTGCTTAATTACTATATTAACAAAGTATTCTGAAAATTGCAATAGGTCTCAATATTTGCTACATATATGAGGATGTCCTAATTATCTGATATAATTAGAATATTAGTAAACGTCTGAAGAGTTTCATGGGAACTAAGTAATTATGTTTACACAGGATACGCTTACATATAATACATTGAAGTGGACGTTTAAAATACAGGGTAAATTAGAGAATATAATTTGTCGAAACCCCTTTCATTGCATAATTAGATTCCCCCTCCCTTTTATTACACAACACAAAACCCCCTTTTATTGCATAATTATATTCCCCCTTTTATTACTGACGTTTATTGGATACAAACAGACAGACAAACAAACAAACAAACAGACAGACAAGCCAAATTTATATATAGATGAGCAAAGAGCCTGATTACATTTTTTTTCACCTTATGTTCCTCTTAAAATGAAATATCTCCCCCCACCTCTCCCGTATGACCCCCCCCCTCCTACTTCTAAATTAACACTCTCTACTTCTATGATTAATGACAGGATTCCTATTTAGCTTTCGCTTAGCATTTTAACCTGTACACTCCGATGCATCATATATTAGATAGTAGCCCAAGAATCTAAAGAGAGGGGGATTGATATTGTGAAATAATAATTTTTTGAAATCGTCCAAAATCTGAAGAAAAAACTGATCAATTCAGTTTGAACATTTTTTACTCAATTTTGTATAAAATATAGTTAAATTCATCAGAAGTACGTCGACAATAGAACTTGAGGGGAGTGCGAGCTGCATTCTCAGTTCATCTATCATACATTGGCGGTCACTCCCTTTAATCCTGTCAAAATAAATATATTCCATGGCTGAGTTCTATTCTTTTAAAGAAGATATTCCATCATTGTCTTGTTAGTTGTATTGTATGTTAGAAACTAATGAGGTCATATGAAAACTGATAGATGAGACAATTGGATATAATACTGGATACAGGATACAGGATACAGAAAGAATAAAGGACACAGAATACTGGATACATAATAAAGGATACAGAATAAAGGATACAGAATAAATGATACAGAATAAAGGATACAGAATAAGGATACAGGTTAAAGCCAAAGAATATACTGGATACAGAACACAGGATAAAGGATACAGGTTATAGGATACAGGATACAGAATAAGGGATAAAAGATACAAGAAACAGAACACAAGATAAAGGATACAGGTTACAGGATACAGGATACAGAACAAGGGATAAAGGATACAAGATACAGAACACAGGATAAAGGATACAGGTTACAGGATACAGGATACAGAACAAGGGATAAAGGATACAAGATACAGAACACAGGATAAAGGATACAGGTTACAGGATACAGGATACAGAACAAGGGATAAAGGATACAAGATACAGAACACAGGATAAAGGATACAGGTTACAGGATACAGGATACAGAACAAGGGATAAAGGATACAAGATACAGAACACAGGATAAAGGATACAGGTTACAGGATACAGGATACAGAACAAGGGATAAAGGATACAAGATACAGAACACAGGATAAAGGATACAGGTTACAGGATACAGGATACAGAACAAGGGATAAAGGATACAAGATACAGAACACAGGATAAAGGATACAGGTTACAGGATACAGGATACAGAANAACACATAAACTACGAACTTTTTTTTAATATCAAGTTTGCAACACCCTGTTTACCATAAATAAATTCGGGAGTTGAGGAACAAATTCGAAATAATGTGTGTAAATGAATTAGTAAAGTCCATGTATGTATATTGTATAGTGCATACTACAGTGAGATTCATCAAACTCTGTAAGATGAAGACGACTGTTAGACTAAAGTTTGGATATTTAAAAAATCCAATAAACATGAAACACAGCAATTGTGCAATGTATGCAGACCCATTTTACTCTCAATTTTTTTGTTCAAAAACTGGTAAAACTATAATTTGCTGAACTTCAACATCAAATTCGCATATTGTCGCTGATATATCGTCTTCGTATTCCAAAATGTTTTGGGTCTCAATTTAAAGGAATTAATTCTGCTCTTTAGAATTCTAAAAATGCATTTTAACTTTTAACAAAATCACTATTCTCGACTCGAGTACATCATAGCTTTAGTTGTAAACTTGTAATTCGAAGCTCGACGAAAAAAACAATATTCCTTTTTTATAAATCTTTAAAAGTTTTTTTTTCCATCTTGATGACCCACAAATTAGAATATAGATGATTCTTTAATAAAAGTTTTATTATTTTGTTTTCACATTTTAATATCCCCAGAAATTGGCCTCAAAGGCAAACAGACGATAAACAGAAATATTAAAGATTTGAAAACAACATTCATCTCTTTTTAACAATGTATTTATAATTTATTTTTTATAATTTTTGTAAAATAAAAAAGATTTATCTCTAAAAATACCATATTCTACAGGGTTATCCGGAGAAAATAAGACTCCAGAGTTGATTTCACGAAATTAAAGGAATTGTTGTCTTTGCCTAAAACTCTTCTTTCCCAATCCCTTTATCTTAGAAATCCAAGGACGTAGACTTTAGATTTTCAAACTATGCATTTTGTTAGATCAAAGAATCTAAGTTTGAAATACTAAATATTGACACCATCAGGTTACAAAGATATAGGGATTACAAAATTTGCTTGTGACAAAAAATCAGTTCTTTTACTCGCTTGCTTGCATATAATTGGTTCCATGCATCTGTTCACCTGTTTCTTTTTTTCCAATTAATTTAGTTTACCCTTAAAGATTACATTTAAGACTGAGAATCAAACTCAAGTTTCAAATCGTCATATTTATTGAATTTATTTATCAAATATGCCTAAATATGAGCAAATATATAAATAAGTGTGGAAATTAAAAATAATTCTTTCTTTGCCATCATTCATTATGAAAAAAAACAAATATTAAATTTCTTATTTTTTATATTTTACTGATTTATTTATTTATAATATTTTACAATCTTATTTCATCAGAGCTGGGAACTTTAGAATATTGGATATCAGGATTAAAGCTTGATCCACTCTTTATCTTAATCTCCAGATTACATATTGCTTGTTCACCTCATGAATTTATTTCCAGATTAACTAACAGATCAGGATTAAGGATATCACATTCTAAAGTTTTCAGCTCTGATCTGGGAACTCTTGTGTTGGATACTGTTAATACCGATACCTTGATCTCTAACTTCACTTTGGGCACTTGCAGTTTGAGGATCTACAAAAAAAGTTATTTCTCCCTTGATCAAAGCTCCCTTCAACTCCTCACTGGGTACGATTTTCATGCGGGATCGATTAAAGATTAAGTTAATCTGCAGATTAGCAAAGAATCGAGATCAAGCATTGACATCTCGATATTCACAAAACAAGAGTTCCCAGCTAGCTCTGATCAATTAGACTTAATTAGTCGGAGTTTGAATGATCAATCGGAGACAGCTTAGGTGTCTGCAGGTGGGGGTATAGGTAGGGGGGACAGGTGGGCGGGGATCTGGGCGGGGAGGAGGCCTGAGGTAGGCAGGGGGGCAGGGGGCGGTCCATGAAGGAGAAGGGGGGCGTGGACATAGTAGAAGGAGGGTATATCTGTGGAACTCCTGTAGGAGGAAGAGGTATACCGGATCCGTTAGGTCCAAATAACCTAAACATAAATATTATCATATTATTGATCAAATTCCAGCTTTACTCTGATCAAATGTAGAAAAACTAGCCGGAACAATTCTGAGCATTTATGAATTTATAAAGATTTAAACTTTCATAAAATCTCTTTTTTAAATCTTTGTTTTGCGAGTCTTAGATTTATGGTTTCTCTCAATTACTTTTTTGATATTGGAAAGTTAGATGACTGTGCACCGAACAGAGGACTTGAGTTTTTACCACAAACTCAAATTTCTAATCCTTTTATCTTTGCAACATGATGGTGTAAACTTTTAAAAAGTTTAAAGATATATGGATTAAAAAACTTTGAAATTCACCAATTCAGATTTTCAATTTTTTCCTTCTTGTATTTGTATGCATTTTAATTATAAAAGAAAACGGGACTTGGCTCTAACTAATTTATGTGTTTTCAGATTGTCTGAATTAGCAAAATGTGTCCGAATTTAATAAATTTAAGCCGCGGCTTAAATCTGCCAAATACCGGTTTCAATTGAGCGCCGGCTTAAATCTTGTAACAATAAATACGATTTTAAGTGGAACCAACCATATTTGAGCCGTGGCTTAAATTTAAGCCACGGCTCAAATTCTTTAAGTTTGGCTTCCGCTTAAGTAAAATATTTTTCATAGAAAGTTTACAAATAAGGCATAGATTTGTATTTTGAGATATTTTCATTTCACGCCCAATTTAGACGTGGTGAATCAATACAATATTAGGAACTAAAAGAACTAATCACTTCCCCCAAATTTGTATTTTCTAAAATAAATATCTTTGAAATAGGCCAGACAGGTTTGTATCTATAATATTCCAAACTTTGACTATTTACCTAATAGAATTAATATTTTTTAAAAATCAAAAGGTTTTTACATTACACAGATGCAGTTATAGGATTTATAGGAGTAATCAGTTCCTTATGCAAAATCTAAGGAATTGAATCTTTGCCACAAGCCTGATTTTCTAATTCCTATATCTTTGCAACCCATTGTCGTAGACTTTAGATATTTCAAACTATGAAATAATCTAGATTTAAAATGTCAAAGATTCAGAGATTAGAATATCTGAGTTAGTGGTAAAAACTCCTGTAAATAATAAAACTGACCATAATCTGTCTCCAAGAACCATAGGTCTGGGGGCTAGAGAACCCAGGCTAGAATAGTACTGCTGGGCCAACAGTTCAAGATCATTTGTGTATTTACGTTTCCATTTAGTTCGCCGGTTCTGGAACCAGATCTTTATCTGAAAATTATTTAAGTTAAATTATAGTTCAATGGAATGAGTCTTTGACACAAACTAAGAATTCTCATATCTTTGGAATCTGATAGTGTAAACCTTGGATAATTCAAACTTATACTATTTGATCTAACAGAATTCATATTTTGAAATATCTAAGACATCTGGTTACAAAATACAAGAATTAAAAACAAGAGTTCGTGACAGAGACTCAATTACTTTTGTCTCATCAATATTTTTTATTTTTTTTTATTTAATTATTATTTATAAAAACATTAATTTATTACTTAATACACATTAGTAAAATTCAGTAAAAATCCGGAAAATTCAATGGTAATCTTAGTACAATTCAAGACAACAGTACGGTACAATCAGTAAATTTGCACAACAATTTAATATTTAATTGAATATTACAATTTTAAACCAAACCAAAATTAGTTATACAATATAGTACAATTAAGTATTAAGTACGTTGACAATCAATTATTGATTTTATTTCAATAAATCATTATTTATATGATTAGTAAACTAACAATTTTGTTTTTCACTTTGAAATTTTAAATCTTCAGAATTTTCATAGGTTTTTTTTTACCTGAGTTTCTTGCATATTTTTTTTACCTGAGTTTCTGTAAGTTTAAGATGCTTTGAGAGTTGAAGACGTTTAGATACAGACAGATATTTGTTCTTCTCAAACTCACATTCAAGAGCTTTAATCTGCGAGGCTGTGAAGGCTGTTCGAGGTCGCTTCTTCCGGTCATCCTCGGCTCCATCTTCATCACCTGCAGATTATTATATTATTATCATTTTTAATTTTTGCTGCATATAAACGCGATTAAGTCTCTATAACAGAGAACCTTTCATCATCCCCTGCAGATCGAGGGAGGGAGTCCAGAGTTCCTCAAATAGTAATCACCGCCACCCATATCTGTTTTGCGGCAAGGGGCGCTCCTCAATTGGTAATTTCCACCACCTCAATTAGTAATCACCGTAAAATTTTGTTTTCTGTGATTTGAATTTAATGCACGTTTAACACAATTTTCGACATCTATCGGGGTTTTACGGCATCTGTATTGACTTTAACTAAATTTTCAAATTATTTTCAGATTTGTTTGGTCAACAAAAACTGAGAATCAAGGCACAGTTCATTTTAGCCGAATCTTAGATCCAATTCGCCACTTTAATGACTGCATTTCATGATTGGCGTCAAGATACAAAAAAGGTCGGGCTCATCCCACCCAAAGTAATATCCATCTCTATTTAAAAGATATTTTCATAAAACCTTTACAGTGTTTAGATTTTTGTATTCGCCTACTCGAGTTGTATTCGCCTACTCGAGTTCAACATCTACAACAAAACTAATTATATGCATAGAAAGAACATAAAATTTTGAAAAATTAGTCTAAAACAACATTCAGAGGAAAATCCCGCAAACATTCTTAAAGCGAAACTTGAAACTAAAAAACGTAATATATTTCTAGCACTTAGTGTGGCATATTTATTGATTTTTCGAAACTAAGGAGAAATGAAGAAAGCTTTAACAATATTGTACACCATAGGGCCATTAAAAGAGGTCAATATGGTCTTATTTCTAAGAAATAAACGATTTAATTTTATGCTTTTTTGGGCTGATTACTATTTGAGGTGGTGGAGATTACCAATTGAGGAGCGCGCTTGCCGCAAAACAGAATTGGGTGGCGGTGATTACTATTGGAGGAACTCTGGACTCCCTCCCTCGCAGATCAATATGTTATTAGTTTACAATCTAACGTGTCGGATTTAGAACTTTAATGTTCAATCTTAACCTTAGCAAAATAATGCATTAACCGAAGTTTTTAGATCAAAATGGTTAAAGTTTAACTATTTATTCATTTTTCTCTTGCTGCATAAATGCGTAAGTCTCTATTACAGAGAATCGCAATTAAAGTAATCAATTTTAAAATTAAGAAAGAGGAATATCTCGATCCATCATTTTTGCCCAGGCAATGGTTGAAACGGAATCGTTGTGAATCGATGATATCAAACTCTATAGATAAAGGGTTACTTGAAATTACGTGTCGGTGAAAAAAAGAAAACTAATTTTTGTAATTATTAAATCTATAACATTATCATTATTATTCTACACTGCAATCATTAATTATTATTATCATTATAATTTTCTATAATATTTTCAAAGCTATTTTATTATTAACTGTAATCAAATAGAACAAGATAGGCTAATTGTTTTATTTAATGCTTTATTTTTCTAAAAATCAAACGATTTCGTCTCTTAGATTATTTTCTTCTTTCCATCATTCTTCTTTCCTTTTTAACTGTTTCGTTCTTCTTTGGATCTTTTTAATTTTTTAAAACCTGTTTCTTACTAAAACACTATTTTTTTTTATTTGTTCTAGTTTAAAAATCTCCTTATTTTAAACAATAAAACATAATTATTAAACATTATACTTTTAAAACATTGTTTATTTCCTTCCTGAACAGAACTATCCAGTTCTTTCCTAAAAACAATGAAGGATGTAAAGAGAGAATTTATATATTTTCTAGACAGATATTCGACAATAATTTCCCTACTATTGGGCTAAACTTATCAATTGAGAGTGGCTTGAAATTCAGTCAACAGTGCCTTTAACGATCTCAGATGTCTTTTAACTTTTAACAGACCTGAATCTTCATTATATTCAATAGTATCATCTCCATTATCCTGGAGGGTGTCCTCTGAACCTGACATCTTCTCCGGGAGCAAGCCTAGGTAGGGAGGTGTAGGACGGAAACCCTGGAATCTGTCTCCGAGATTGGTACTGAGCTGAGGTTTGAGTAAGCTATCTATGGAAAAGGCTCCGTGTGAAAATATAGGTTTAGATCTAGAGCTAGGTTCAGGCCTGCACACATCCTTATCTTCCATTCTTAAACCTTGTTCTTAATCAACTTCTGAAAGAATACTGAATAGTTCTGAAGGGAGTATTTGTTGCGGTAGTAATTGCGCTGGTCAGCTCAAACTACTCAACCAATAGCAGCGTGAGACAGAAATAAAGCAACCAATAGGATTCAAGGAGGCTTATATGTGACGGCAAGGGGACCAATAAGAACAGAGCTAACGTCACGTTGACCAATCAGAGGGAGATATAAACGTCGAATTAGCCAATGGGAAGGAAGGAAGGGAATATTCTGAAATATGAAGAGGAGAATGACATGTGCACAGACATATATTTTACCGAGTAATTGGCTTCTATAATTGGTNGTGAAGGAGAAATTTGCTTTGGACAGTTCTGGAGTAATAATTATATATTTACATAAATCCATCTTTAGTTTATTGATTAAGAATATTTAATTCACTTATCTGTGAGGACATTTTTTATGCACTATAAGATTTTTGATTTTCTTACTTTCTTTCTTTCTTTATTTCTTTCATTCTTTATTTCATTCATCTATTCTTTCCCTCTTTCTTACTTTCTATCTTTCTTTCTTTCTTTTTTTCTTTCTTTCTTTATATCTTTCTCTCTTTCTTTCTCTCTTTCTTTCTTTCTTTCTTTTTTCTTTCTTTCTTTCTTTCTTTCTTTTTTCTTTCATTCTTTCTTTCCTCTTTCTTTCTTTTTTTCTTTCTTTCTTTCTTTCTTTCTTTCTTTCTTTCTTTCTTTCTTTCTTTATTTCTTTCTTTCTTTCTTTCTTTCTTTCTTTCTTTCTTTCTTTCTTTCTTTCATTCTTTATATCTTTTTTCTTTCTTTCTTTCTTTCTTTCTTTGTTTCCTTCTTTGTTTCTTTCCTTGTTTCTTTCTTTATTTCTTTCTTTGTTTCTTTGTTTCTTTGTTTATTTTTTTATTTCTTTGTTTCTTTCTTTCTCTGTTTCTTTCTTTCATTCTTTATATCTTTCTCTCTTTCTTTCTTTTTTTTTCTTTTTTTTTCTTTCTTTCTTTTATTCTTTCTTTCTCTCTTTCTTTCTTTTTTCTTTCTTTCTTTCATTCTTTCTTTCTTTCTTTCTTTCTTCCTTCCTTTCTGTCTTTCTTTCTTTCTTTCTTTCATTCTTTCTTTCCCTCTTTCGTTCTTTCTTTTTTTCTTTCTTTCTTTCTTTCTTTCTTTCTTTCTTTCTTTCTTTCTTTCTTTCTTTCTTTCCTCTTTCTTTATTTCTTTATTTCTTTCTTTCTTTCTTTCTTTTTTTTCTTTCTATTTCTTTCTTTCTGCACTATAAGATTTTTGATTTTCTTTCTTTCTTTCTTTCTTTCATTCTTTATATCTTTCTCTCTTTCTTTCCTTTCTTCTTTCTTTCTGTTTCCTTTTTGTTTCTTTCTTTCTATTTTTCTTTTTTCGTTTTTTCTTTATTTCTTTCTTGCTTCTTCATTTTTTTGTCTTCTTTCCTTTCTTTTCTGTTTTTCATTCTTTTTTCCTTTCTTTCATTTTTTCTTTCCTCTTCATTTCTTGCATTCTATCTTAATTTTTTTTTTTCTATCTTGTTTACTTACTTAATTTCTTTCTTTCTTTCTAATTTTTTCTATCTTTTTTTCTTTAAGTATACAATTTTCAACGATATATTTATAAAAATTAATAACAAATGTACATTTTACAAAGCTCCTATTTACATACTTCAACTTTTCCCAAACATTTTTTTTACTTTTTGGCTTTTAGATCTAAAAAATGAAAAAATTATTTTTCTATACTAAGGTTTGAAAAATTAAATTAGGTTAACTTGTATATATGTAAAGTAACAATTGAAAGATTTTTATGATAACAAATTCAAACCACCGGCCAAAGTGTTTTTTATCATAAAACTATTTAAATGTGGACAATTTCTTATTTTCAAGTTTCTTCATCCCTCTATTTACTTCCATAATGATATAAAGGATGTTAAAAAAAAACAAAATTTTTTTTTCCCTCAGAGGCTGACTTATATTCCGATCCAGTTCCATCCACAAGAGATAAAGAGCCGTAATGCAGAGAAGGATTAACATTTTTAACCATATAGTCTTGACATCCTAAAGATATAGTCTTGATATCCTAGAGATATAGGCTTGACATCCTAGAGATATAGTCTTGACATCCTAGAGATATAGTCTTGACATCCTAGAGATATAGTCTTGACATCCTAGAGATATAGTCTTGATATCCTAGAGATATTGTGAAATTAATTTCATTGTAATCGGATCATAACTAAGCCTATGAGGAAAAAATAAAGTGTTTTTTTTTAACACCATTGAAGAGTCGTTTCTTTATTGTCTTTATTTGTATTCCACACCAGTCACGTTCAAGGTGCCATCCTAAAATATCATGATTTGTAAGGTTGTAGCAAAAAGTATGTAAACATGATATTCTGTGAAATTGCAGTACGTTGTACATTGCTAATTGTAAACTTATCTATAAAGACATTATTCATTGAAACTGCGTTCTAATGGAATACTTAACATCTTAAGCTTGAATCATGCAACATAATTGAATTACGCTATAAAACATGTACATAGATGGTTCATACTGCGTGATATCCATTTTCTCCAATCTTATGAAATACGTAATACGATGGTATTAATCATGTGATATAGATATCATCATAGGAATTGTATTACGTCAATTTCTGTTAACTTTGTAACATAAGCTATTGAATAAAGTTAGTTGATTGAAACTCTGCTTGATTGATTCGAGCTAGTGTTTGATTGACGTCGATAGCTTATTAGAGTGTGCATTGAGAAATAACATTGAATCGATATAGCTTGAAAGATAGCCTGTGTCCTCGTTGAATCCTACGAGTGAAGATTGTGCCTTGATATTTGGCATTGAACTGATATAGCTTGCAAAATAGCTTGGGTTCTTGTTGAAACAAACGAGGGAAGGGTGTGCCAATATAATTGGTATGGACCGATACGGCTTGTGTAAGAGCCTGAGATTTAGTCCTATGTTATTGGATGCTTGTGTCCCTGTGTGGCATGTAGAGCCGGTCCTGGTTGATTGAGGTAACGGATAGACCTGGATAGATATGTCTCGAGTAAATTGTTATGGAGTAGGTATTTTTGTTCAAATGTAAATAATATTCGGATAAATATTCTTTAAAGCAATGAAGACAACTTAGATCATGAAAAAGTTGGATAATGAACCTAAAATATATATTTATTACGCTTATAAAGAAAATGGGTTCTTGTCACAAACTAGGATTGACTAACCCCTAGCTCTGTAACACCTAGCTCTGTAACCTGATGTTGTAAGTATTTGATAATTCACATTATGAAATATGTTTGATCAAATAGTTTAAGTTTGATTTATCAAAGGTTTACACCATTACGTTGCAAAGATATAGCTGTGTCAAGAAAGTTTTCACTCTGGTTTCAAAAACGGGATTATATATTTTTTTGAATACAGTCTTCGTCGCATATATCAATACAATGAAAAGCATGGATACATAAAAACAAAAAGAATAAAAAGCTTCTATTTTATCAATTGTAGACTTTAATTAAAACTTGAATCTAAAAGTCGTCTTTATTGTATTGATATAACCGCCGACCACTGTTGATGAGGTAGCCAGTTACCGCTGAGAGTGTGCCGAATATGTGAGGGTAGGTTTCAGCATCCACGAAACCAATCTTGATGCTGGTGATTATTATCGCCAGCATACAGATACACACTAGACAAACTATAGTTGAAAATAAACTAAACTGGGAACTGTTGCATTGGAGATACTTCTAATCCAGATAGTTTGATCTCGATATACACGCTTGGCTCGTTCAACTTAAAGATCAATACTTAATCTCTTGTTTTCAGTAAACCCTCCCTGGTAACTCTGTTGTCTTGTGGCAATAGAGATCAAAGCTTGATCAGAGGCCGAATTTAAAGAATTTGAGCCGCGGCCTAAACTTGAGAGGCGTCTCAAATATTGTGTTCAATGTTTAAAAATTTAAGTCGGCGCTCAATTGAAACCGGTTGGTAATCGTATTGATCAGGGGAGGAATAGATACTGAAATAATTGATCGTCGAATTAAAAGTGGATATCGAGATTAAACTTTCGAAAGTAGCAAACACACAAGTTCCCAGCATGCGATGTTTATATTAAATAAAAAAACTTGAGAAGGCAGTTCGGTGCACTGACAAGAAATTACCTTAATGTTTAACTATTTTAAAAACCAAAGTGATTGAAAATATTGAGGAAACTTAAAATTTTGAGTAAGGATGAATAGAGTAAGAGAAATGTAAGTGCATTAAAATTTGCATGATATCTAATATTGTGCAGAGTCAATTTTCTTATTATTTGCTAAGGTGGCTAGGAATACAAATAAGATTATTTAGATTTTAATTAATTTTAAACTTACATATCAGAAGAATAATGTTACAGTTTTCCATTTGTAATTCCTCTTCGGACAGAGGAACATAGATTTTCTCCTCATCACTAGATTAAAATATATTTCTTTCTTATTGTTTTGTTTATCACAACATTAGTAATTATTTGTTGTCATGTTAAATAATATATATTACCTGGTATTTTCTGTTTTTGTAGTCATTTTGCTAGCTGTAATAAAGTGATATTTGAATATTCAAATAAAGATTGTTATTTTTTCTGAAAATATATCATGAAAACATATTGAGGACAACAGACTTTAAATTGATATAACCAATATGATGCACATTTCAGATCTTCATTATTGGACTTATTTAAGGCGTTTGATTTAATAAAACAAATTCTTGAGAAATAAACCTTGAATCAAAAATGTTCATTCTTTATATATTCTTTTTCGAGTTTGCTCTTGAAAAAAATTTAACAGAAGACGACATTCAAGTTTTAGATTGATGGACAAGTCGTCTGAATACGAATATATTTTTTTCAAAACATAAATTGCACTAGTAAATCTCAAAGATTTGTTGACAACTCTCAGATTAGTTTAACTCTATGATTTGTATGAATTTCTAGGATTTGTATAAAACTCTAGGATTTCCCAAAACTCTAGGATTTCTATAAAACTCTAGGATTTAAAAAAAACTCTAGGATGTGCATTAAATAATAGGATTTGTATAAAACTTGACGCTTTTTAAAAACTCTATAATTTGTATAAAACTCTAGGATTTGTTTAAAACTCTGGGATTTTTAAAAAACTCTATTATTTGCATAAAACTCTAGGATTTGATATAAACTTTAGGATTTGTATACAACCATAGGATTTATATAAAACTCTAAGATTTGTATAAAATACTAGGATTTGAACAAACCTTTACGATTTTCAAAAACTCTTTGATTTGTATATAGTTCCAGGATTTGTATAAAACTCTAGGATTTGAGTTAAACTCTAGGATTTAATATAAACTTTAGGGTTTGTATAAAACTCTAGGATTTGTAAAAAACTATAAGGTTTGTATAAAACTCTAGGATTTGTAGAAAACTCTAGGATTTTTATAAACTCTAGGATTTGTAAAAAACTATAAGGTTTGTATAAAACTCTAGGATTTGTAGAAAACTCTAGGATTTTTATAAACTCTAGGATTTGTATAAAACTCTAGAATTTTATAAATAAAACTTTAGAATTTGTTTAAAACTCTAGAATTTGTATAAAAGCCTAGGATTTGTATAAAACTCTAGGATTTGTATAAAACTCTAGGATTTGTATAAAACTCTAGGATTTGTATAAAACTCTAGGGTTTACATGAAACTAAGTTTAAGTGCCACAAAATTTGTGTACTGGCATTTCTGATTTACTCTCTGGTTATGGATTAATGAGATATCCTTACTTACTTAGCTGAAAATTGATAATTTCCAATTATAGATTCTCTAAGGGACTTTTGGATTTATGCTGTAGAAACAATAAAGAAAGTTTTTTGTATTATAATTGAAATACGAGGGGGTACTGTTGTGAATCGGAAATACCTTTATGATAAATAAAGGGTTACTTGTAATTACGTTTACAGTTTTTTAAAAGCTCTGTTACATGTTAAAAAGTGGAGGATATGTTATAAACTGTATATATAAACCTGGTTCAAGGGAGAGAATTCTCTGTTACATGTTAAAAAGTGGAGGATATGTTATAAACTGTATATAAACCTGGTTCAAGGGAGAGAATTCTCTGAACAGGTTGCCAGGGAGACCAAAGAGAGAAGAAAGCGCTCTCTTAAAGTTCTCTCGATAAGACGTATTTTTGTTTAATCATGGACAGTATAAATCGAATAAATATATATAAAAATATAACGCTTCAGAAGATTTTAGAGACGTAAAAAACGTAAAATATTAAATTGTCCACTGTGGTAAACTGAATTTTACAATTATTTAAATTAATATACATTTTTAAGAAGTAATGCGCCTTTTAATCTTTTTTTTTAAAAAAGCCCGTTTCAAGGAGGGAGGAGAGAGGTGCTTGTTTTTCATAGGAGACTTTTATGATAATTTTAACATATAAGTTACAAATTTCAACTTTTTATTGATTGTTCATGTCTTTTTGTTGAAATAGTTTCCTAAAGGACTCGGATTCAAAGAAATATGACTGGTTTAATTATTGCAGATTTGTCTTAGAAACATTAATCGCTTTTTACTTTTTATAATTAGAGTACTCTTTCTGATTAAAGGAACTCTTTCTGATTAAAGGAACTCTTTCTGTAAAGGAACTCTTTCTGTTTAAAGGAACTCTCTTTCTGATATAAGGAACTCTTTCTGATTAAAGGAACTCTTTCTGATTAAAGGAACTCTTTCTGATTCTAGGAACTCTTTCTGATTGAAAAGACTCTTTCTGATTAAAGGAACTATTTCTGATTAAAGGAACTCTTTCTGATTAAAGGAACTCTTTCTGATTAAAGGAACTCTTTCTGATTAAAGGAACTCCTTCTGATTAGGGGAACTATTTCTGATTAAAGGAACTCCTTCTGATTAGGGGAACTATTTCTGATTAAAGAAACTTTTTCTGATTAAAGGGACTCTTCCTGATTAAAGGAACTATTTCTGATTAATGGGACTCTTTCTCACTGAAGGAACTCTTTCTGATTAAAGGAACTATTTATGATTAATGGGACACTTTCTGATTATAGGAACTCTTTCTGATAATAGAAACTCTTTCTGATCACATTTTCAAACCAACGGCATTTTATGATTACAGGGAAACTTTTTTAATTAAAGGCACCCTTTAACATTTGAAACTAAATATAATATACAATCCCTTTAACATTTGAAACTAAATATAATATACAAACCCTTTAACATTTGAAACTAAATATAATATCCAATCCTTTTAACATTTGAAACTAAATATTATAAACAATCCCTTTAACATTTGAAACTAAATATAATATACAAACCCTTTAACATTTGAAACTAAATATAATATACAATCCTTTTAACACTTGAAACTAAATATTATAAACAATCCCTTTAACATTAGAAACTAATTATAATTTACAATCCCTTCAACATTTGAAACTAAATATAATTTACAATCCCTTTAACATTTGAAACTAATTATAATTTACAATCCCTTCAACATTTGAAACTAAATATAATATACAATCCCTTAATATTAGAAACTAAATATTATTTACAATCCCTTTAACATTAGAAACTAATTATAATTTGCAATCCCTTTAACATTAAGAACTAAATATAATTTACAATCCCTTTAACATTAGAAACTAAATATAATCTGCAATCCCTTTAACATTAGAAACTAAATATAGTCTACAATCTCTTTAACATTAGAAACTAAATATAATTTACAATCCCTTTAACATTAGAAACTAAATATAATTTACAATCCCTTTAACATTAGAAACTAAATATAGTTTACAATCTCTTTAACATTAGAAACTAAATATTTACTCTTAATTCCGTTAAAAACTAAAACATGAAGAAAGGTGTTTGAACTAGAGACGGATAGTTTAACTAATGTTATCAATACTCCAAGAATTAGTTCAACTAACCATACTTCGTTAAACTGTATCTTTCTATTCATAAAATCCGACTTCTGCAGCTGTTGTAACCTATAATATGATATAGTGCAACATGAGAATGATTTATTCTAAATTGTCTGAATTAAAGCAGTATATGTAGGCATCTAGATATGCCACTATACATATTAATCTTAAATATTTTTATTTTTCAAATTGCAAATGGACTTTCAAGGTGAATTTTTAATCAAAGTTTTTATATTAATAAATAATAAAATTGAAATAAAAAAATAGTGAGATAGTTTTGTGTTTAAAAGTGAAAAGTGTTATGATATTACAGTATTATTACCTAAAAATATACATTTTACAAACATGTGTAAATAATTTCGTTTTGTAAATCTATCAATGTGTATCGGATTGAACACTGAACAGTCTAATATTTGGAAACCATTAATAAAATCCGTGCAATGGAATTTAGTCTTTTCCACAATCTTTTATTCTATAATCCCAATATCTTTGCATTCCAATGTTGTAGACCTTAGATATTACAAAGAAGGAATTCTGTTAGATGAAATACGCTAAGTTTAAAATATCAAAGATTTACACCATCAAGTTACAAAGATATGGATTAGACAATTTTGAATTTGTTGTAAAGACTCAGTTCCTTTACCCAGGGAGTATGGAATAGAAGGGAGATATAACTGACGCGGTTCGCCCTACCATATGATGATACATGCTTTGCAGACGGTACTCCATTTAAATAAGAAATATTTGTCTGATGTACAATTACCGCGTATACAATAACCTATTCTGAAAATTTCATATACAAATGAAGTACCCGTCTGCAAAGCATGCTTAATCATATAGTAGGGAGAACCGCGTCAGTTGTATTTCCCTTCTATTCCTTACTCCCTGACCTTTATCTCTGGCAAAATCACAACTGTGTTTCGGGAGTGCTTTTTTTCTAATTCTAGAAAGTAAGTTATTGTGTTTGATTCTTAAACAGAATTACAAAATATCTCAGGTCCGGAAATTTCTAAAAAGTTGTGAGTCTTTTTTGCTTTTAAAATTTCTAGAAAAGCAAAGCATTTAATTTAGGTTTTAAATTATATTGACAAAAACCAAAATTGTCGTAAAGTACAATTTTTTGATAAAATTTACTACATGAATGAGTTACATGAAATCATAAAAAGCTCTTAAGTTGCACATCTTTTTTATACACACTTTGTCATATATGTTATCTTCGCTCATAGATATATGTTAGGTATGGCTGGCCAAACGGCTGGACCAAATTGGCCATTTTTCAAGATAGATTTATTTTTTAACTCCAAGGGCAACGCCGGGCACTTCAGCTACTTATCTTTAAGCCTAGAAGCTTGCTTTTAAAATCATTTTTTTCTTTAGTAAACTGATTGATTCCTACGCCCCTGAAGATATCTATGGAGAAAGCTATCCCTATGACACCGAACCTTTTAACGGAACCAGCAGATGGACTAACAGCTCAGCCATTGGAGAGGATTATGCCGGACTACTGGTCATATTTATTAATAAAGGGAGTTGGAACTTAATGAATGAGCTTTAACTTCAAGCAAATTCAAACTCAACAATGGAAGCATTTCTTTCTTTGATAACGAACCAACAGGAAATCTGATACATTGTGCACCATGAAGCAACCCATACGATTACTAACTGAACCATAACTATAGTTTAACTACTTCACTCTCATTCATTAATTTCCATCTCTGATTTAATGAAGATATGTTTTTATACTATATTGGGCGTTGTAACTATTTGCTTTAAATGGCTACAAATAAGCATTGTAACGATTTGGTTAAATTGTTACAAAAAGCGTTGTAACGATTTGTTTAAATTGTTACAAAAAGCGTTGTAACTATAAGGTTAAATTGCTACAAAAAAGCGTTGTAACTAATTGTTTAAAATGTACAAAAAAGCGTTGTAACTGATTGTTTAAAATGTACAAAAAAGCGTTGTAACTATTTGGTTAAATTGTTACAAAAAAGCATTTAACGATTTGGTTAAATTGTTACAAAAAAGCATTTAACGATTTGGTTAAATTGTTACAAAAAAGCATTTAACGATTTGGTTAAATTGTTACAAAAAAGCGTTTTAACGATTTGGTTAAATTGTTACAAAAATATCTAGATTTATTTTACATTTCACATTTGTAATTTTACCGAAACCAAAACATAACATTTAAAAAAAATGTAACAGCAAAAATTCGAGTGTAACTTAAAGTTAAGAATGCTCGAGAATTATGAGGAAAATCCGGGAACAGGAAAAACCGGAATCCAGGAACCAGTCAGTCTCCTTCCTCAAACACGAGAACATGTACTCCTGGATATTAATATACCTATTCAGAAAAAAACACATATGTGGTGACCCCAGACAACAACTGAGCCACGGCCAAAACGCAGCCTCCAAACTGGAAACAGCTCAAGATTTGGCCAAAGAAGCAATCTCACGAACAATCTCAACTTCCTTATCTGCAAGCTTTTGCTTACATCATGTTATTTGAAACATTTTGTTGGCACTCTATCTTACAGCTACTCCTGGAGCTAATCAGCTACTTAGCTACTCTCTGAGTTAATCAGTTACACAGCTACTCCCGGAGCTATTCAGCTACACAGCTACTCCCGGAGCTAATCAGTTGTACAGCTACTCTAGAAGCAATCCACTGCATAGCTGCTCCCGAAGCTAATTAGCTACACTACTACTTCCGGAGCTAATCAGCTACACTGCTACTCTGGGAGCTAATCAACTATACAGCTACTTCTGGAGCTAATGAGCTACACAGCTACTCCCGGAGCTAATCAGCTACACAGCTACTCTCGGAGCTAATCAGCTACACAGCTATTGTCGGAGCTAATCAGCTACACAACTACACCCCAAGCAAATCAGCTACACAGCTACTCCTGGATCTAATCATCTACACAGCTACTCCAGCTAATCAGCTATATAGCTACTCCCGGAGCTAATGAGCTACACAGCTACTCCCGGAGCTAATTAGCTACAGAGCTACTCCCGGAGCTAATTAGCTATACAGATACTTCTGAAGCTAAAATCTAAAAAGAAACTCCTATACCATACAAATGGAACCAACAAGCAACTCAGATAAACTTCGTCCTATATGGAACAGCCTTCCAAAGCAACCTATTTCCAATGAATTCTCAAATGATTCCATATCAGTCTCAACCTACAATGGATCTAGAAACTTGGGGGGACCTATGTAGCAGCAATAATTCGAGTCTAACTGAAAGTTAAGAATGCTCGAGAATTATGAGGAAAATCCGGGAACAGGAAAACCAGAAACCAGGAACCAGTCAGTCTCCTTCCTCAAACACAAGAACATGTACTCCTGGATATAGTAATACATGTTTATTTACCTATTTAGAATAAACCATATCTGTATCCTTGTTCTTACTTAAAAAATTCTTAATTGAATTTACTTTTTTTGTTATTAAGGGTGCATGGGAAACCTTTAAATATATAAATCAGGGTGCAGGGCACGTGGATTTAACGGTTCCTGTCAATATATCAGAAAGCTTTGGCTTTCGATCACAATTTGAACAATTATTCATAATATTTTATCTTTTTTTTCTTCAATACTTTTTTTGTCGGCATATACATTTTGAATGAAAAAGTATTAAGTAAACAAATCCGTAAGTTTAAAGATTGTTGAAATATAGACCAAAACACGTTTGATTTAAAATAAATGAAACCGAATGCTTCTCACTCTGGTTAGTCCGGGGAAACCTTTATATATATATTCAGGGTGCAGGAGAAACCTATGATGATGGTAATGGAGGGGATGGAGGTGAGAAGAATATTCACATCTTGAATGAAAATAAAAATTATATTCTAAATATATAAAATAGTAGTTTTATGTCCCACAGAAATGTTAATAGTTTTAAAAGCTTCTAAATTAAGTGGTATGACTTTAATAGAGAAAGTTTGGATTGCAGGCAAGCTGGGTTCCCAAGCTAGTCTATATATAATCTCTGCTTGAGTGGGTTGGTGTTTGTTTGTTTGTCCGATCATAACTCGGTAACCCCTGGACCGATTTGTCTCAAATTTTGATTGGGAAACTCGGGAGAGCCATGGGAATGTTCTCAGCTTTGTTTTGAGATTCTTAAATGACTGAAAAAATAGCTAAAATCGTAATTTACGACCAAGCGCGGGTAAACGGAAGTAGTAACTATGAATAACCTGGGCAACGCTGGGTTCCTATAAGCTACATATAAATCTCTGTTTGGTGTTTTGTTTGTCTACTTGATTGGATGTCCGATCATAACTCAGGAACCCTTTGACTGGTTTTGATTGGAGAATTCAGTGTTACTACAGCAATGTGTTTTAGCTTGCTTTGAAACTTCTCATTCAAGTGGGTTGACTTTTATTATTAGGAAAACTCCATGCAAAGCTGGGTTTCCTATTCACAATGGTACCCTTGTAACCTTTCTCTGATCAATATTGTCGTTTTTTAAGTGTACAAGTGTTTAATTCTTATAATTCCTATGTAGTTTCCTGCATTAAAAATACGCAAGTTATTTTTGTTAGAGAAACCACTGCACAACTAGAAATTAGAATTTTCAAAACTATAAACATTGATATCTCATTTATAGTTGATTAGTTGATATTTGATGGAGGGTCATATTACGCCTTAATTTAATTATTTCAGATACGTGTTTTTCTGATGATCAATGTCTGGCTAAGTACAGTGAAGTGTCAAGTCCTGAAGATATGAGTATGCTAGGATGTAAACATAACAGATGTGATTTCTGTAAAAACGAGGCTTACCAGTGCACAGAACCTGATTCACAGTGCAAGTAAATTCATTTCTTAATTTTAAGAAATTCAATACAATACTTTGTTTATGAAAAGTCTCAATAAGGGGGGGGGGGAGGCATATTAAGTAGTATTTCATCGTCTCATTTATCTGGAATTTTTTGTGGGTATACTACACATTCACATAAAAGGATGAATAAGATATGCATGTTTTTCTCTTTGAAGAGTTTAAATCTGAAATTGCAATCTTTGAATGGAGGGTCACTTGAACTTACGCTTACAGTCCTTTTAGTAGTCTCTATTTCTATTTGTCAATGACTCTCTGAATGACCAACCCTGATATTTGAACCTTCTATTCTAGAACCAACCCTGATATTTGAACCTTCTATTCTAAATCCAACCCTGATATTGGAACCTTGTACTCTAGAACCAACCCTGATATTTGAACCTTGTGTTCTAGAACTAACCATGATATTTGAACCTTCTATTCTAGAACAAACCCTGATATATGAACCTTCTATTCTAGAACCAACCCTGATATATGAACCTTCTATTCTAGAACCAACCCTGATATTTAATTTGAACCTTGTATTCTAGAACCAACCCTGATATTTGAGCCTTGAATTCTAGAACCAACCCTGCTATTTGAACCTACTATTCTAGAACCCTGATATTTGAACCTTGTATTTAAGAACTAACCCCTGATATTTAAACCTTCTATTCTAGAACCAACTCTGATATTTGAACCTTGTATTCTAGAACCAACTCTGATATTTGAATCTTGTATTCTAGAACTAACCCTAATATTTGAATCTTCTATTCTAGAAATAACCCTTATATTTGAATCTTGTATTCTAGAACTAACCCTGATATTTGAATCTTCTATTCTAGAACTAACCCCGATATTTGAACCTTGTATTCTAGAACTAACCCTCATATTTGTACCTTGTGTTCTAGAACTAACCCTGATATTTGAACCTTGTATTCTAGAACCAACCCTGATATTTGAACCTTGTATTCTAGAACCAACCCTGATATTTGAACCTTGTACTCTAGAACTAACCCTGATATTTGAACCTTCTATTCTAGAACCAACCCTGATATTTGAACCTTGTATTCTAGAACCAACCCTGATATTTGAACCTTGTATTCTAGAACTAACCCTGATATTTGAACCTTGTACTCTAGAACTAACCCTGATATTTGAACCTTCTATTCTAGAACCAACCCTGATATTTGAACCTTGTATTCTAGAACAAACCCTGATATTTGAGCCTTGTATTCTAAAACTAACCCTGATATTTGAACCTTGTATTCTAGAACTAACCCTGATATTTGAACCTTGTATTCTAGCTAGTCCTGATATTTGAACCTTTTATTCTAGAACCAACCCTGATATTTGAACCTTGTATTCTAGAACCAACTCTGATATTTGAACCTTGTATTCTAGAACTAACCCTGATATTTGAATCTTCTATTCTAGAACTAATCCTGATATTTGAACCTTCTATTCTAGAACCAACCCTGATATTTGAGCCTTGAATTCTAGAACCAACCCTGATATTTGAACCTTCTATTCTAGACCCAACCCTGATAATTGAACCTTGTATTCTAGAACTAACCCTGATATTTGAATCTTGTATTCTAGAACTAACCCTGATATTTGAGCCTTGAATTCTAGAACCAACCCTGATATTTGAACCTTGTATTCTAGAACCAACCCTGATATTTGAGCCTTGAATTCTAGAACCAACCCTGATATTTGAACCATGTCGTTTGACCCTGGGTCGTTTGACCCTTTGTCGGTGAATCTAAAAATCTATATACATACTTTGTTTGGGTGTCTGTTTGTTTGTATCCAATAAACGTCAAAACGGCTGAACCGATCGGGCAAACATTTTGCATGGACCTTTACATGACGTCAGGAAAGGTTTATGAATGCTTAGAGCTTTAAAATTTGCCTCCACAAATTTTGATGATCCACGACAAAATATGATTAAATACAGAAAATCTTTTTGTTTTTGTTTTAAGATGATCACAGAGACAAAATGATCACAGATAAAAGAGTTGAAATAGAAGATAGGCACCGGCACGAAGGGCTCTGAAAGTCTAGTATGTAGTAAAACTTCAGCCTAATTTTTTTTAAAAATCGACTTGGATTGTTACCGAAGCCCGGCCCTAGCTCTATAATGTCGTTTAGAAATAAGGTACACGTTTGGAGGTCCAAACTTTTAAATGAGCTTATTTATAATCCCTCAATTTATTATTCACAGTAGAAACTTTTAATGAGAAGCGATACAATGCTTAATATCTGGAAATCTGATATTGGTACTTAAACGCTATAGCATATGGATTTTACTAAAAAGAACGAATTAACATAATCTGACAAATATCACATTCAAGGAAGGAATTATCGATTGAAAAGAACCGTCCTCAGAAAGCATTAAAAAATACCTGCTCACTGTGATTTTGCCAGGCTAATTTTTTTTTACATAAACGTACTGAGTCGATTCTACACTTGGTAATTCTGACAGGACATGTACAAGTAAATGCAAAGGCAGTACATGTTGTACCGGCTCGGATCATACAGTACAGTACATGTTGTACCGGCTCGGATCATACAGTACAGTACATGTTGTACCGGCTCGGATCATACAACTTTTAGACTGGGGTGGCTAGATACATAAAATAAACTGTAATTGACATTTTTCATTTAAAATTTTGATTTTTTTTTACCAATTTTCTTTATTCAGTCATCTGCAGAGTGTGAGAAAGGGCAAATATGCAAAAAGGGACAGTGCGTGAATAATGGTTGTAGAACATCTGATGATTGCAACAGGGGGCATATTTGTGAAGAAATCTGCATAAATGGGGTAAATTTTTTATATAAATATAAATGTAATTATTTGGGTAAAGATGGATATTATTTTTTAACAATATTTAGCAGACTTACAAATAACTTAATTGTCTGTATAAACAATATTCAAATTTTCATTGTAAGCACAGAGATGACATTAAAGCTGCATATTTACAATAATCAATTTTAACCTTGAACAAATAAACAAGCTTGATTATTTGTTCAAGGTTAAAGGTTTAGAGGGCCACGTTGTGAATCTCGGCAATGTACATGTCTGATTTTAAACCTTGCCTTTTAACACTTTATTGGAGCAATAATGGGGAGGATATCGTCGGTTTTCTAGATTTATTAGTGAACTTATTATAATTTCCTCTGATTATTGTTCATGCAGAAGAAATGTCGTTTGTACAGAAACCAGAATTGAAAATAATGAATTTTTTAAATTGATAGCAATGGATATCCTTTTATTATTGAAAATACCGTTTAAGAGTAACGTTGTAACGACCCCTGAGCCCAATACTTAAGACAGGGTATCGTTATGAAAACCAGTTTTAAAACCCGGGTTTCACGAATGGGGTTAGGCAGTTTTGAAAATATCAATATTTTTGTAATGAAATATTATTTTATTCAGTTTGTTTATATTCTCTATTTTTTCGAATTTCTTAAATCAAAATCTACACAAATGTTTAAGACCCCAAAAAGGAAACACGGGAGTTTCGGTCAACGAGACTCTTTTAAGTTTGGGCTCTGATAGTCCTTTTTTATATACAAAATCCAATTAATAACATTATGGTTTTTAGCCCTGTGTTGGAGTTTGCACAAGTTTGTGTAAAGTTTACAAAAACTGTTTTAAGGATCCTGAAATCAAAGTTAAGGTATGAAAACCCAGTGAGATATTTTTTTTCTGAACTTATTGAAAAGTTTCACAAAAAATTATATTAATCTATTTTTAATACAAACCATTTCAGTGATAACCAGAAAACTCTGGAATAGGAAGTCGACTTTTAGGCTAAATTTATGACTTTAAATAGCCCAATGAACATGAGGCACAGCAATTGTGCAGTGTAAACAGACCCAATTCACTTAATAACTGTGATTAATTGTTTCTTCCTATTTTTCAGTTTTCTGATGATACATGTATGCAATGCATATTATAAATCTATTAAGATTTTTTTTTATTTTTATAACAATGAATACTATCTTTTTTGTAATTTAAGAATACATTTTGATTTTCTACAGGGGAATGCACTTTGCGAGACAAACAAAGAATGTTCTGATTTTTTTAAAAAAGAACTGACCTGTGACAAGGGAGTTTGTGTTAAATATGGTAATATCATCTAATTATATATATAACCAAACTCTTCGTTCATGAGTCAAAAAAAGTATGATTTGCGGCGCCTTGTGCAAAATTGTACCTTTTTGTGCAACTCTCCTGCATGGTGTTTTTTCAATATTTTTTGAATATTTTTTTGAATTTTTTTTTGGTACCCCAATGGCCCAAAAGAAAATCCGCGAACCTTTTATTTCTCTCAAAATCAAAAGTTCAGAACAGCAAAAATATGTATATAAATTATTTTTATTGAAATCTAAAATTTTGAATCAAAGAATCACAGAAAATTCGTAAAATTGTAATAAGAAAATTCAGAATTTTTAATTTTGGTCTAATTTTTAATAAAAATTATTTAAATGCACTAGTTCCTTTCGGGTCTGTCCTAGTGAACGATGTTTGGACCCCCCCCCCCCTGTGTAGTATTAACACCTGTGTTATATGTTTTGGCTGTGCTCATGTAAATTTTGAATAAAATTATATCAATCAATTTAGTTTATATTTTGTGCAAACTTGTTAACAAGACAGTTGTTGACTTCAAAGTCTTCTTAGTAAAATAAAAGAGATCAATAAGGATATTTCTTAACATTTATTTAAAAAAACGAAAGTTTTGAAATATTTTTCCCAGTCAGGGTTGGAAATTGGTTGGTTAGAAATTAACAAGGAACTATTGACGAATATCTGTAGTCACATCATGGGAGCTTTGTAGAGCTTCATGTTGGTGGTGCAGATCAACTGGAACAACAGGTATCCGGACCTCTTACCAGGCTTCACATTAGGGGGGAGAGTTCTCGGGTTTATCATTTTCGAATTTGAAGGATTGCGTCTCAATGTTCGCATGATAATTTAGGAACTCTTGGAACATTATTGAGCTGGATGTAAGCATCGTCCGTTGATAGCTAGGTATCTGTATCATCACCATGAAGGAGCCAGGGTGCTCCCTGAGACAGAGTTGTGTCTCAATGTTTGCATGATAATTTAGGAACTTTTGGAACATTATTGAGCTGGATGTAAGCATCGTCTGTTGATAGCTAGGTATCTGTATCATCACCATGAAGGAGCCAGGNGTATTTATGTGAACAACAGTGTTTTACAGGGTCACCCACTTAAGATGTGATCCGACAAGACTTAATTTCTTTCTGCGGCAAATTACGCAGTTTATCAATCAGTTTATCCATAAAACTTTTTTCAAGGCCTTCAGGTCCAAATATTTAAAGATGCTCAGTTGTCATTAAAGTCTCATCAATTTTTGGATAACCTAGCTTTAAATAAATCGAGGAATATGAAAACATCAAGACAATTGATGAAGTTGAGAATCAAAAATATATATTAGACATTATCTTTGAGGCATCTCCAATTCTCAATACTACCATAAGGAGGCAACCTCCCCTGCACAGCTTCCGAACATCATTTTACCTATTTGCAGCAGTGCTTGTCCCCATAGGAGTTCCAAACCTCCCCTAAACAGTCGTCCGGGAATGATATTCTGTTTTTAATCCTAAATTTGACTCAAAACAAGACTAATTCAATTATATGAGCAAGGTAGTTCATCTATTGTTGGGGTAGCAATACAAAGAGAATAGATTAGTTTCTGTTCTGTGGTTAAGTGTAGGATTAATGCATATGAATAGTTTGGTCATTTGAACGTCAAAAGTTTGGTCATTTCAACATCAAAAGTTTGGTCATTTGGATGTCAAAAGTTTCGTCATTTCGACTTCCAAAGTGACATCATTTCAATGTCAAAAAATAGGTCGTGAGCATGTAAAAAAGTGTGTGTTTAACATCCCTGCAACGTCCTTTTTACATTCCCTGGTTGATAGGGTAAGATTAATTAGAATATTTTTGTTTCATTTAAAGAGTTATAATAAAGTATGAGACTTGGGGGAGGGAGGGAAGGCCAAGCGGCCATGAACCCTATGGAAAAGTCTCAGAAACCCTGCAGAAACAGTCTCCGAACCCTGTAGAAAATCTCTTAACCCTGTAAGGAGCCAAACATGTGTTATTCGGGGGGAAATTGCATAATTTCTCCATTTTATTCAACATATGCCACAGGATCACACAAAAGTATTACTGATAAATGCAATTTTGATCTTATTCACGGCCTTAGTATATGTTTATTTTGTATTCCTATTTTAGGCTAAAACTTTAAAATTGACTTGCAAGAAAATGATTTATATTGGCATAAGTCTGCATTCATGAGAACTAACATTTTGTCCAAAAACAATTAATTATTTTTCTCAATTTCATTGATTTTTGTAATAAAAAGTTTTTGACCTACTTACTACTCCCAGTTCTTTAGTTTAACCTATTTTCAAAAGCTTAGGTTAAGCAGCGCAACAAAGCACAATGTTTTTAGTATTTAGATAGATAGATAGATAGATATATATTTGACTAAATATTTAATTAAAAACAATTTCAATTGCACAATTTTTACATTTTAATTTAGTCAGGGTCTCTCTAACCATTGTTGGTTGTTTTGAATGTGAGGCCCTTCTTCAGCGATACATACATGTTCAATTTAAACAATACAAAATAAAACAAAAACAATTTAGAACTGAAGGAAAAGGAGGAAAAGGAAAAGTAGTAGATAGAGGAAAGGTAAAGTTTGCCAATCATATATTTAAACATAAAAACAGCAGAATTAAATTTGATCATGTCTTTTATTTTTAGAATTTCAAGTTTCAGAAAAAGTGGATCTGCATGTGCAGCATAACCTATTTCAATGATATTTTTCATGAAAATACATTTATCTTTTTAATGTAGTCCACCGCTTTTATAATTCCGGTCATTAAAGGTCAGTTTTACTCCCAAATATGATTTTAAAGTGATTGGCGCTGGAATTATTATAACTACTCACGTAAGTATAAATATCGAAATAGAATGATATTTTGCATTTATTAAGTTTTTCTGCCTTTTCGTTTTTTTTGTATCATCTTAATGTTATTTTCAATTAAAAATATATAATCTTTTACTAATTCTAGGGAGTTAAATACCTGTTCTGGCTGAAAAGTGTTCACACAAATTTCTTCACATTCAACTTTTATTCTAGCATCAAGGCAAAAGAATGAGGGGAAATGTTAGTATAAGGGGGGGGACTTGCGTGAAATTAAATGTACAAAAGGGGATGGGTAAGATATTATTCTGTTCCTTTTCCTATCCCATATTATTCTTAATTCCCCTTTCTCTCCTTCCCCATTCCTTTCACCTTCCCTACCCTACCCCTTTCTTAGGCCTTTTCTCATTCCCCGTCCTTGTCCCATTGCTTCTCCCTTTCATGGCCTTTACCTACATTTCCCATTGCTTCTCCCTTTCATGGCCTTTACCTACATTTTATTTCAATTCCTACCCCCATCCTCCTTGATCCCCTTTCCACCTTTTCCACTTTCCCCTCCCCTTTCCCCCCTTCATTTTCTCCTTCTTTCCTCGTTCCCTGTCATTCCTTTTTCCTCTCCAATTTATTTTCCTCCTCTTTTTCCCTCCCCTTCTTCCCTCCCCTTCCCCTTTAGCTGTCCCCTTCCCTATTTCCCATCCGCATGCCTCCCCTTGCTCTTTCTCCTTTCCCACTTTCCCTTCCCCTTTTTATTTCCCTTTTCCTATCCCCTTTTATCCTTTCATTTCCCCTTCTTTTCTTTCTCATATCATTTTCCCCTCCCCTTAACCGTTCTTTTCCTTATTCCTCTTTCCTATTCCCATCCCATCCCCTTTGTCTTTTCCTCCCCCTTTCCCCACTCCCTTTTCTCTGTCTCCTTTCCTCTTTCCCATCCCCGTTCTCTTCCACTTTCCCTTCCCCCTTCTCGTTTCCCACTTTCCATTCCTGTTTTCTTTTTCTCTATACCCTTTTCCTTTCTTTTTCCCCTTTCTCTGTCCCCTTTCCCTTCTCCGCTTCCCTTTTCCTTTTCTTTACTGTTTCCACTTCCCCTTCTTCTATTCTATTTCCCCTTTCCGTTAGCATATAACAACAATATTATAAAGATTGTAAACAATAACACAAATGATAAACAGACATCTAGGGGGGGGGGGGGGGGACAGGATAACCTTGAATTTGATTGAAAATGTCTCTGTAATAAGGTTCTTTTCGTATAAAACTAAAATCCTTAACTTTTTTAATCTTTTTTAACAAGATAATACCACTTTCACAGTATATACTAACTCATCGTAACATTAGATCGGCTGCCTTTGTTATTGTTGTTATCGCACCCTCCTTATATTCAATATCTCCTTGCTCTGATCAAGCATGCTTGTTAGATGCAAATGCCTGGTCTTCAAATTTTTGCAGTCCTGCATCTTATACCTTTATATTTACTTGTTATTTTATACTTCTTTGGCACAAGTTGCATCCATAGTATCATTCCATGTTATACGCACGTTGAGTGAATTATTTGAAAATTTGCGTTATAATAGTCACCCTGTATCAATTCCACCAATCACAGCACTCGGCTCATTCTCCAATAACAGCTGATTTAAGAACAAGGGCCTAGAACACAATCCTTGAAAAGCACATGTACATAAAGTGAATATAAAGTGAGTACTCTGTCTTTGTTCTAGGCCCACGTTCCAGTTAGTCCAGCAATTGTATTGGTAGCCCACGAGGGACAAATTTTCTTAAAAGATAAAAACAAAAACTTTGTTGAATTTTTCCTTCGACACTGACAACAATATTTTGTGATGATTTCCAGTGTATCTAGAAAAATTTGAAATATTTGTTTATTGACATAATGATTAATTTCCCGTTATTCTTTCAGATACCATGTTTTAAAATTATAATGCTCATATTTTCGTTAGTGATATTAATATTATTGTGAAAATAGTTGAATTAGATCGTGTGACGTGATTCTTACACAATTGGTGATTGAATATGGCGGAGTCTACACCTGCCACCATCTCCTACGCCAAGGTTGTACGGAAAGATGATGGTGTCGAGGTGAAACCGTCGATCGTTAATCAAATCCCTGAAGTTGAGAAGACTGTAGCCGCCGAATCTGCTGTTAATGATCCTAATTACGAAGATATGGAAGAAGATGAAAGCTTCAGGTTTGTTACAATTACTTGATTTTAATGTTATTGCTAAAGGAATAAAGCAAGTAATTTTCTAGAGATCGTTTTTTAGACCCCCTCCCCCCTCACATCATTTTGAACATTGATCTAATAGAAGTTATAGTCCTGTATCAGTTTTTATAGAAGTTATAGTCCTGTATCAGTTTTTATAGAAGTTATAGTCCTGTATCAGTTTTTATAGAAGTTATAGTCCTGTAACAGTTTTTATAGAAGTTATAGTCCTGTATCAGTTTTTATAGAAGTTATGGTCCTGTATCAGTTTTTATAATTACAATTTTTTAAGAAAGAAAGTCAACAAATATTCCAGCTCATGAAAGATAACATGAACTAATTAATTTTCAATTGGTACACTGAAATCTTATATTATATTAGAGAATTTTAACTATACTACTAGTCATCTTCTATTTCAATTATGAACATTTTCTCTTTATATACACTGTTAAACAGAAACAACTAAAGTTCCCGGATTTCATAAACAAATTCGTGAAGTTTCCAAATTTAGAGGCAAAATTTTGAAATTTTGATCATGACAAGAAAAATATATACATTTATTATTTTGTACAATTTTGAGAGATAAATTGTATTTATTGCATCGCATCCAATCTACTATTTATTTTTTAATTTAATTAAGTTAATAATTCTGGAAAAATAAAAAAAAATATTTGGAATCAAAATTAAATTTAGACGAAATTATATAAGATAACAAACATAACACAGGGGCAAATACAGGGTGAGTCAACTCAGAATTTTCGCTCCATTTTCCGTAGCTCCCAACGTGCGGTGGAGGGGACAATTTCCACGGGTGAGCAATTGCTTCAAGGCTCACCCTGTATATTTTCATGAGTTTATAATAAAATGTACTACTAAAATCTGAGAATTAAATGAATTATTTTTCTAAAAATTTATCTGTCTGTTCTTAGTTTAATGTTGCGTACAGGGACTTCAAACGAGATTTCAAATGACCCTCCATCCAATAATTGCAATGTCCGATCTACTACGGCACTATTTAAAGCTTTGTCTGATCAAGAGCGAATTAGATATCCATGTTTTAACTGTCAATTTTCATTAGACTCTCCCGAGTCTGGAAAATGGTGATTTCTTCCACAGTTGTGATCAGATAAAGGGTTCAAGGGTAGCGTTGTAAATCGGACAATGCCAACTTAGCATGGAGGGTTACTTAAGATAATGAATATTATTTAACTTGTGAATTATTTGAAGGAAGCGAAAAGCCCGTGGAGGGAGGAAGAGTCGAGGAAGGCGAGATGAAAAGGAGGATGCTCCTGGCAAGGAGACAACCCCTGTCAGTCCTAACCTTACCCTGGAGAAGGAGGCAGACCCTGTAGTATATGTGGAGGCCCCCCTGCCCAAGGTCAACCCCTGGAAGAAATCTGTTACTCCGGACCCTCCAGGATTAAACAACGGTGAACCCAACCTGGAAACATCTAAACCTGTAGCTGAAACTAAACCTCTTGCTGAAACTTTATCTGTTGCCGAAACTAAACCTGTTGAACCTAAACCTGTCACTAAACTTTCCGCTCCTAAACCTGAAAAGGAATCTAATAAAAGAAATGAACCCCGAGGAAAAAGGGGACCAAGAGAGGAGAGAAGGGTGAGCAAGAGGGAGGGGAAAGGAGATAAAGAACCTAAGGAGGTGAAGGTAGAGAAGGAGGTGAAGGTTGAAGATGTGAAGGAGAAGAAGAAGGTGCTACCTCCTGCCCCTAAATCAAATCCTTGGAAGAAAGTTCCTGGGTCGGACCCTCCAGTATCCATTAAGGAAGCGGAGCCAAAGGTATTTCTTTTCAACTAAAGATAACTCCAATAAATATAATATTTGAACCTTTTTATCATCCGCCATTATTAGTTGATTTCAGGGACACAAATAAGTAGCAAAAACCGAGTTAAGGTTATAAGAGAATTTTGTACGTACTTAAATTATATATAAGTCTTTAATTCACAATGAAATCATTTTCATGGACTGTACAAATGTACTAAACTAAAGACAAGTTCAATAAATATATTGGTTAACTTATTTTATCATTATTTATCCCGATTATTTGATTTCCGCGACTCAAAAGTAGTTCATCTACCTGAGCGCCAGTTCAAATTTTGAATTATAGATTCAAAGTGAAAGATTCATTTTGACTTGGTTGTGCATGCTCATAAGCTCTAAGAAATCAAATGCAAATTTTTAATTAAAACATTTTTAGATCATAAAATCTGATCCAAGTGTAAACAAGAAGGCTAGTGATTTCAGTGCCTGGCCCGACCTAAGCGAACAACCAAGGTAGTTATGTTGTAATAATTGCCTGAAGACATAATTTCAAGTAATTCCATTTATTAAGTTCTATTTACGATCCAGCGCTATCCATCAAATCAAGAATATTTGAGATATCCTTTCTTTTAGATTGGACAATGGAATTTTTTTCAATTGTGGTTTCTTTTTAAAAGTGACTTGAGGATTTGTGTACAAAAAAAACAATTAAAGAAACTGTCAGAATTCAGCACCTTAAGATAAATGAGGTTTAAAGGGTACCGTTGTGAATCATGCAATCCACTCAATAATTGAAGCGTCTTTTTTCATATCCTGTTACTGTAATTGCACACACACGCTCGATAAAAAGTGACGTATTTTTTAATAGTTAAAATTGTCACTTAGACTGAAAGCAGTTATATCTTTGCCTTAATCAGGGAAAATGGGCGTCTATTCAAAATGGTTCTATGTCTAGGTTTACATAACCATTGGATGCGGCTTTCATCGAATCGGGCTTTCTCTTGGGGCTTTGAGTCCGATTGCTCGATCCGCACGAGCATAAACCATTGCACTCTGCGATGCTAACGGGTCCAGAATACGTACTTAATATGGTTTTGTCTGGGACTAGGGATGGGTAACTGGTTGTGTTCGCGCTATTAGGAGCCTCGTTTACTGATTTTGGGAACAAAATTTAGGAGATCTCCTTTGATCAAGGATATAAGTGAAGCATCTAAAACTGCTAATAGATGCCGAATCTTACTTTTTGATAAACAGTTTGGTTTTTCTCATTTATTTTTTCGCTTCTCATGATCTCGGTAACTTTCAAGTTGTTACTTCTTGGTAAATAATTTTTCATATTCAATTCTCAACATCTCGGCGCAAAGCTTAGAAAACCACAATTTTATTCTTTTTAATTTTGACCTAAGTGCATAGCGCATGGACCTGATTTTTGATGGAGAAATTCAGTTTAAGGCTTTTAAATTTTTCCCCTGTTTTATTTTACAATATTTCTTCATTTAGATTTCAATATTATTAAAGTCCTGGTGTTTTAGTCTAACTTTTACCCTCAATTGTTGTCTGTAAGTGCATAGCATAGGTTCCCCTCGTATTTTTTTCGTTTTGATAGTTTTGTTGAAGTTTGTGTTGAAGTTTGTGTTGAAGTTTGTGTTGAAGTTTGTGTTGAAGTTTGTGCTGGTTTAAAGTTAAATTTTAAATTTTTTTTTTTTCTCTGCTTGTCCTGAGAACGATCAGTGTTCTTTTGTACACAAGTGCAAAGCAGATGGTGCTGATCTAAACATTTAAAAAAATTTTTTTTTTAATATTGAAATGTACAGTTGTAATATTAAGTCCCGTTAAATTGTATGTTTAAATTTATGTTTTTGGATCAGAAATATAGATTTAATTAAAGATTTTGGGAACAAATAAAAAATTTCTAAAATATTTTGCTAGATAATTGAGATGTGTGTTAAAAGGTTAAAACATTTTTTACCAGAATTTGCCAATGGATCCGCATGTTTATCCGGATCTAGGGAGCCAAGATCCGCATATCTTTCCGGATCTAGGGAGCCAAATTGTTACGGATCCAAAATCTGGATGTTTTAGATCCGTAAAGTTATGATATTCAAAGCACCTATTTTCCTAGCTTTAGCCTCTAAATACAAAAAAAATTGGACTTGGGGAAGGTGTATGTTTATTGGCGTTACAACAGCTTGCAATTTTTTTCCAAGTTCTTTAAGGAAATATATAAAGGTTTATTTTTATCCAATTTCAAAAAAATATCTAGACCTACTCCGTTCAGGAAGAGAACTGGCGACAAAACTCGACCTTTGAAGTCTAAGAAAACTGGCGACCTAACGGAGACGACCGGAGACAGCGGAGCACTCTCTGGGATGGAGACCAATTCCGACACTAAGGAAAATCAGGTAAAAAATCCATATTTTAAAATCCAGTTCATCTACCCACTTCCCCCTCTATCTTTCAAGAGACCTTCCATTAAGAAAAAAAGAAAAATTGAGGCATGTTACCCTCATTTGTAAAGCAGAAGATTGAGTGCCGGAAAACTAGAGGTTATATTGTACACTGTACAATGTGCACTCCGTGCTAGAGTACACTCGCACTTAATTTCCCGCTAAATAAATAAGAATATATTCGATATTCTCCGGAAGATCACTTAGAATTACGCTTTAGCCCCTGTAAGGCGTGGATCTTTTGTTGTCTCTTTACTTGAAAAGATTATTATTAACTGGATCAATAATCCAAATATAAATATTTTTATTTGCTGGATCAATAATCCAAATATAAATATTTTCATTGGCTGGATCAATAAATCAAATATAAATATTTTTATTAACTGGATCAATAAATCAAATTTAAATATTTTTATTAACTGGATCAATAAATCAAAAATAAATATTTTTATTAACTGGATCAATAAATCAAATATAAATATTTTTATTAAATGTTATATTGTTCAGGCCCCGTCTAAGAGTGGAGAATCTGATGCTAAGAAAAGGAAGAGTAAAACTGGTAAAACTTTAACTTTTTAAAGGATTTTTATCTCAGATTTGCATTCGTCTCTTAATTCTTGAAGGAGGATAGATTAGTTATTTGGGATTGGGTATTTGTGTGTAAACAACATAGTTTGTAGCGTAAGTTATATGAAGAATATCAAGAAAGTTTAATATAATAATCAGCAAGTTGTAACTATGGTTTTAACATGAAATTCATATCCTTGTTTTTTCTCTCTGAAAATTATTAATATCCAAATTTATATTTTCGTTTTATAAAGAAAGATAATTCGGAATAATGAATTTGAAATATTTTTCTAATATATTTCTCAATTTTGTGTTTATTTGTATTCAGTGACGCCATATTGTCAATTCAAATTTTATGGATATGCTTGTTAGTTATCAATGTTTTAGCACTATTTTGGACAAATGTGTTTTTCTCATTTTTCTCGACTCGGTGTTTTTTTTTCCCTATACTTTGAACATGATCTGTTGTTTTTCATTCATTTTGTCTTCTCTTTTATTTTTGTAATTAAATATTCCAGTTTTGTCTTTTTCCTCTGAACCCTGGCTTTCCTTTTCCAGTTCCCCTTCTTGAAGAGGGCTTAAGTGACCTTCCAGTGAATTCTGACATTTTTCAACCCCCCCCCCCCCCCCCCCTCCTATTTCCCGCGAGTATGGAATTTAAATAATTAAACTTCAGCAAAACAATTATCGGTCAGAAGTATTTATGCAAATGTTATATAGAGAATTTTTGTTAATACAACTGAATACTTGCTTCAAATTCTCTTTTAAAACCATCTTATCTTTGCAACCTGATGTTGCAGACCCTTAATATTTCAAGGTATGAAGTCGGCTCCAGATCTTTTTGTCAAAGTTTGAAATATCAAAGGTCTACTGAGGGGTATCTTCCCATCTCTCTTATTGCCAGCTTTAACAGAGTGCAACAGTTGACACAGGTAGAATAACAAGCTGTAACAGGTAGAATAACTTCTGTAACAGGTAGAATAACAGCTGACACATGTAGAATAACAGCTGACACAGGTAGAATAACAGCTGACACGGGTAGAATAACAGCTGACACAGGTAGAATAGCAGCTGACACGGGTAGAATAGCAGCTGACACAGGTATAATAACAGTTGACATGGGTAGATTAACAGCTGACACGGGTAGAATAACTGTTGATAGTTGACACGGGTAGAATAACAGCTGATGGAACATCTATATTCTCACCAATTATATTGTTCAATATAAAATTTAGTTTTTTCAATATAGATAGTGAAGTAAATTTTGTTGTAAAAACTCTGGGTTATAATCGCCTTGAGTATATATGGTTAACCCCAAATTGTACGGTTTTATTAGAACTATATTATTGATTTTGTTTAATCAAATGAGAACAGAAATAAGGATAGGGCCAGTGTTGTTAACATATAACCACATTAGGACAAGTAAAGTGATATTCTTATAAAAAGTTAACAAGGCTCTTTATACTTGTAAAACGGGTGCCTTGCCCCGTTTCCCCCATAACATGGAAATAAATAATACTTAAGCCCCCACCCCACCCCTCGGACAAATTCCTGGATACGCCCCTGTTCTAGAGATGTCCTAATACTAGGTGGGGGGGGGGGGGGTTGGAAGCTATTTAAGCTGTAGGTTAACCCCCCCCTTCCCCCTCCTTACCCCCCAGTAACCCCTCACCAGCATAAATGTGTTGCCGGCCGGTACATCTTTAAACTGCGCAATTTACTATTTCTATACGACGCAATATGTAAATTTCGCAATTCAGACAATTTTTACTATGAATGCACAAATTTTCTTGCACACTGCATTTTTAAAGAATTGCATGAATTCACTTGATAGTTATGAAAATATAACGAATTGAATTATGAGCTATTTTACGAAATTTACGCCAGACTCTGCTTGCGTATAGGTCTGTCTAAGTAAAATAATCAAGTTCTTGGCTTTAGTCCCAACTTGCACGAGGATCAAGTAGAAAGGTCTGTTGCGTACATTTGCGCAGTTTTCTCGAGAGCACATGTTAAGCGTCTTTTAAATATGAAATATAAACTTGTCTGAGACATTTTCCTTATTTTTAAAGATTAATGCGTATTAGTTATCTTGTTAAAAATCGTGGACTTAAATGGAGTGTTCGCGAAAAATGAAAAATGAAAGGGGGTATAGGCTTACGGCGAAAATTAAGAGCTTATGATCGCTACTAATCTGCAACTTAATCTGAATTTATTTGGACGCTAGGTTTCTCATCATGAGTAGTTTTTTACAATTTTCTCCTTATAGACGCAACAGATTAGTAGCGATGAAAAGCGCTTATTTTTCGCTGTATGCCTATACCCCCTTTCATTTTTCGCGAACACTCCCTTTAACTTAAATTTTCAGTGAAAAAACAGTGGACAGTTGTTCCTCTTGACATCTCTAACAAGAAGAAACCTCGAAGAAACAATACACTCAAGTAGAAAATTATTTTACTTTTATCTACGCTATATTTAATTTATTCTTTCATCTATTTCTTTAATATTTCACTTGTGCAGTAGTTCAGTATCAATACTAATATTTTATCCTTTATTCACTCGTTAATTCATACATTTTGTTACTTCTCTTTATTACATGAGTGAATTTTTTTTTTTATATGGACTTTCCTCCGAGAGAGATGCTCTGCAAGAAACAGAAAGAGATGATTAGGACAATAAAAGAGCCATGGCCAAACCTGGTCAAAGATAGATGGTGTAATTATTCGATGAGATTGCTTTACTATTACATGAGTGAATTTAAAAAAAAAAAATCCAGATGTAAAAGGTCATTTTTCTTCAGATCTTCAAAAATATATTTTTTCCAGGGGGGTAATATTTTTATCTACAGTCTACTCCCTTGATTTACTTTAAAAATTGTTTAGAGACACAAAAAATACCCGTGAGGAGGAACGGAATCGTCGGAACCGTAGATCCGGCGGAACAGTCTCTAAACCATCCTCGAGACTGAAGAAACCGGTTAAATCTAAACCTCGTCGTATCTCGGGGGATGAATTCTTCACCTTCAGTCTAGACGGTCTCCTTCCAGCCTATGGAGACCCCAGCCAGGTAGCCAGCTTTAGATTTAAAGCTCTTTTCTTCTCAAAAATTATTTATATTATATAAATTTATAACTTGAATTTTAATTCTCGATATTTAACAAATGTAATTATCCAGGATCCAACATTTGTAACCCCTGTCCTGGGCACAACCTACTACCACGACACAATCAACGCCAGGATGAACGACCAAGTGTCGGAGGACGTTCTCAAGAACTACGTCAAGCATCAAATGTAAGTGATAACCGTTGTCGCTCTAAATTTAAATTGAATGTGTTAGATTAATGTTATGTAAAAAATTAACAAAGAAATATTTTTTAGTGAATATTACTTCTCTTTGGATAATCTGCAGAGGGACTTCTTCCTTCGTCGGAAAATGACTCCTGAGGGGTATCTTCCCATCTCTCTTATTGCCAGCTTTAACAGAGTGCAACAGTTGACACAGGTAGAATAACAAGCTGTAACAGGTAGAATAACTACTGTAACAGGTAGAATAACAGCTGACACATGTAGAATAACAGCTGACACATGTAGAATAACAGCTGACACAGGTAGAATAACAGCTGACACAGGTAAAATAACAGCTTTAACAGGTAGAATGACAGCTGTAACAGGTAGAATAACAGTTGACACGGGTAGAATAACAGTTGACACAGGTATAATAAAAGCTGACACAGGTAGAAGAACAGCTAACACATGTTGAATAACAAGGTGGAACAGGTAGAATAACAGCTGATACGGATAGAATAACAGCTGACACAGGTAGAATAGCAGCTGACACGGGTAGAATAGCAGCTGACACAGGTATAATAACAGTTTACATGGGTAGATTAACAGCTGACACGGGTAGAATAACTGTTGATAGTTGACACGGGTAGAATAACAGCTCACGCAGGTAGAATAGCAGCTGACACAGGTAGAAGAACAAGAACAGCTGACAGTTGACACGGGTAGAATAACAGCCGACGCAGGTAAAACAGCAGTTGACGGATAGAGCAATAGCTGACACAGGTAGATGAAGAGCTGACACAGGTAGAAAAGCAGCTGACAAAAAAAATTCAGGATAATATATATGAATGCTATCGATTTCTCATTAAAAAATAAGATGTTCGTTAAATTCATTTTAAATTTCATCAACTTGCGTTGGCATTTCATTAAGCATTAAAAGATTCAATGCGTCGTCTTCGTATATTTTAATACAACAAAGACGACTTTAGATTTGAATTTTTTAAACCTGCTGCATGGATGCACAAAAATGAAAAGAGAAGCTGTCAAATTACAGCTTCTTTTGGTTGCCTTGGAAATGGAAAAAAACTTGTTCGAAAATTAAAAACTTAAATGAGAAAGTCGTCTTCATTGTAGTAATATCAACGCCGATAACTGAATTAAGATATTTATTATTTTTAGGATATAACATTCATCGTTTCAAGTTTGGACAACTCTGACGTAGTGGAGGTCAAAGACGGATTGCTGGTAATTTTTTTTATTTAAGTGACAGTTGACGTTATTCAAATTAATCCTTCTTTTAAGAAATAACGTATAGTATTTAGAATGCTGTTGTTCTATAAATCTAGGAAATATGACGAAAATATATTTGTATTTCTAAATATTGACATATCAATGCGTATGATAAAGGGAAATCATAAATCTTTTTTAATAAAGAAAGAATGGCAATGATATCTTTCTTTCTTTTAACGGACTGTAAGCGTAAGTTCAAGTGATCCTTAATGCAAACATGGAAATGTCCGATTCACCCTTAAAGATTTTAACCTTTGTCTGAATAAGAGGGCAATGTTTATTATTTTGAAAACTGATTGTTGTCCATTGTGGGTTCTCTACAATTAAAACTTACAACAAATTAAAATCGAAATCAACAGAACATTTATAATCAGAAAAAGGTTTCATGGGGATTTTGTGAATCAGGCACTGTCATCATTGCATGTAGAGTGACTCGAATTTAATGCGACCCCTTTAATGGTATCGATGAATAAAATTTGAAGTTTTTGTTTGTGTTAAAATATCAAAATATTTAGATTCGTCCTCTATACGAGCCTGAGTCCTGGCCCTTGAAGTCTACAGATTTGAACCCAGATGTGCCGGAATTTATTCCAACAATTTCTACCTCCACTGCTCCTCCTAAACCTGCAGAGGATAATGTATGTTTTGTAATCATTTTTTCCCTCTAAAATATATTTTTCGTCGTCTGAACACTTCAAATTCTGTAATTCACTACGATAAAGAAGCTTCGTCGTTCTTCTCAATGTTAATTTTAAACAAGTTTTACGCAATTTAAATTAACTTGAAGATCTCATCGAATAGTCCAAGTCAATAAGTCCAAGTTTACACCATCAGGTTCACAGATAAAGGGATTGTGACCAAAGCTTAATTCTTCTTCCAATTTAAATGAAACTTTAAACATTTATTAACTTAATTTTTTGATTAAAGATTGGATCGGATCGGTTTAGATTGAATCGGTTTAGATTGTATCGGTTTGGTTTGGATTTGGGGATTTGATTGAATTTGGCTTTGGCTTCGGATTTAATTTGATTTAATACTCGTAATGATGACCGACGTGTGCAGGGTGAGGATGAGGATACTGCTGGAACAGATGGAGATGATGAAAGTGAAGAAGATGAGAAAAAGGTAATTTTTTTCTCTGTTTTTCTCTTTTTTTGTCATCCCGAAATTTGCCTTCAGATTCATCACTCCTAAGTTTGTAACTTAAAATTTGACATTCCGAAGTTTGTCGTCATTTAAAAGCTGTCAAGGGGGGGGATGAAATAGTTGACAAGGCAAGTTAGTTTTTTTACAAATTACCCTTTGATAAAAGATAATCTTGAAGGTGGTTCCTGCCAAGCCCGGCCTCCAGTTGAAGGAGGAGAAAGGGGATGTAAGGGAAGGAATGGAAAAACTGTTGGAATCTCGAACTCTACCTTCTCCTACCCCGCCTCCTGAATGGAAGGAGGTTAGGAAAAGGAGTAAAGAGGAACGGAAAAGTCTTCCCAAGGAAACTGAAGGTACGGAGACCAAAATCTTTTTTATGTCGCTATTATCCACCAATAAAAGAATTATTAACACCATAATTGCATTTTAACTCTGAAAATGGTATTGTCTCCAGCTCAGAAAAATCATGTCAAATCAACTAACTTTTTTTTTATTTTTTGGTTTATTTTAATTTTTGTTTGAAATACGAATATTAAGGTAAATCTGGTGGAGATCAGAGAGAAGAATTGGATTTCCAGTTTGATGAAGAGATGGATTTCCCTGCTGTAAAAAACAACACGTAAGCAGACTAAAATTTAACAAAAAAAATCTGAGTTTATTGTTAGGATAGATAAGTATTCAATGATCTAACATCAATATTTCGAAGCTGGATTCGAATCTGTACCAAATGGAATGAATCTGAGACTCTTGGAATTTTCAATAAATGTAGCTTGTCTGTCCGTCCGTTTGTTTTTATCCAAAAAAGTCAAAACGGCTGAACCGATCAGGCTCAAATTTTGTGTGGGACCTCACGTGGCCCCAGNCCTTAATGATATGTTACCTAGACAAAGTGTACTATACTAAATGTTACTTTAAGGAAATGTACTATACTAAACGTTACTGATCCCTCAGGTGAGGTTGTGCTAAATATCAAAATAGGGACGGATGTGTTTCTTCTGATCGATGAGAACTTTTTCAATTTGAAGCATAAAAGCAAGACATCCATAGAAATCTGATATGATTTTATGAATTTATGTTTAAAACCTTTTTTGTCAGATTGAGACTTCTGACGGCTTAACTGGAGACAGAGTGAGTGTAGTTTCTCAGGAGCAATTTCAGAAGCTTAAACCCTCTAAACCTCATACCAACCCTTCCTCACCTCCTGCAGCTCCTGTCCAGGTAAACCCTGACACCCCCCCTCTCTGCAGCTCCTGTCCATGTGTAAAACCTACAGTACATACCCTGTCTTCGCTGACGCGGACGTTGAAATTTCAAATCAAACACTGTACAACCGTAAAAGTCTTCACGATTTACATTCCGCAAATTCTCATGAATGCTTTGAAAGAAGGTTTTAAACCCTCAATATTTTTAGGATAATGCCAAGGATACTGCTGGTGATACTTCTTTCAGAATACGAGGGGCAGGTAGGGATTATTTTCTAATTATATCTTCCAAATTAAAATTTAGAATCTCTTTTTTTGGGTACGTTGACACTATATGAAGGGGGGGAAATCAAAGACTCAAGCAGAGGGGTGGACTAAAGAAAAGGAAATGGGCAGGAAAAGGTCCGGAAGGGTAAAGGGAAAAGTAAGGAAGGTAGAGAGAAAAGTAAGGAATGTAGAGGGAAAAGTAAGGAATGTAGAGGGAAAAGTAAGGAAGGTAAAGGGAAAAGTAAGGAAGGTAGAGGGAAAGTAAGGAAGGTAAAGGGAAAAGTAAGGAAGGTAAAGGGAAAAGTAAGGAAGGTAAAGGGAAAAGTAAGAAAGGTAAAGGTATGGAAGATATGAGGGGGGATGGAAAGAAAAGAAGGTCTTTACCTACACTTATTTATTTTCTCCTAGGAATCACTCCGTTTTTCACCCAATAGTATTTATGTATTGAAAAAAACGACAAAAAAATGTTCCCCCTACGCGCAAAACTACATTTGATAATAATACAATAAATAATATTTTTGAGAACTTGAAAAGAACGAGTATAAAAATCCCAATTAAAATCCTGGTTAAAGATTTTCTAAAAACTAAATTTCACTGGACTGGCAAATGATCTAAGCTCCACTTCTTATCCTGTGGCATCGTATTTAATAACTATTTAAATAAGTTGACTGCGCCCGGGCGCCGCAAACTATGTTATTCAAAAATATGATTTTGGGGATTATTAGGCACTGTAGAATAAATCTTTGAAATTTATGTCATCTTTGTTGACGAATTTGGGAAGGGGGAATCAAGCAGGGTTGGAATAAAACCCCGTTTTTTCTTCATAAAACACCAGCCCAATAGGTTTTATTGGTTTTATTGGTTTTATTGGTTTTTTTGGGGGGTTTTTTTAATGTTTTTACTATGAAAGCAGTTGAAATCTTCTTAAATTCATACTTAATCACAATATTAAGACGTAACTTTTCAAAAGTTATGTACTAATTATTAATTTAAACAAAAGGTGAACTTTATAGTTATGAAAAATAATAATGTTGTTGTGATAAAAGGCTACAATCATATATAAATACTCTTCAATGACAATAATATCACCAACCTTATTCATAGAGGAAATACTACTATTTTTTGCTACTTAAGTTCTATAAATTTTAGACTAATTCTTTTTTCTCACTTTGATACATATTTCTGATTGGGGGTAGGGATACTCAGATAAATCACTAGATAATTATGCTCAAGAAGGAAGAGTTTATCATTAAAAAATTAAGAAAAAGCAATAATTATAAAATTCGAGAGAAAAAAAAACTATAAAACCAAAAAAAAGCGAACTTACTGGTGTTTTTCTTTAGGGGGTTTTATTGTTTTTTTTTGGGGGGTGTGGTTTTGTTTTTGGCTTTTTTTTTCATGCCAACCATGGAATAAAGAACAATTTGAGGGGGGGGGGGTTGTATTTTTTACCACTCCTGCACTACATGTTTATTTTTTCCTTAAAATGTCTGAGAAAAATGGCGGAAAATTGTATTTTAGGATCACGGCGTGGTAAAGATGCTGCTAGATTCTACCCGGTTACTAAAGATCCAAGATCTCAGGTAAATTTGATAGAACATCTTGAAGATGGAGTGGATAAACCCGATATTCTGTATAATAGTTCTAATATTGAATTGTCAGTGTTTTATGAGTTGGTCTCTTTATTTGTTTGTCCACCGTGATTGGAAATTTTGCCTTTTAGTTAAATCGTTAAATAAAACATTTTTACAATTTGGAGATATGACCCTGTAGTTCAACATCACATAGCCTATAGGACATGATAATTTTACCGTAGATTGATTTAATGATGATAATAATAATAATAATAACTGTTGTAACCGATTTTTATTATCAAAACATTTGATTCCGTTTGACCACTTGGAAAAGAGAAACCCCAATCAACAAATTGAATGTGTTGCACGCGTATTTTTAAGTGACCCTCCATAAGAAGAAGCTTTGTAATCTTCGCATGGAGGGTCAATTAAGTTTAAGCTTACAACTACTTTAAAACAGGATATTTTCTTTTTATTGCCAATGTTATTCGGGTAGTAAGCTCCACATGGATGCCGGAGGGACATTTTAAAAAACACCGACAGTTCCTTTATTAATGAATTAGCCTGGGAACCCAGCGTTGCCCAGGTTACTCATTATTAGTCTCGCCGTTTACGCGCACTTGGTCGTAAATAACGATTTGTATACAAGTCTACCCACTCAACTTAAAATCTTTATTCTTTATAAAACAGTTCTTCCAGGTCTAAGAAGTTACATTTACATAATCTTACTATTATAGACTAGATTGAGAACCCGGCATTGCCCAGTGTGCTCATAGTTTCTACCGCCGTTTATCCGCGCTTAGTCGTAAATTAGGAAACATTAAACTTGAAATCTTAAAACCAAGCTAGGAACATTTCCGTGGTTTGCCTGAGTTCCGCAATCATATCAATCAAGGCAAATTAGTTAGGCGTTCATGAGTTATGATCGGACATTCAAACAAACAAAAACACATTGATTACTACTTTATATTGGTAATATTATTTTGTAGGATGGTTCTGCAGTCCGTAAACGTAAAACTCGGCACTCAAGTAATCCTCCCCTGGAGGAACATGTTGGTTGGATAATGGATAAACGGGCACACAGAGAGAGATTAGAGAGCCTCAGGTATACCATTTAATTATACAAGGGTGGCCATTTTTTTCTTCCCCCCCCCCCCTCTGAAAATCATGTTTTCCCTTAAAGTTACGTTTTTTTTAGGGTATATTTGCTGAATTGGGTAAAATAAAAATAAATTTGGGTTAACAAATTATGATGACGCTCTTAATTAAGGAAAATTTAAAATTGAAAACTGAATATTTTAACACAATTTTTTGTCGGAAAATCTTAGTAGATAAGTTGTTAATTTTCAGCGTTACCGTATGTGCTTGATACATGCATTAAATTATTAAATTTAGTGAGAGCGTTGGAAGTGTAACAAGTAGTGGGGGCGGAACCCCCCAGTCCCTCCCTAACCTGCAGCACCCCTCTCACTCCCTTCTCAAGGAGAACGGGTTCACACAGCTCCAATACACAAAATATCATTCACGATGTCTCAAGGGTATGTTTTAGAAATATTTAACGGATTTACCAGTGCGTAGGATCCGGATCCGTTGGAACCGTAACGTTTTGTCTTCCTCGATCCGGATACACAAAAATATGCAGATCCACGGATCCGGATCCAAGGAGCAAAATATCAACTAAAAAGTACAAACAAAAATCTTTTAATCACAATATTTTAACGGAATTCTTCTGTTCAGAACGGAAAAAGCTTGGAAATGACTCCCAAGAAATGAACACTTTGTTCAGGTAATATTTTAAGAAATTTTTATCATTAAGTGAATATATGTTTTCCCTCGCAAAAAAGAATAAAGTGCATTTGAGAATATTTTGTACGGCGTGATACCATCGTGGTTGAATCATAAATTTTCTCATTTTGGCATAATACCATGAGAGAACCAACTATTTCAACTTTTGATTGTTTTCTATCTTAAAGCATTTTTGCATCGATGAAACAAGAATACAAAATTTTACGAAATACAAAGTTTATTTTGGTCGCAACATTTTATATTTCTGTGCATCAATAAATCTTCATTGGCGTCATGTGAGGTCCCACACAAAGTTGAGCCCGATCGATTTAGCCGTTAAGACGTTTATTGGATACAAAGAAACAGGCAAGAAATATATCTATGTAAATGTGTTTGTCCAGATTCTGGTCTTTCTTCCTTCGTGAGAACTTCAATAAGAAGATGTACACTGAGTTCAGAAACTTGGCCTGGGAGGATGCAGTTGCTGGATACAGATACGGTCTAGAGTGTCTTTTCAGGTTAGCTCTAGGCAGATATCCCCCCCAAACCTTCCTTTTCTCAGCTTTTGTTGTACGATTTGATTTGATTTGATTTGATTTGATTTGATTTGATTTGATTTGATTTGATTTGATTTGATTTGATTTGATTTGATTTGATTTGATTTGATTTGATTTGATTTGATTTGATTTGATTTGATTTGATTTGATTTGATTTGATTTGATTTGATTTGATTTGATTTGATTTGATTTGATTTGATTTGATTTGATTTGATTTGATTTGATTTGATTTGATTTGATTTGATTTGATTTGATTTGATTTGATTTGATTTGATTTTGTTATCGATGAAATGGCTTTCTACGAAATTTCCCAACGCTATAGATGGGGCTGAAAATCCTGGAATTGGGAAAGAATTGAAACTCTATAAAATGTCCTATCTATGAAATGTCCTACCTATGATAATGTCCCATCTGTGAAATGTCCTATCTATGAAATGTCCTATCTATGAAATGTTCTATCTATGAATTGTCCTATCTATGAAATGTCCTATCTATGAACTGTATCTATGAACTGTCCTATCTATGATAATGTCCTTTCTATGAAATGTCCTATCTATGATAATGTCCCATCTATGAAATGTCCTATATATGATAATGTCCCATCAAAGAAATGTCCTATCTATGATTTTGTTATCTATGAAATGTCGTATCTCTAAAATGGCTTTCTACGAAATGGCCCAATTCTATAGATGGGGCTTAAAATCCAGGAAGTGGGAAAGAATTGAAACTCTAAACCGAAAGAAGGATGCCTCAAGCAATCCATGAATCATTTGATTTGATTAGATTTAACCAAATTTTTTCAAGTCTGAACTTTTTATTTTAAAAATTGAATGGCGGTTTCCTGAATTTTTAATGAAGTTTGTACTAAGGATTTGAAAGGTAGATACTGAACAAGATCACAACAATTTTGTTTAGATTTTACAGCTACGGACTGGAAAAGAAATTTCGTCCTGAACTTTACAGAGATTTTCAAACAGAAACCATAAAGGCAAGTTTTTCAGCATTTTATTTTACAGCCTTCTGACCTAATTATTATTCACACAACAGTGTGAGTTAAAGATATTTATTTGCCCCTTGGGACAATACAGTAAAATAAAAACCCCTCTGCCAAGTATTCATGAATTTTCGCATTATCATCTTGGGAACCCTTAGTAAATTAAATTTACATTATCTTCTCTGTAAAAAAGTTGTAATTAATTATTAAAACGCCCTCGGGATTCATTATGAAAATACTTATTTTATTAGAGATCAGCTAAATTTGTTCTCAACTGACCTTGACCTTGACTTTGACCTTGACTTTGACTTTGACTTTGACTTTGACCTTGGAGGACTTGAAAATTCCAATCCACTACTGGAGTCTAAGGCCATCCCTGAAACTTATGATTTGATTTGACCTCTATTTTCTACAGGATAGCGAGGCAGGTCAGCTCTATGGATTGGAAAAGTTCTGGGCCTTCATGAAGTATTATCCCCATGCGGAGGTATTTATAAAGGATTCGACCAATTTTACCTGAACTGAGCTCGGAACTCTTGAATGGTGTTTATCTAGATCAATGCTTGAACCACTTTTTCTTAATCTCCAGAGTAAATAATACAAAATAATACTCTTGTTATTAATATCCAGATTAATTAACCGTTCGGGATTAAGGATATCCAATTTTTAAAGTTTTCAGCCCTGGAAACTCTTGTGGTGGATAAATCTCGATATTCACTGTGGACACTTATGATTTTCTGCTAAATCCTCTCTTAAAGATCCCTACTGGGTTCCGACTAATCAGAGTTCTCTCATTGGTTGCGCGCCAAATATCCCGACTTTTGATTGGCTGCTTGGTTTCTTTTAACATCACTATGATTACTATTACTGACAATTATTTGAAAGCTGCAATTATTAGTTTTTAGTTATTAATTGGTTCAACAACAGATGTTCTGAGACTTAAATAAGTCAAACATGTCTCTGGAAATTATTTTATTCATATGTTTAGTGTTTAACTAATTATATTTTCAGGAACTTGATGTTGATTTTAAACTTCAAGCAATGCTTCAACCTTTCAAAACTATCGAGGATTTCAAGGTAAATAGAGAATAAATTTTTTTACCGCTATTTGAAAAGATTTGAATCATGAAATGCTCGCTTCATATCTTGACATCCTTGTCTCCATTATTATTTAAAATTATATTTATATCAAGAAATACTCCTCATATCTAGACATTCTTATTATTATCTCCAGAATTATTTGAAATTATATTTATATCAAGAAATACTCCTTATATCTAGACATTCTTAATCTCCATAATTATTTGAAATTATATTTATATCAAGAAATACTCTTGATATCTAGACATTCTTATCATAATCTCGAGAATTATTCGAAATGATGTTTGAATCAAGAAATCTATCTAAACACTTATATCAAAATCTCCACGATTATTTTAAAGATTAAATATCAAGATCAAAAAAATAATCAAGAAATACTCCTTATATCTAGACATTCTTATTATAATCTCCAGAAATATTTGAAATTATATTTATATCTAGAAATACTCCATATATATTATTTGAAATGGTATTTATATCAAGAAATACTCCTTATATCTGGACATTCTTATTATAATCTCCAGAATTATTTGAAATTATATTTATATCAAGAAATACTCCCTATATCTAGACATTCTTATTATAGTTTCCATAATTATTTGAAATGATATTGCTCCATATACATTCTTATCAAAATCTCCATAAGTGCCCCCCACGAAACTTATTACTCTGGTAAAATTTAAATAGTGTATAAACTAACTTAGTACTGTCGTAGGAAGCATCTAACTCAAAAATATGAATATTAAAAGTAAAAGCATTAAATATACATATTTTTGAGTTCGCGTGCTTTAAATCAGCTTCCAACGACAATGTTAAGTTATGTAAATACACTTTAAAATATTACGGCTTCCCCCCCCCCCCCTTATTTAAAATAATATTTGACTAACAAATCTGTGTAGGATGACTCTTTGAGCTGTGGTAAGAGGTCAAGAAATCCTAGTTCAACTTCCAGTTGTTCAATACAAATTGTCAACAACAGAAACAGGTTGGTCCATTGGGTGTTAGTAAACAACCTGTATTAGGGAAATTTATTTGTATATTTTTTATTTGTTAGGTAGTTTCTAAAAGGGGGTTTCGCTGAATTGGGAAAAATAAATAGTTTTTAGGTTGCAAAAAGGAACTTGAGGGGAAAGGATCAAAAAAGATGGAAGACTCCGACTTGTGATGTCCAATTTTTTATTCTATTATTCTATTCTTTTAAAACTGGTTAGTTTCAATTTGGTGTTTAGTAAAGTGGCAGATTTTACCACAAATTATGGAGGAAACATTATATTGCATCCATGAGCATTTATGTCGATATTTTTTTATATCTTAACGTGTTTTTTTAGGGGGGGGGATTTAAGGGACAAAAAACCGTAAAATTATAAAGAAAATGAAAACTGTTTTTTAAGATCACGGTGTGCTAGCGAAGGAGATCGTTGGAGTGATGCCCGAGGCCGAGGTCGGGATGTATCCAGGGGATCCTCGAGGTCATCTTACAAGGGACGAGGCAGCGAGGACGGAACTCAGGGTCAGTTCATCTACAGCTCAAGCTTCCAGGTATTAAATTTATAGAAACTAAAACTAGAAGAAATAGATTGATAAGAACTGTTCACACTTTTTTGAGTTTTGACAAATCACAGCAGTATTGATTTTAAATCATCGGTCTAAAATTTAATGATCTCTCGGACTTTATCGTTGGGTTCAATTGTTGCGTGTTCCGAACTAGTACACGGATTTACTAATCTAGTGTAATAGTTATACTTGCACATTTATTCGTTCTTGTGAACCCACTGTTTAGTGGTATGCATCCATGTGCATCCAATTTAGACTGATTGGGAAAATCCGCTAAACTACTTAAATTGAAAATCCATGAAATTCATATGTAACTCTTAAAATTCCTAGGATACGGGTGCAAAGGCGTATTACGGAGGCCGGTATTCTGGTCCTAGCAGTGGAACCTCTACAGTCCTCGGCAGAACCAACCCCTCCGGACCAAGGAAGCGTACAGTCTCCGCAAGTGATAAATTTGTGAGCGTAAAGGGACGCCGGTCCCGTCAGGTCAGCTCAAGTGAGACAAACAAGGAGGAATAGAATAAATATAACACAATAGAACTGCTTCCCGTCGTGAATACAGAGTGAACCATTATCCCCAACCAACGTATGTAGAAATAACGCTGAGAATAGAGTTTGGTGAAAACTTATATCAATGATTTCAATCTACCCAGGAAAAATCCGATGTTTGGTTTGTTGAAAGAAAAACATCACATTAATATTTGTACACAGATCTTACCCCTCTCCATAGTGTACACACATTGATTTTCCTGGGTAAACGTATATGATTAAATATCTAAAAGTAACATTTAATTTATTCTTTTTTTAAAGGAATATCTTCGATTGCCATGTTAAAAATTAAAATGAATCAGTTAAATATTATATTTAGATGTATTGTTACCCTTCACCTCTACTGAATTTCGTATCGCCTAAATGCAATTATTTTTCAGTTTTTACAAATCCCCCTTTTCATTTTTAATTAATTCCGATTTAAACTGATAATCTGATTTTTGTAGTTTTTTGAAGTCCCATTCTCCAGTCTTCTATGTAATACCGTAATATCGTACTCCTCATAATTAATATTAGAATAAGAAAAGCTGTACGCTGTACAGTGTACAGCGTACAGTAAAGTACGCCTGTGTTAAATGCGTTCGTCTCATAATGTTGATTTAACAGGGTGAACACTTATATTTTTAAGTCGCCTTTCCCCCCTGAACAGTTTTGAACGTAATATTTTCAATTTGTTACTTAATGTATTTATGCTACTTGTAAAGAAACCAGTTTTTTTGTCGAATCGTCGACGTTAGGTTTTGCCGGCCAAGCGGCCGGCACGCCTTTTGTAAATAGTGTGTTAAATTTGGGATAAGGAGGCGTTAAATTCATTCAGCCCCCAACTTGCTCCTAGTCTTGAGCTTCAGTTTTCAGGTTTATCATGTCGAAACATAAAACTTTAATAATCACAAAAATCAACAGTTCGAATATTGAAGAGGTTGGGTCAAGGTTGCTTCTGATTTAAACTCTTTTCAAACTTGCTGTTGTTTATTTTATTCTGTTAAAAACAAAACTGTAAATATTTTCCCGCACATTACTGTTCAATTTTCATCTTATGACCTCGATTGTTTATGTTCATAATATATTTTTGAATAAAATTCTTTTTTTAACGAACATTTTTTTTTTATATTCATGAGTAGCTGTAATTATAATGTTATTATTTTGATACGACCAGTGGAACTCGTGGAACCAGTGCTTAGAAGGAATCCATTTCGTTTCAAAGGAGTGTAATTTTAATTGACCCTCCGGTGAAGATGGCAATGCACGATTTACATCGGTACCCTCAAGGTAAGGTATAAAATGTTTAGTGGCAGTAATTCCTTGCTTCTCTCCTGCAGTCCCTGCAATGACCTCCGGAGTCGCCTGATGATACGCAGCAATAGTCTCTTTATAAAAGTACATGGATTGGATATATACAGGAAGTGTCTCTTCATAGAAGTACATGAATATTACAGCAAGTAGTCCCTTTATAAAAGTACATGAATTAAAGCAGCAAGAGTCCCTTCATAAAAGTGTGAGTATTACAGCAAGTAGTCCCTTTACAAAAGTATACATGAATATATACAGCAAGTAGATCAGTCCCTATGTAAAAAATACATGTTTTACCGCAAACATTCCTTCTATTAACATTAATTAGCTTTAGCTTAAGAAATGATAATTACTTTTTATTTTAATATCTGCAAAATGAGACCCAGGTGTGCGGTGCCTCTCTTCTTCCATAATACAGCGCCAGGAGCTTTCTTTAGAACGCGGCAATTTATCAAATGTCTCGCTCTGTAATGTTTATAATTTTCGATAACTGCAGGTCCCGCATTCCACATGATGCTTTTAGCGCGCGAAGTGATGTTGAATAGGAATTAAAACATAAAAACAATTTTTTGGTATTTTTACTAAACAGTTTCATATTCACGGATGTTAACAACGAAGAAAACCTTTTCTTAGATCACACGGCAGCTGGAGTCATGGGAGTTTGGAGGTCATGAGTAAATCGATATTTTACCTGCAGCTTATTTACTACACTTAAACTACAACTCATGACACGAAAACTTTACTGTTCCGTCCCGACCTTGTTCTAGGGAAGATGACTCGGTTACACGGAAGAATTGATGAGATTTATTGTATAACTAGCCTTAGAGGGCGCTTCGCACCCATCTTCTAAATTAATTGTGAACATGTTCTCTTTGTGTACATCGTAAAACAAAACAAAAATAATTCGCGGATTTTCACAAAAAATTTCGTGGATTTTCATTCATAAACCTTCCCTGGGGTCCCTCGATGTCCCACAAAAAATTTGGGCCCGATCGGTTCAGCCGTTTTGACGTTCATTAGATACAAACAGACAGACAGGCAGACAGACAAGCCAAATTTATATATAGATATTCAGGATATCTTATTTTTCAGATAGAAATGGATTCTGTGACTGAGCCCAGTCCAGGGAATAAAGGAGGGATTTTAAAAATAAAACCTCCGGAGGAATTTCCTTTCCCATTTCCACCGTACTCAATTCAGACACAGTTTATGGAAGCTTTGTTTAATACTCTCAATAAAGGTATAACGGTTTTGATATCTATTTTTCTTGAAATATGAATACAAAATCTTAAAAATGTTAAACTTTTTTAATTAGATAAATCCTAGCCCGAAGGACGGGAGTTTGTTATTTAAGAAATTTAACCCTCCTCACGACATCTCGCGGCCTGAAAAAAAGGATTTTGCTCAAATTATTTGGAATTTTTTTCCTAAACATTTTCCCTTTACCTTAAAATCATCTGAAGAGTTAGTACAGAAAATTATATTCAGTTGGATTTAGTCTTGATTCTGGAAACATTACATAGTATAAATTGACATTTCGCGGTGTAACAGGGGACTAGGGTTAGTTTGAATTCCAACCAAACTAACCCTTTATACCGGCCTTAATGACTCGATGCAAATATCGCCCCGCCCCTATTCTATGTCGACTTGCTTTCAAAATTAAAGGGGCGACCAGACATTTTACAATACCCGGCCTATCAGGCCTATTTTTATTAGCTACTGCGTCTTCATATGATTTTTATATTAATACACGCCTGAAATTTTTCATTTTTTTTTTTGCTATCAAACCCCTTAAAAAATACTCTTCTTTGAATATTTTGCTTCAGGGGGGGGGGTCTAGCCCCACCCCCGGAAGCCCACCTTAATAACTTTCACATTTAGCCCCTCCCTCAGAAAATGCCTAGTTGCGCCACTGTCTCTCATTATTTATAAATAAACTGGAAATAACTTCTCAATTTGTTCAGGGGAGCTTGGTATATTTGAGTCTCCAACAGGAACTGGAAAATCTTTATCTTTGATTTGCGGAGCTTTAACATGGTTTATTCAATATCAAGCAGCTTATAAACAGCAGCTAGAGGAGCTAGTACAACAGAATAATGTACAGAAGGTAGTTTATATACATAAATATAGAGGAGCTAGTACAACAGAATAATGTACAGAAGGTAGTAAGTTTATGTACAAAACTGATTGAAGAATATACGAAAGAAAGGGAAACAGAATGATTGAAGTAAATGTAAAAAGATCGGAAGGATTTGGGATTGAAAAAGCAAATTATTCTAAGTACTTAAAAAGAAATTAAGAAGAAATTGTCACGCTAGAAAAACCAAGATTTCTTTCACATTAGTAATCATAAAAGGTTTATAAGGTACCGTTGTGAATCGTGCATAGAAGGTAATTTGAAGAAAGCTATATCTGTTCAGGATGATAATGACGAGGATGATTGGTTTGCAGCAGCAGCGGTCAGACAAGAAGTTAATCATCAAAGACTTCAGGTAAAACATTCATAATTAGGGGTATATATTTTCAAGAATAACCCCCCACGGGCCCACCCTCCCCTTACTTTTTATAGATGTGGAGGGTGGGGGGGGGGGTCATTATTACTTTTCAAGCAAATTGGTTTTCCCTTATTTAGCTAATTAAACCCTAAGAAAAAATGTTTCTCTCTGCGAAAAATATCTATTATTAAAGGATGGGGATATGGATGGGGGGAATGATTTTTCAAGAAAATATAAACCCCTGTAATTTTTTTTTTTAAGATGTATATAAACATATATATATTAAGATTTTTAAAGGCAAAAGAAGAACTTGATAAAATCAAGAAACGAGAAGAAAAGGTAATTAAAACAGATTTTAGAATATTAATAAAATTAAATCAAATCTGTTAAAAATAATTGGCAATGGCATATTGTTGACCTGCAGTGGAGAACATACAACTATGGAATAGAAAGGCTGTCTTTAAACAATCTGAGGTGTATTTAATATTGTTCATAATGAAACAGTTGATCTCAAATTGAGGCGTCTTTATATTCCACAGTTATATTGGCCACACTGCACTGTACAAAATCAATAATTTATTAGAAAAAAACTGTTGGACATATTTGATTTTAAATAGTGTTCTTATTTAATGATCAGGTAAAATTTGATAATTTTTGTTTTGAAAGTTTTTTTTGATTTTCAGATTAAGCGAATAGTTGATCGGCGAAAGCATCTGAAGGTTGTTGAGGACCAGCAGAACGTTGACGAGTTCAACGATCTCTTCAAAGAGGTCAAGTGGATTAAGAAGGCTGTGAATAGAGAGCTTTCACAGGTGAAACTTCTTCGTTTTTATTTAATTATATTTTTTTCGGATGTTCTTTTTATAAAGAACTAAAGATCTAATGCACAAGAATTATGAGAGTATGGAACCTTTGTATTTTTAATCCCCCGAGAAAGCTCTAATTATGCGGATACAATATCTAGCTTGACGGATTATGGTCCAACCAATCAAAAGCCTCAAAACCCCTGCTCGCAGCAAATGGAAGATCGAGATAATACGAGTCAGCTGTTCATCACAGATTAGAATAGGCACTCCATCACTTTAATTTAAAAGTTTTGGCTGTTGATATAAAGTTGTAGTTCAGTACTTTTTCATGTAAAAGTATTAACCTTAAAATAAGGAATAAAGATTTTATTATAGAATTATTATGCAAAATAATATATATCCCTGGAATTATTTTTGAGGTGGTTAATGAATGAAAAAGGTCGTGTCAGGCCCATATTGAGCTATAATATTCAGGGAGTTGGAGATGAAGATATTCTTCTAGAAGATTACAACAGTGAAGGAGAAGAGGAAGATGAAGAAAATGTTAGTTTTCTCTTCATTTTAAATTGTTTGTTTGTTTATCAGACTTAAATATACAATATTATTTCTAACTAGCTAAAGGGCCCGGCGTTGCCCGTGGGAAAAATTATTTGAAAATAATTTAATTTCCCCCAAAAAATCAGTTCCGCGTAAAACCATTATTTTTAATATATCTACAGAGGAAATTATGATTTTTAAAGAATTTTTTATGAATTCCCATTGGTTTAACCATTTGTTTGTAGGACCCTGATGAACCAGATAATAGACTCAAGATATTCTTTACATCACGTACTCATTCACAGCTCACACAGTTTGTCAGGGATATACAGATCTTTCTCTTCCTTCGTATTATCCCTCATGAATTCTTTTTAAACAAAAAATAAAAATGTGACATAAACATGTTCAATTTTTACTTCTTTTTGATGCCTTATTTAAACAAATCCTTTATTTTTATTTTTATTTTCTCTCTTTTTTTTCCAATAAATCCACTATTTAAAGATTCTATATCATAGAGAAGTTAAGAAAAGTCCTTTCGGGAAAGATATTTCATTAGGTAGGTAATGAATTATAAATTACGTTGTTTGGTGTTATAATATTGTTGTTTTGTGTTATGATTTTGCTGTTTGGTTTATGACCTTGTTGTTTGGTCTTATAATTTTGTTGTTTGGTGTTATGATATTGTTGTTTGGTGATATGATTTTGTTGTATTGTGTTATTATTTTGTTATTATGATTTTATTGTTTGGTGTTATGATATTATTGTTTGGTTATAAAATTTGTTGTTTGGTGTTATAATTTTGTTGTTTGGTGTTATGATTTTGTTGTAAAGTGATATACTTTTATTGTTTGGTGATATAATTTGGTTGTTTGGTGTTATGATTTTATTGTTTGGTCATAATATTGTGTGTCATGATTTTTTTGTTTGGTGCTTTAATATTGTTGTTTGATGTTATAATTTGGCTTGTCTGGTGCTATGATTTTGTTGTTTGGTTATAACAATTTTTGTTTGGTGTTTTAATTTTGTTGTTCGGTGTTATAATTTGGTTTTTTGGTGTTATTATTTTACTGTTTGGTTATAAAATTTGGTGTTAGGTGTTATGATTTTGTTGTTTGGTGGTATAATTCTTTTTTGTAATGCTTGTTTTTGCATGACCGCATAATTTTGTTGTTGATTGTAGTAAGTCTGGCAAGCCGAAGTGTAATGTGCATCAATCCCTCAGTTAAAAATCTTCATTCACAGGTAATAGGCAATTAGAAATTGTTCCTTACTGTGCAAGGAATACATATGTTATTATAAAACTAGCTGAAGTGCCCGGCGTCGCCCGTAGAAAAAAAATTGAATTTTGAAGATACAGAAATGATTTTTGAAAAAAAGTCGTAATATTTTCGCCTTTGTTACTCCCCGGGCACCCGTGGGTTCTCTTAAAAAATGTTGGCCCATTCGGTCAAGCCGTTTGACCAGCGATAGCTAAAAAATAAATATAATACTAATATAATTAAATGAGCAAAGAGAAATATTATATAGATTTGTCGTGCAAGGTGGGGGGGGGGGGGTGTGTTGTGTTCTTCAAGACTTGTGAGGGGCTTTCAGATCTTATCTCGCGTGCTTTTAGTTTCTTAATGAGATTTCTGATTAACACGGATCCATTATCTATATCCATATCTAGAACATCGATTTATTCGTTTTCAATCTAACAAATTATCTTTTTGAACTTAAATTCTGTTAAATATCAAGACTACAAGCTTTAAAATAAACAAAAAATGATGAATTTAATGATGCACTCAGTACAGTGTTTAATATTTACTGTTTTTTATTTTTATTTTTATTGATAATTTTACCATTATCTTTGTAAATTAGTCAACGTTTTTAGGCCGCAATTAATGAAAAATGTCTCGAACTTGGGAAGAAAAAGTCTAAATCCACCAAAATCGACACGGATGAACTTACAGTTAAAAAATCAAAATCAGGTATAAAGAAATAGTTATAAATAGTTATCCTTGTAACAGACCTAGTAGTATATTTAACAATGTTTAGGTGTGTGTCCCTATATTAGACCTAGTGGTATAGAGAATCTAAGGGATGATGCTATCCTTGGTATTCATGATATTGAAGACCTTGTAGAGTCGGGGAAGAAATCTGGTAGTTGCCCATATTATGCATCCAGGTAACTGAAAAATGTAATTGAGCTAAGGCCTGAACTTGTGTATCGTTAAGAAAGCAGTTTTTTCTATTTTGTGGCTCAGTGGGATATTTTAATTCTTTTTGGATATCTGTAAAAGGTCCGAGGATTCAACAAAATGACTTGTATTTTAAAGGGATTGTAATCGTAATTTCAAATGACTCCATTTAAAGAGGATTCACAACGGCACCCTCAAAACCTTTAAGTGAAGCAAGGATGTCAGACTTATCCTTATTAATCTACAAAAGCACTTTTAATAGTGAAACACTTCGTTTGCAAGCTATTGTATATTTAAGAAATATCGATAATAGTGGCGGAAAATATTTTCTTTCGAATATTAGAAAAACTGCATTTAACGTCAAAAATACAGTATATTCATTTTCAATAAGTTAACATAAGATCTCGGTACTTAATAATTGCACAAGGGTTGAAAGGGCACCGTTGTAGAACAGGTATTGCCCTCTTAGCATGGAGGGTCACTTGATCTTATGCTTACGGACGTTTAATCGCTTAAAATTGAAGTTCGCATCATGGATATATAATAGATGGCTATATCATAGTCGAGGTTTGATGTAATTTTTTCGCTGGGGTGTTATGCAGTACATTAGACATTGGACCCTGGAACTTACAACTTGTCTTTGGTTTTCGTAAAGTTAATAGATGTCAAAGGAGTAAAGAAAAACATTATAAGTCATTAAAACTTGATAAGATTTAGCCTCCTTCTTTGTATTATAAAAATTGTTGGAGATATTTATATTTAATATTTTGAATTTTAAACAAATTTCTCAATATCTTGGTCAATTCATAAGGTACAAAAACGGCAGACCACATTTTGGAGTTCTAAAAACAAGGCGCCTTTGATGCTACCAACTCTTTGAAGAAAATGCTATAATCACAAGATTTAAGCTACAGTATCACATTTCTGCTTACTCCAGGGCCCACTATCTTCCTAAGTTTTTCTCTAATTTGGACCCTGAACTTCACCTCAAATTTTTTAAAAGTAGAAATTATTTTTACAGAATGAACAATAGCCAGAATAAAAATTTTTTATAGTAAAACCTAAAATTTGCTATGCAGAGGTTTTAGAAATTTTCTAAAAATATCTAGGGTCCACTGAGATATAACAGCTGCGTAGTAGACCCACCGACAAAGTTACATGTACACTAGCCCAGAATAGTATAGATCGGTAGATAGAAGCATACATATATGCGGGCCGTGGTTTGCATAGTGGAAATCAAGTGTAAAGGTTTGTGGATTAGCGTTTTGACATTCAAAGTTCTGTCTTAGAGAGAAATAACAGAAAGCTGGCATTATTAATAATTTTGTTGTATTTTCTAAACCGGTTTCAGGGCTGCTGTACCGCTCTGCGATCTGGTTGTATTACCGTACAACACGCTACTCCATGCCGGTACACGGAAAGCTGTTGGTGTCGACGTAAAGAACAGTGTTGTTATTATAGATGAGGCACATAATCTTCTAGGTAATTACTAATTACAAGTAATATTTTAAGAAAGAGGGTTTGTTTGAATGGCAGCGCAAAGTATTGGATAAAAAGAGCTAATGTAAAATGACTGTACATAAATTCAAGTTACCCTCCTTTTTAAGTGTTAGATGCCCGATTCTCAATAACATCCTTTAAACATTTGTCTGCGAGAGATATACTTGGTTTTCTCTCAAGATGGACATTTAACCTCAATAAATTTAATATTGGGTCACTTAAAATTATTTTGACAGTTTCTTTAAATGTTTGTATTTCTTCCAGATATTGAAAAGTAAATTTGAAATCTGGATATTTCTTTAAGGAATGTCATTTTTAACTCTTAATATCTAGAGAATGTTGATTTCTTAATTTAAATTCTATTCAGTGTGTAGTGTAGACATATTTTTTGAAGATCCTAAGAAAAAATTTATCGAACATACCAAACTGTTTTTTTTTTGGCGGGGGGGGGGGGTTTTCGAAAAGGGGGGGTTAATGTTTTTTTTCAAGAAAATATACACCCCCGATTTTATTTTCAGAAACAATCACGGGTATCCATAGTGTGGGTGTGTCTGGTCAACAACTCAGCTCCGCCTACTCACAACTCACTCAATACAAGAATAAGTATAAAACTAGGCTTAAGGTAACGCCTCAGAAAAGACAGGGGTGTATATTTTCTGGGATAAAACGTCCCCCTCTTTGAAAACCAATTTTCCCCCAAAAGTTAGGTATGTTTTTAGGGCGTTTTTGCTGAATGGGGGAAAGTAATTTATTTTAAGGAAGAAATAAACGATTTTTTGGATTAAGTATTTAAAAACAGTAAAAATTTGCCTTTTCTAGAAAATCATGAAAAATAATTCCCCCTTCTTCCCTTTTTAAAAATTATACACCCCTGGATAATAGAGGAATTATAAAGAATGAATTAAAATCATGAGGGTATTGTACTGGAAACAAGGATAAAGTAGAGAGGAAGAAATAATGAAAATAAAACAAAAATATTAATTTGTACGTTGTTGTATTTTTTGAGAAAAATAGCATCTCGGGAATCTAATTAGAAAATGAAACGGATTAAATGGAAAATGCAAAGACATTTTTGTTGTTTTATTTTTAGGCGAGTAACCTACTCTATATTAAACAAATACTTTTTGTGATTTCGAGCTTTATCAAGTTCTTGGGAGGTTCCCCTGGTAAGGACCCAACCCTTCCTGTCGGCACTAGGTAATGTCTATAGAAATTTAAAGTACAAAATATGTGTTTCCATTCTTTACTTAATTTTGTTCTAAGGAAAATGAAGACTAATCTTTTTTATTTTACCCTGAGATTTTGTAAATTTTTGTTTTGAGTTTTAATTTAGTTTGATTTTAATCTTGATGAAATTTAGAGAAGAGACAAAGTTGTCAACTGTCTCCGAGTTCTTGGCTGACACAGATACCTACAACCAGAACCTTCTCAAGCTCGTCAAGTACTGCAACGTCTCCCAGATATCACACAAGCTCCAGGGATTTGTAGAGAAGTATAACCCTGCCGTGGACCCAACCAGGGTGGAGGAGACGAAGAAAGGTGTCGGCGCTTTCCTGGAATCTATTCAGAAGAAGAATCAGGATTCGCCTAAACAGGAGATAAAGACGGACGGAGAACCTCGAAAGCCAGGTTCCTCTCCGCTCCTGGGGATAGTGGAGTTCCTATCAACTCTAGCCACTAATTTCGGGGACTCAAGGATAGTGATTAAAACTGGTTCAACACTAGCTGGGGCTGGGATTCGGTTCCTTCTGCTAGATCCAGCAACTCAGTTCAAAGGGACAATTCAAAAGAACATTTTTAAAATATTTAGATTTTTTTCATAATTTGATAATTTTCACAATTACTCGCCTCAAGCTCTAATTTCTCATTATTTTGTCTCTCAAATATGGAGATCGACCATTAATATATGAAACAATCACTTCTCAAATAATCTGAAATATTCTAAGAATTACATCATCATGTGTCAACGATGAAGAGATTAGAAAACTTGAGTTTTAGGCAAGTAATCAGTAATTAATTACTTAATCTTTAATTTCTCATTGTTTAAAAATAGCTTTTACAAGTATATTCTATTTTTTGGGAGTCTATGGGGGGATTCTGCTAGATCCAGCAACTCAGTTCAAAGGGACATTTCAAGAACATTTTTAAAATTGTTTAGATTTTTTTCATGAGTAATGTTTAAATTTGATCATTGTTTATAAATAGCTTTTGCAATAGCAATTGTATTCTATTTTTTGGGAGTCTATGGGGGGCGGTAATTTAAATAAGACGTGATAACTATTTTTATGGAGGACGCTTTAATCGAATTGTCTTGTGCAGAGATTGTTCAGAGTGCGCGTTCTGTGGTAGTGGCCGGAGGAACAATGCAACCTATTGACGAATTCAAGCAGCAGCTGTTTATCGCCGCTGGTGCAGATGCCACGCGTATTTCTGATTTCAGCTGTGAGCACGTGGTTCCAGAGGATCATCTACTCCCTGTGGTCATGTGTACAGGACCTACAGGGGTACAGTTGGATTTCAGTTTTCAGCACAGAGATAATCCTAAACTACTGGGTAAAATTTTCTTAAATGTCAAATTATTTTCTTTAGTAAAATATCCAATAAATTTCATCATGTCACACTGTTGGCGACATACTAAAATTATAGTTTTAAATAGTCGAATGAACATGAAACAGAGCTATTGTGCAGTGTACACTGCACAATAGTGTAGAGAATTCACTTTAAAAGTTGATTTTAACCTACTGGTAAAATTATCTGTTTTTTAACAACATTTAATACACATTGGATTAACATAATGTCGTCTTCCTATCCCACAGTTTTACGATTCCTACTGTAACAGAGTAGAATATTGATTCAACTTGCTCTAAATGTTGTTATTTCCAGGTTCGACTTTGATTCAATCCAACTAAGACTTTATTTATCTTGACAGAGAATGAAGACTGATTGTATTTAAGATGAGCTGGGAAGAGTTTTGCAGAATTGTATTGCTGTAATACCAGCTGGGCTGGTCATATTCTTCCCATCATACGACTACGAAGAGAAAGGAACTTCTCTAACTTGAAATATTAATAAATGATTTATTTTTCACTTGCCGAGGATAATTTTTTACCATATTTTTTTTTGACGTAAAAATGCAAAAACCTTGGAAATCTAAAGGAATTGAATAACAAAGGGAAAAGGGAATACAAATGATAAGACAAAAAAGGAAAAGATTAAGCGGAATCCTAGTATTGTGCAGTACCTAGAGTTAGAACGGATGAATCTGCAGTGTATAAGCACATGGAGAAGGCTGGATACCTAGACAAGATAAACCAGAAGAAACTTGTCTTCAGAGAACCCAGAGGAACAGGGGACTCAGATAAGGTATCTTGATTATTACTAAAAGGTGTTTATTTTTACATATTTTTAAGATTTTTTATGTACTTTGTTTTATTTTTTTATGCACTTTTGAGTCTAAATTGACCAAGTTCTGGGAAAAATCAAGTTGATTTTTTCTTCTATAGAGTATAGAGAGTATAGATATGCATGCACAATAGTTTATTTCAAAACATTACTGTCGGTGCGAAAGAGGAAGACCAGAAAANGGCCCCCCCCCCCTGCCCCTTCTCCTCCTTCTGATGATTTTACTATTTCAGAAAAGGTTAGATATGATAGATAGATAGATATATAATCATGGGTGGTTGCTATATTTCAAAAGGGGGTTCTATGGTCTATTTAATAATGAATTAGCAAATATTTTGTTTCTAGATCCTCCATGAGTATACACGAACAGTAAAGATGAGAAAAGAAGGGACACAAGGTGCAATCCTACTTGCAGTTGTCGGAGGCAAGATGTCGGAGGGGATCAATTTCAGGTTAGTAGCTAGCAACGTTTATTATCTTACAAACCTGTTTTTATTCTCGTATGTTTCCCCGAAAATTGGATTGGTTGGTAAGATTTGTAGATTGTTTGGTTGATTGATTGTTTGGTTGGTTGGTAGGTTGGTTGGTTGGTTGATTGATTGATTGATTGATTGATTGATTGATTGATTGATTGACTGTTAGATTAATTGATACAATAATTTGTGTAATGATGTGAGGAATGCCGTATTTCTATCTTTCAATTGTAAGAATTGATTAATTTATTTAAGGCTCTATCAGATCTCATCTTTTCTAATCTTATTGATATCTTATTGATTGATTCATTTGGCATAATAATTGATTATTTAAATGATTGATTGTCTAGTGATGAGTTAGGCCGGTGTGTGATGATGGTAGGAATGCCGTATCCTAACCTTCACAGTCCTGAGCTGAAGGAAAAGATGAACTATCTCAACAACAACGTGGCAGCCATCAACGGGAAGCTGGCAGGTTAGGTTCACACTTCTCCAAAACATAGTCTTTCCATACAATACTAAAACCAACATCAAAGGGACTGTCGGCGTAATTTCAAGTAATACATCATTTATATAGATGCATGTCTGATTGACAATGATACCCTTTGTCTGGTTATCTCGATGACCTAAGGATTACTCCATTACCAGCTAAAGTTTAAGAGTATTGTAGTAAGTCGGGCATACCACTTTATAAATGGAGGGTAAATCATGTAAACAGTCCCTTTAAATGAATTAGACATATTTTAAATTATATAAAAAGTAATCAGCGTTAATTGATCGGAGTTGGCGGGCCAGTGAACAAAGTTTAAGTACATATTGGATTTGAAATCCATCAAATAAAGCCGAAAGTTTATGTGTAGAAAATATTAACATGCTCAGCATTTTATGTTCACTGTACAATGCTTGTGTGTACAGGTCAAGTACACTATGAGAATCTGTGTATGAAAGGAGTGAATCAAAGTGTAGGAAGAGCTATCCGTCACAGAACAGATTATGCTTCAATTCTATTCCTGGATCATAGGTAGGTAACCCAACTAGAAGTTAGAACGAACCTGCCATTTCCAAAATGTGGTTTGCCTTTTTCGTGTGTTTAAAATTTCCCAGAGATATAACGAATTTTGGTTAGATCTCATGTTATTTAAGGAAACGAAAATCTAATTTTGAATGAAAACATCCATATCTTCTTTGATTTTGAAAGCAAAAAAGGCGGACCACTGGCTATTTTGTGATTATTGTTTCATCAATCACATTTGTAAAATTATTGCCGTAAACTATTTGAAAAATTAAAGACAATAGTAAAGTTGTCTAATTAATTGGATGGTGTATCTTTCGACCTACGCAAATTCGCTATACTCCACTTCTAACCTACGCCAAGTCCGCTATACTACACATCCGACCTACTAGCACGTAGTTTTAGTTTAACAGCGGCTATATGGACTTGTGGCCGCAGCGCCCGGCCCCCTAGCCTGTCCTAGCCGTAGCGCTTGCGGCCCAGAAATTGTCTTTTAACCTAACCTAACTCTCAAATAATACAAAAATAAACAGCTGGCGTAGGTCCGATATTGCAGTAGGTCGGAAAGTTAGTAGGTCAGAAGTTCAGTAGGGAGGATGTTGCGTATAAACGATGTAACATTATCAATTAATTGTCAATTAATTCCTGTTCTGAGTGACTGCAGAGCCTAGCTAGTTAATTTAATTCTAAATTGATTATTTACTTCTATAATTATTTCTCTATATTTGTTGTATTTTGTATGTTGAATGTGCATGATAACTTCAATGATAAGGTTGACAATAGGACTATATTCAACTAAGGATCTTATCTATAAATAGAGCGGGTGTGTGAGAGGGCTCTGGAATTAGGTAGAACTAGTTTTTATACTCACCAGTTCAATTCCATTTATGCAAAGGGGAAGACTCAAAGTTTTTTTTGTGAAAGGGGGGTGGGAAGGGGTAGAGATATGTCTACAGCCCTATAAAGCTCTTTCTCATCTCGCCATTTAATTGTTCTAGTTTATATTTGTCTTCACTAACTTCATCCCTGCTGTTTCTACATTTTTGTTTTAATTTATTTACTGAGAAGATAAATTTTAGTATTTACATAAAAAGCAAGATAAAAATTATGTGAAGTCTGTAAACTCAGTAGTCCAGGAAGTGTGTAAAGGTTTAGTGCATAGCGTTAGTTAAATGTTGATGATACACTCTCAATACTTTTGAAAAGTGATTCACTTGTTAAAATATAATAAAGATTGTTCAAAACACTGTCATGAAAGTGAATGCTTGAAACTGTAAACAGATACAAACGTACAGTACAACATTGATTACGGAGCTCAATTGTATTGTTTAGGTACAGTACAAGCACTGTGCACAGACACAGCTATTAGTGAATTGGTTAGGTACAGCAGAAGTACTGTACAAAAACCCAGTTTTAGATTGTTTAGGCACCGCAAAAGTACTGTACAAGAGCAAAGTACTGTACCAAAACTCTTTAGCGAATTGTTTCGGTACAGCAGAAGTACTGTACAAGACCTCATTAGTGATTTGTTTAGATACAGCAGAAGTACTGTACATGAACATATTAGTAAATTGTTTAAGTAAAAGCAGAAGTACTGTACAAGAACTCATTAGTTAATTGTTTAGGTACAGCAGAAGTACTGTACAAGAACTCATTAGTTAATTGTTTAGGTACAGCAGAAGTACTGTACAAGAACTCATTAGTTAATTGTTTAGGTACAGCAGAAGTACTGTACAAGAACTCATTAGTTAATTGTTTAGGTACAGCAGAAGTACTGTACAAGAACAGCTCCCATCTTGGATAAGAAAGCAAGTGAGGTATTTTATCAACTTTATTTTTTAAGTTCCACATTGCTACGAATTAATTTTTCAGTGGTAAGGGAAAGGATTGTGAGATACAACAACAACCTATTTTTATATTTTTTGTTTAAAATTAATCATGATGGATTGACAATACGAAGGTGTCTACTCTACCTTTTGTATTTCCTTTTGTAATTTTTTATCTTTATTTTGTAGAAGATTTGAACATATTTTAAAAATAGGTACCAAATTAGATCACTTAGTACAACGATTTGAAAGGATGGTTTAGTAAAAAATCTAACTATTCACGTACAACTATTTTAAAGAATGATTTTACTTTTAAAGCTTTGTTCCATTTGATTTGGACTTATCCTTTGAAAAATTGGGTCAGTTTCAATCGACATTTTATTTTTTTGTAATTTAGGGTTCATCCAAAGTTCGGTCCAGTCCTGGGAGATCTCAGGAAGTTTTATAAATCAAGAACAGAAAACTCTCTTAACCAATAGGATACATATTTGTTCTTATCATAAATACAGCAAGGACCAATACGCTTATACATGCATGTACAGAACACTGCAGTATAACAGTGTACATACTGATATATGTATGATTGAAATTATGTGATAGAAGTACCTTAAATAGCCATTCATTTGTATTTCTTGTTAAAACCATTTACAAATTTTAACTAAGTCATAACTTTTTATACTTTTTTTATGACGACATTTCTGTACGGTTATGTTTCAGAGTTGACGATGTCGGACGTGTACAGTCCGCCGGATCGGGTGGTGGTGGAGTCCCACTGTAAGGGGATGGATGAGTACAAGAAGATGTACGACGAGAGCATAAAGCAACCGCACAAGTAAACTTTTATTTTTTTAACTAATTTTTCACATCTTTAATTAAAGGTGTTAATATAGTCGCTCTCAAATACTTTCCAGCATTATTCAGTTGGATTTTTTGTTGTTAAATGTTGACTAGGATAAAAGGGATCTTAAACCCCTTTTCCAAAATTAGATTATCATGGTAGAATAATACTGCTAGAGATCTGCGGAATAAAACAATTAAATTTTTTAGATTTAAATATTCATCCTCAAGAAGTCCCTCTAAAATTAGAACATACATTGATAACCGGAAAGCTCTGGAATAGTGAGACGACATTGAGAATCAAGTTTTAACTTTGAAAAGTCCAATAACCATGAAACACAGCAATTATGCAGTGTAAACAGACCCGTTTTACAAAAAAGCAATTTTTATAAGTGTTTGGTAAAACTATTTGCTTTGTAACACCATCAAATACACCTAAGTATTACTATAATGTCGTCTTCATATTCCATTGTTTTCTGGTTATCACTGTACTAAAGATTGAATACTATAATGTCGTCTTCATATTCCATTGTTTTCTGGTTATCACTGTACTAAAGATTGAATTTGCAAAATAGTTTACAATACTTCTCATTTTCATTTAGTTTAACTATTACTCTTTTTTTAATTAATTTCTAAATAAAATTATGAAATTAGGTTTTGGGGAAATATTGCTGAACAGTTCTTTTGGAAAACCCCAGTCCCTGATGGTGAGTTGATCAAGAAGATTTATTTTCCCATCGCCGTTTAGGCCGGGACATTTTTTTGAAAAGTGATCTATGGAAATTTCAAACTAGGGTTTAAAAGGAGCCTGACTGTTAAAAAATTTGAGAAAGAAAAATGCCATCTGAATTTTTACCTGGGTGATTATCATTAGCGAATCTATGCTTTTGAAAAAGTAATCAATTAAGTTTTAATCAACTGCATTTTTACAATTAATTAGGTTAGATACGCAAATTGTGAACATTATAAATATTATAAACATTCTTGCTGTCAACATTTTTATTGTTGAAAGATAAGCTTATCTTATTTCCTTCTTTACCTATTCATTCCAATAGTATCCCCCTTCAATCAAAAAAAGAACTTATTTTTTTATTTAATTTAGTTTGAATTCTCATTAAACTTTTAAAAAAATGTACTTAGATATTAATGAATTTGAAAATATATTTCAATTGATCAAAATTTATAATAAATTAAAGATTGTAGACAAAATTTCAATTGATCCTCCATTAAAAAGAGGCATCTCCGATTTACAACCTGGATCTGAGCAGCAAGATATCGTAATTTTCTATTTTTATTCAACGTGTTGAATTCTGCCAATTTTCTTTATTGTCTCTGTAGCATTATCCGCAACTTACTTGTATAGCGCACCAACAATTGCAAATGATAAATTTTTCCGAGAAAGAGAAGTGATCAGACATCCTACTCTTTGTAATAACGTCTCAACAACCCCTTTAAATTGATTGATAGATTGATTGATTGTATTTTTGTTTAGATCTCTCTGAGTTCATGAAATATAATTTTAACGTATCTGAGTCCCCGATCAAGATAGAATGGATGTGCGGGGCACAAACCAACATCTGCTACAACGCTCTAGGTATAAAACAGGGGTATATATTTCTCAGAATTACACCCACCCTCCCCCCTGGGGGGGAAATAAATTTTTATGAGAGGGGGGATGAAAAAATTGACAATAAATTGAAACTTTTTTCATACTTTTTATACTTGTACCCTAAAAATTCATTGATTTTCCCTTATTAAGTATTGGTTTTCCCTTATTAAGTATTGGTTTTCCCTTAATAAGTATTGATTTTCCCTTAATAAGTATTGGTTTTCCCTTAATAAGTATTGGTTTTCCCTTAATAAGTATTGGTTTTCCCTTAATAAGTATTGGTTTTCCCTTAATAAGTATTGGTTTTCCCTTATTAAGTATTGGTTTTCGCCCATCGCAACTTCTTGGGGGGAAAAAATAGTGTCGAAAAAGGGGGTGAAGAAAATGATTTTTCGAGAAAATATACACCCCTGGTATAAAATGTTGTTATTAAGCAAATAGTGTACCTTTTAACTTATAGCGAAGTTCAGTATACATGTAGAAGTTCAGTATACATATAGAAGTTTAGAGAAATAGAAAATAATATTTCTGAATTTTGAATTATTAATTGTTTCTATTATCAGACAGGAATGTTGAGGCCGGACTAGGGGATAAGATCGCCTTCTACTGGGTCGGAAATGACCCTGCGGACAAGGGTCAGGTATCTACAATATATATATACAAAGTAGTAATCTCTGTATGTCTATCTGTTTGTTTGTTTGAATGTCCAATCAGAAGCTTTTTTTGACCGATTTGCCTTTCTTTTTGAACTCCGTAGAACAACAGAAATATTTTAATCTGAATTTAACGCTCAATAGTTGAGTGATTTATATAGGGAAAACAAAGTTTTAAGGCAAAGCTGGGTTTTCAAGCTAGTTAAACTATAAACTGTTTGCTGGGGAGTAATTTCAATCCTGAACGGCTTAAAATATTTCAGATACTAACGTCTTTCAAATCAAACTTGTGAATCTAAAACCATAAATGTTCTTCTACATTTTAACTGTAGATAACCTACCGAGAATTGCTGGCTGAGGTGTGTAAGTTCTCCAACGTGTTGGTTAACCTGGGAGTGAAGAAGGGGGACAGGGTTGCTATCTATATGCCGATGGTGACGGAGTTGGTGGTTGCTATGCTAGCATGCGCCAGGTAAAAACCTTTTAACTCAACGGGGGCTAAGATCCGGATCCCTACACTTTTTATATCCGGGAAAAATGGACCCAGATCCAGTTACTGAATATTAAAACAAACCCTACTCCTTTACTCGCAACTTTATAACTAAAACAATGCTTTAAAAAACTATTTTCACTCTAACTTTGAATCCTTCTCCATTACTGCGGCTGCTATAGTTTTGAAAATTAGTTTTTCTTTTTTAATAACAATAAATTCTATTGGTAGTGTAGTCATCTGGTTGAGTTTTATTATGTTTGTTTTAGAATTGGAGCTGTTCACTCAATTGTATTCGGAGGCTACTCAGGTATTTTTTAACCACGGATTTAGCTTTTATTTGTTGCTTTCTACTGTAGTATCTACTCCTTGACAGAATAATGAGATGAGTCAATAAAACAATGCGTATGTTAAAATATAAAATATTTACTTTTAACAAATTTGTTCACAAATCAATTTGTGGAAGTAATTTCAAATGACTAAGTTCATAAAATGAGTTGGGCGCTTATTGACAATGGTTCCCCTTGAAACCTTTATCTGAGGGAGATAATCGTCGCTTTTATTTGTAAAAGGGTTGAATTCTGTCAATTTCCTTCATTTGTTTTTCCTGCATAAATCAGCAAATCACTTTTACTGATAACACTTTGAAAAAAAGAAAGTCTTCCTAGGTTTGTGCTCAGACGACGCAGGTTTTAAGAGTAACATTGTGAATCGGACAACTCCTATTTTAATAGATTCTTGATTCAATTTGCTTTAAACTCTATAACTGTTCAGCTGACTCCCTGGCGACCCGTATACTTGATGCTGGAGCCCGTGTACTAGTTACTGCTGATGGGGTTTATCGTGGAACTAAACTTATCAAACTTCTACAGATTGCTACAGCAGCCATGGAAAAGGTAAGACGGTTATTGAACTGACTGACGGATTCATTGATTTTTTGGTTTAATTGATTCAATGGTTCATTGATTCATTAGTTCAATGGCTCATTGATTCGTTTGTTTATTTGTTCAATGATTTATTGATTTAATGGTTCAATGGTTCATTGGTTCTCTAGTTTATTTGTTTCTTTGGTTCATTGGTCCATTGGTTTACAGGTTCATTAGTTTACAGGCTCTTTGTTTCACAGATTTATTGGCTCATTGATTCATTGGTTCATTGGTTTATTGATTTATTGGTTAATTGGTTAATTGACTCATTGGTTCATTGATTCGTTTGTTTATTCGTTCATTGATTTATTGATTCATTGATTCATTGATTCATTGGTTAAATGGTTCAATGCTTCATTGGTTCAATTATTTTAATTTGTTTATTGGTTAAATGATTAAGTGGTTCAGTTGTTTATTGATTCATTGGTTCAATTGTTCAGTTGTTCATTGGTTCATTAGTTCAATGGTGCAATGGCGTATTGAGTCATTTATTTATCCTTTGAATCTTTCATTCTTTAGTTCATTGTTTCATTGATTAATTAATTGATTTCAGGCCGCTGAGCAAGGTCAGGAGGTATCTCATCATATCTGTGTATCTCATCTACCTAGGCTGGTTAATCCAGGCACAGAGGAAGCGATGCAGGAACACACTGCTAGTATAGAGGTACTAAAGGAAAACAGGGGGATTCTCAATTCTAGGACTACAGGACGTTCCAAGAAATGGCTTTTATACAAATTATCTTAACTTTTAAATAATGTTTTTAACACAAAAATTGTTTGTTTTTCTGTTTTTATAACGACGGTAAAAAAAAATGAATTTCAAACTTTTGGAGATTCTAAATCTTCACCGCCTCGCCGCTGGCCGTAAGATTCACAGTGCAGGGGTCATGAGAGGTCCGATTTTCACAAGAACAAAACAAAGGATTTAACAAAAAAAGGCAAATATTGGCGGAAACAAATTATTTCTGAGGACTTGATGGGGTTAATCATTTTAAAAGAAAATATAAGTACGAATTCACAAAGTATTCATTACAACCTGTTTTGGTGAGATAGTTGTACAATTTACTATACATTGTATTGTACATTACATTGTGCAATGTACAAGCACAACCTTGAGAAGGCAGTGAAGACAACATTTGATCAAAATAATTTTCTTTAGTCCGGTTGGAAGACAGGTAGGGATAACTGGTGGCATGAACTCATGAGAGATGCTTTACCCGACCATACTCCAGAGTAAGTTTTTCAACCAATGTTTTCTATTGTTACCATTGGTAACTAAGAACATCTTTCTTCGATTTTCATTGCAAAATGTTAGTTAGAGTCATACTCAGAAAGAACCGGCATTAATTTATTATTAACCAGACGACTTTACAATCTAATATTGCGAACATGATTAATAACGAAAAAAACCCTAGTCCTGCCAATTCCAAAATATGGTCTGCTGTTATTTTGCGTTTAAAGTTACCAGAGATTTTTATGTAAAGTCGTCTTATTAACTGTCAATTGATTCCGGGTCTTTCTGTTTATGACTGTAAACAAAAAGATTAGAAAATAGTAATTAAAAAAGTTTTTAAGCTCGAGTCGAAATTTTAATATTAATTAATATATTCAAAAATAAAATAAAAACATTTTGTCATAAGGTAAACGGTCTTTTTCATTTGATTTTTCTATTCATGCATTTTGTTTTGATAGCAAGCACCCTAGAATAACAAAAGGAACTTTCTGTGGGTGTTCACTTTTCAGAAAGGGTTCGGTGAAAAAAAAACTTACTTAAAGATTTTATTGTATTTTTACAAGGATATAAATAATTTATCAGATAACGGATTAAAAAAAATTCAGTTGAAATCCACGTTTATTATTATTTTTCAAAATTTTCAACACAAACTTTCGGAAAATATTTTTGGAAAATATTTCGTCAAAAAATAAAAGGTTTAGAAATTCTGATCAAAAATGTGGAAGAAAATGTCAAATTTTCTGACTCGAATAATGATTAATTCTCTGAATTTCTCCATTGATTCTTATAATCAAGGAATGCACAAGAAGTCATTTCTGCCAGAGAAACTTCAGATGAAAAGAAACAGTAAAAATAACAAAACATGGATTTCTAATTCATGCTTGATCAGACAAAGTTTTTAAGGGTATCTTTGTAAATAGGAAATTGACATCTTTGCATGGAGGGTCGGGTCACTGCTTTAACAGTTCCTTTAAAGAAATGAAAATGTTGAAAAATGGTTAATTTCTACTAAAGTTGAAAGCATTTACAAAAGAAGATAAACTTTCTAATAGTGTTCTTTTTAATATATTTTTTTTCTTGTACAATTCCTTGTACTGATACTGCTTTTGTACAGGTGGGTGGACTCCGAGGATCCATTGTTTATGTTGTACACTTCCGGATCTACAGGTATGTTATGTATGCTGTACGGTACATGTAGAAAGTAGATAGTCCAGTTTATGCTGTATTTTATAATGCTAAAACTGAAACTGGTGATGAATTTGTAATATTGTTATTTCATACCATGCATACTGTTTGAACAAATAATATAAGTTTGAAATGTCAAAGGAGTCTACTATTGTATAGATGTAGGGATTTGAGTTGGTGTTTAGAACTCTGTTACTTATTGGTCATTTAACAACTGTAACAATAAATAGTGTGTTTGTCATTTAATACTTTACATAGTTAATTTCCACATTTTAGGAAAACCCAAGGGTGTACTGCACAGTACTGCAGGGTACATGTTGTACACCGCCACCACCTTTAAACACTCCTTTGACCACCAGCCTGAGACAGATGTGTACTGGTGTACTGCAGATATAGGTTGGATAACAGGTAGATGATGAGCATAGTGTTAAGATCCGTTTTTAAATATTTAATGTTTTTTAGCTTTTAAAGAGGCTTCACAAGAATATAAGATGTAGATACTATTTCAAAATTGCATACCGTTCAAGTTTTATTTTGTTACATCATTTACATGTAAAAAATCGTACTCCGACCAAAATAATTTTTTAAAACTATTAAAGAATTGATTAAAGTTTTTGATTCGGGAAAAAAATCGCAAAATGTAATAAAAGTAAACTCATCGAGAATACAACTTTGCAATGTAATTAATAACTCACATTATTGTAAAGCACTTTAAATTTCAAAACCCCTTATAGTGTCTTAAAATTGTAATCGATGTTTTTCTATATGACTTACGGATTTTATTCAACCTAGACAACATTCTACACTTGTTTAGATGGAAAAACAACGAAATTTGTCCCATTGTTTGCTTGAAAAGTGTTTATTCTGACAGTTTCCTCTATTGTTTCTGAAGTAGAAGTGCTTGAGTCATATTAATTATAGAGAAACTAGAATTGAAAATAGATAATTTTCAAAATGAATATGTTGGATATCTTGGGATTGGACAGACTTTTACGGGATACCGTTGTAAAATGGACAGGCCATGCTATAAATGGATATTTACTTGAAATTACATCTACGTCCTAGATTCCCTTTAAGCTTCGTCACAGTATGCAGCGGCCCGAGGAAGTTACGTGCGCATGCCGCAATGAATTACAAGACAGGGAGAGAGCCTGTTCTATCCGCAGCGCAGGGCCCCCCTAGCCTGTCCTAGCCACGGCGCTCGGTCCACTAGCCTATATTACCCGCAGAAAGTGTCTTAACCTAACCCTAAAATAAATACTAATCTCTATCTCCTTGCAATTCAACGCGGACAGTGCACGCAACTTCCTTGGGCAGCTACCGCTTAGTAGCAGAACTTGTCATCAGGATTTGGCATCGTTTTTACACATTTTGCAAATAATAGAGGAAGAAAAACAAAGATATTTTTTATCATTTTTTCTCTGCCGGAGGTTTGATAGGTGGCATTGTGGAATAGCGCTTAATAAAATTTTGTTTACAATGTTTAGATGAGTTCTCTTTCCCTGGCTCTGTTCACAATTAATTTTGATAGTTTGGAACAACCACTCGCATTATGTTTTTTTTTCAAATTGGGGTTTAATGTGTTATTTCAATTAATAGTACCCTTTTTGTTCAGGACATTCCTATGTTACGTATGGACCTCTTCTCAACTCTGCTACCTCCGTCCTATTCGAGGGAACACCCTTCTACCCAGATCACCGAAGGTTAGGCATCTCATATATAAAATATGCTGGTTTGTTTGTTTGTAACGTCAATTAACCCATTAGATCTAACCTTTTTTAAAGAGAACCTCAGGCTCACATGGCCCTAGGGTCCAGGGAATGTTTATACTAGAGGCTTCAAGAAAAATATTTTGCGAGTAATATTTCTTAACTAATTTTGTCTGCTGAAAAAAAATTTTAAACCCCCTCCTGATGTAATTTCAAGTGACTTTGGCCTACATTAGATCTATGTCTGGAAATTTAGTTCCTTGGAAATCGCACGCGAGCTTAGAGTGTGCACTTTTCAACAATAGAAATAAGACATGCCATTACACAAATTGTACATGAAATTAAGTCTACAGTACAGTCCCATTAATACCAGAAATAACAAGCGTCTATCGTCAATATTTGATATAAAACTATATTAAGACATGACATTACACAAATGCACATGAAATTAAGTCTACAGTACAGTCCCATTAATACCAGAAATAACAAGCGTCTATCGTTAATATTTGATATAAAACTATATTTTGTAGATGTTGGGAGATAATATCAGAATATAAGGTGAGTAAGTTCTACACTGCTCCAACTGCAATCCGTTCCTTGATGAAGTTTGGTTCGGATCAAACCAAACCTTATGATCTCTCCAGTCTCAAGGTTCTGGGTACAGTAGGAGAACCAATCAATCCTGAAGCATGGCAGTGGTACCACAGGTAGGTTCGGATACTTTAATACCGGGGTTTTGTTCATTAAAACGATTAGTAAATTCAATGAGTATTTTAAAATTAGAACGGAATATCTATTTTTGTGGAAATTTTTAATTAAGTTGCTCAAGTCTGAAATCTAGATTGGATGATTGGCATTTGTCCATTGGTTTGGCATTGATAGTTCACGAGATCAGTTACAGTTTTGACATTAATAGTAAAGTGAAATTGAGTTGTACCTGGATAGATACGTGTTTGAGAAACCCTTGTGGAGTAGGGCATTTACCACACTGGTGTCTCAACAAATCTTCTTCTTGTCACTGGTTAGTCCATGCCTCTCTATGATTGGAAAGTCCCTTGATATTTAGTCTACACTCAACGGTCAACAGTCCTATTAAACTGTTGATGATATTATGTATTATAGATAAGATGCAACTGACATAAACGGACGAAAATTTATTTTTGAATGTTCAGTGTAGTTGGACAGGGACAGTGCAGTATTACGGATACATACTGGCAAACAGAAACTGGTGGACATATTATTACACCCCTACCTGGAGCTACTCATACAAAACCTGGTAAATATTACACCTCTTCCTGGAGCTTCTCATACTAAACCTGGTAAATATCAAGGAGAATTGAATAAAAGGAGGGGGCGATTGGGTTTCCGTACACTTTGCTGTGACGTTTTTGGACTGCTGAAGAACTAGTTTTTGCGTAACAACAATAACAAAGGCAGGCTATCTAATGTAAACAAACATGAGTTAGTATACGGTGAATCTTCATCTAACGCCAGAGATGCACCAGATGTCTGTTTATCATTTGTGTTATTGTTTACAATCTTTATTATTGTTGTTACGCAAAAACTAGATCTTTAGCAGTCCAAAAACGTTACAGCAAAGTGTACGGAAACCCAATCGCCCCCTCCTATTCAATTCTCCTTGGTAAATATCACACCTCTATACTACCTGGAGCTACTCATACTAAACCTGGTAAGCTGGAGCTACTCATATTGAACCTAGTAAATATTACACTTCTACCTTCTAAATCTGGTAAATATTACACCCTGACCCGAAATATAAATCTGCACCTTTTGGATTTCAAATCATACTAATGGCACAGGTCATCTTACTGCCTGAAAATTACTTGATTTTATTAACATTTTTAGGATCGGCTTGTTTTCCATTCTTCGGCGTAGTTCCTGAGATCCTAGACGAGGAGGGGAAGGTAATCGAGGGGGAGGGGGAGGGATACATTGTCTTCAAACAACCCTGGCCAGGTAATTTACTTATTAGATAAATGTGTCACTGTCCAATACATATTGGATTTTTTAGGCGCGTTCGCATGTAGTTCTGATTCTGGCTACACCATGTTGTTATGTCTGCCAGCATTTAACCTGAAGTCATTTTTAAAAAATAAAAAATGAATCCAGGTTTTGATATTTTGACGGGCCATAAACCTTCCTTGTGGTTCTGTGTGTTACCACAAAAACATTAGGCCTGATCGGTCCAGTTTTTTTTTTTGAACTGCTGTTAGGAAAAGGGCTTACCATTCAAAGATCTATTTGTCATTTTCACTTTTTTTTGTTTAATTGCTCATTAATTAATCCACTTTTTAATTGAATATTTTTTTCGTAAGACACCTCTGTCACAAAGCTGTAAGTCCATATCACTCTCCTGATTTAGTAATCTTGGGCATTATATGTCAATAGTAGGGATTCCCTAAAACTTTGATTTGATTTGATTTGATTTGATTTGATTTGATTTGATTTGATTTGATTTGATTTGATTTGATTTGATTTGTTTATTGATGATTGATTGATTGATTGATCAGTTAATTTACTCAGGTATGATGAGAACTGTATATGGAGATCATGAAAGATTTGAGAAAACTTATTTTTCCAAATTTCCTGGATATTACATGTCAGGGGATGGAGCTAAGAGAGATAAGGTTAGTTCATATATTTCCTGGATACTATATGTCAGGGGATGGAGCTAAGAGAGATAAGGTTAGTTCATATATTTCCTTGATACTACATGTCAGGGGACGGAGCTAAGAGAGATAAGGTTAGTTTATATATTTCCTGGATACTACATGTCAGGGGACGGTGCTAAGAGAGATAAGGTTAGTTTATATATTTCCTGGATACTTCATGTGAGGCGACGGAGCTAAGAGAGATAAGGTTAGTTCATATATTTCCTGGATACTACATGTCAGGGGACGAAGCTAAGAGAGATAAGGTTAGTTCATATATTTCCTGGATACTACATGTCAGGGGATGGAGCTAAGAGAGATAAGGTTAGTTCATATATTTCCTGGATACTACATGTCAGGCGACGGAGCTAAGAGAGATAAGGTTAGTTCATATATTTCTTGGATACTACATGTCAGGGGATGGAGCTAAGAGAGATAAGGTTAGTTCATATATTTCCTGGATACACATGTCAGGAGACGGAGCTAAGAGAGATAAGGTTAGTTCATATATTTCCTGGATACTACATGTCAGGCGACGGAGCTAAGAGAGATAAGGTTAGTTCATATAATTTCTGGATACTACATGTCAAGCGACGGAGCTAAGAGAGATATGGTTAGTTCATATATTTCCTGGATACTTCATGTCAGGCGACGGAGCTAAGAGAGATAAGGTTAGTTGATATGGATAAGTAGGACGGAGCTAAGAGAGATACGGTTAGTTTATATATTTCCTGGATACTATATGTCAGGGGACGGTGCTAAGAGAGATAAAGTTAGTTCATATGGATGAGTAGGACGGAGCTAAGAGAGATAAAGTTAGTTCATATATTTCCTGGATACTACATGTCCCGGGGACGGAGCTAAGAAAGATAAAGTTAGTTCATATATTTCCTGGATACTACATGTCAGGGGATGGAGCCAAGAGAGATAAGGTTAGTTCATATGGATGAGTAGGACGTTGGAAAACAAAAAAGATTTTTTTAAATCGAATTTTTGCAGAAAAAAAAATTCGAATTTTGTTAAGCCTATGTGACCCCCGAGGTATTCAAAAAATTCAGCCCATTTGGGCGAGTCGTTTGGCCAGCTAAAGCTAACATACAAACAAATATATTAGAGCGAAGAGCTTTATTTTATAGATTGTTCATGACGGATATATCTGGATAACAGGAATGATTGATGATATATTGTTTAGGACGGATATATCTGGATAACAGTACGGATTGATGATATATTGTTTAGGACGGATATATCTGGGTAACAGGACGGATTGATGATATATTGTTTTGGACGGATATATCTGGATAACAGGACGGATTGATGATAAATTGTTTAGGACGTATATATCTGGATAACAGGACGGATTAATGATACATTGTTTAGGACGGATATATCTGGATAACAGGACGGATTGATGATATATTGTTTAAGACAGAATATCTCGATAACAGGACGGATTGATGATACATTTTTTAGGACGGATACATCTGGATAACAGGACGGATTAATGATATATTGTTTAGGACGGATATATTTGGATAATAGGACGGATTGATGATATATTGTTTAGGACGGATATATCTGGATAACAGGACGGATTAATGATATATTGTTTAGGGCGGATATATCTGGATAACAGTACGGACTGATGATATATTGTTTAGGATGGATATATCTGGATAACATGACGGATTGATGATATATATTTTAGGGCGGATATATCTGGATAACAGAACAGATTGATGATATATTGTTCAGGACGGATATATCTGGATAACAGGACGGATTAATGATATATTGTTTTGGACGGATATATCTGGATAACAGGACGGATTGATGATATATTGTTCAGGAAGGATATATCTGGATAACAGTACGGATAAATGATATATTGTTTAGGATATATCTGGATAACATGACGGATTGATGATATATATTTTAGGGCGGATATATCTGGATAACAGAACAGATTGATGATATATTGTTCAGGACGGATATATCTGGATAACAGGACGGATAAATGATATATTGTTTAGGACGGATATATCTGGATAACAGGACGGATTGATGATATGTTGAACTGCTCTGGTCATCTTATGTCAACTGCTCAGGTATATTTAGATTCTCAAGCTGTCCTTTTCTCTTATATTTCCAGTGGCGGTTACTAATAATCTTATATTTAAAAAAAGACAATTTTCTTGCTTTTTTGTTCAGGAGTATTGAGTGGAAGGTTTTTTTGTAAATAACACTAGATTTTAAATGTGATGCCATCTAATTTCTTGACAATATTGGGATGGGGGGGGGGGCTGTATCTGTCTGCACCCTTTTACAATGTACAGGGTGCCCAGACCCACATCAAATTGAATTAAGGAAAAAATGTTTCATGAATAACGATGTTTCATGTAGAAATATTTATCTACACGGAAATGTCTAAGGTGCTTAATAGATAGTCATTTATCAAATCTCGGTTAAACATCGTCATCTATTGAATACACGAGCTCCTGGTATAATTCAGTATGATGTGGGACACCCTGTACATTTTTTATATTGTTAGATTGAGAGTGTGTTAGTGGAACATTCTTTAGTAGCAGAAGCTGCAGTAGTGCCTATACCTCATCTCATTAAGGTATTTTTCATTCTTCTGTCTTTACTCAGGATTATCAGGGGCGTACAGGAGGCTAAGCCTAGGTAGGTGAAGTTCTTTATGGTTCACCAGTCACCACCCTAGCAGTCGTAGTTCACCCCCCAAAATAAACGGTATTTAGAAAAAAAAGAGTTCCGTTTTAAACTCCATATTAACCCTATAAAAGCACAAATTTTAAATCCATTTTTCAAGGGCTTTTCAAAAATGTAATTTTTAGATCTGTAGTTTAATTAACCTAAGTTTATGGGCTATCTTTTGTTTACACAGACCAACCTTTTTTTACTGCCTGCACCCTACCCTATGCATTTCAAAGAAAAAAAATCGGAATCCTTTCAAGTACTATTCCTTACCCTATCACGGTTCGGTGGGTGTTTTCCACCCCACCTTGTTTTTTTTCTAAATCTATATATAAATTTGGCTTGTCTGTTTGTTTGTTTGTCTGTCTGTCTGTCTGTTTGTATCCAATAAACGTCAAAACGGCTGAACCGATCGGGCCCAAATTTTTTGTGGAACATCTAGGGACCCCACGGAAGGTTTATGAAAAATCAAAATTTCAACTATTTGTCTCCATCAAAATTCGATCGTCATTAAATTTTTAAAAATTTTGAAAATCCTCGAAATTTTTTGTGAAAATCCGCGAATTATTTTTGTTTTGTTTTACGATGTACACAACTAATTTAGAAGATGGGCGCGAAGCGCCCTCTAAGGCTAGTAACCTAAAAACAGCTGACATTAAAACGCTAAAAACTAAAACTTCTTTACTTTTTCAACTTCAAAGTTGCGAACAAAATTTGCCAAAAAAATTAATGCCTAGGCCAGACAGTCAAACGGAGGGTCGGTGTTTCAGTAAAATGAGAAGTGGTTAGTAACTTTTTAATTAATTAAGCCACAAACCTAAAATTTATATATTTGTAAAGCCCTTGAAAAATGGATGTAATAACATGTGTCATATGTTTATATTTGTCAAAAGTAAAAGAATAAGGTTTAATTAAGAAATTTTCAATTGATAAGTGAATATAAATGTGAGTTAAATATATTAGGGTTCTGGGGGGGGGGCATGTTTATGGGGTACACAGGATTGTCGCCCCCCCCCCCAGTACGCCCTTGAAGATTATAACAAGTTTAGGCCGTTATTGTTATTTTATTGATCCTTATAACAACCATAACTCCATTCGTTTTAGGGTTGCCATAATAAATAAATAGGGATCTTATTAGAACTATTCCACAAATATAAGGGCCTTATAACAACTATTTCTCAAATAAGTGGGCCAGATGTTTTAACAAATTTTTGGCCATATATTTACCGTTTTACCAATTAATGGGCCTTAAAACTACCATTTCACAAATTTACGAGACTTAAAACATCTGATGCACAATTATATGAATATTACCCTTATAACAACCGTTTTACAAATATGTGGGCCTTATAACAACCATTTCACAAAAATACCAGACTTAAAACATCTGATGCACAATTATATGAATATGACCCTTAAAACAACCGTTTTACAAATATGTGGGCCTTATAACAACCATTTCACAAAAATACCAGACTTAAAACATCTGATGCACATTATATGAATATGACCCTTATAGCAACGTTTTACTGATAAGTGGGCCCAATAACAAGTGTTTCATAAATGTAAGGGCCAATTTATTTAAAATAATAAACAATTTCGGAAATAAGGGAAGTTATGGCACTTTCTTATTTTGTCTCTTTTTGAAATCTTAAAATTTTAAAACTTCTGAATTATAATTTAGGGAGAAGCCCTGTACTGTTTTGTTACAATGATCGACGGAGAAGTTTACACAAAGGAGATTAGAGATCAACTCAAAACTATGATAAGGTTCAAAACTTGATGTGCATATTCATGCAGTAGGACCCATACAACTCTAGAGTAAAAAAACGGCATTTAAGCAATCTTATCTGATGGTTTTATAAAGCATATCGGTTTACAAGTAACTTGAAAATAAACTTATTAAGTGAAATGGTTCTGTGTGTGTATGCTTCGACACGATTACTCTGTTTTATGTTCATTGGAAATGGAATGTTTAACATCTAGTATTCGTTTTCCTATTCAGCAGTTGTATGGGGCCTAATGTATATCAGGGTGTATAAGTTGTACAATATCTTGGAGTTTTTTTTTGCAGTTTAAAATTATTGTCGGCCTTTGATTACGAAAAAAAACAATAGATGAGAATTTAGGCCTCCCTATGTTACGGTGAGTATTTATAAAGGTTTGACTGCATAGTGCTTTGGAAGAAGTGTTAATATAAATATTTTTTGTTGAAAGCTAAACATTTCTTTAATGTTCAAGAAAGGAAAGAATAATAATAAATATTTTCACTAATTGGATATTTAATACAGGGAGAAGATTGCTCCGTTTGCAACACCAGACTATATTCAGGAGGCGCCAGGTCTTCCTAAAACCAGGTTATTATTTGGTTTGGTTTTTACCACCACATGCCCAGATATTTGGTTTGGTTTATGCAACACGTTTAATTCCCAGCCACGTGATCAGGTATTTGGTTTGTTTAAGCAATACGTTCAACTTCAAACCACGTGACCAGATTTTTTGTGACATATGGCTCAAATTTGGTCGTGTGTCCGGCATTAGGCTTAAACTATGTCAGACTGAAAAGCCTTCACCTAGAAGGGATGGTGATGGCATACCCATTACCCACCATAGGCTAAGGAGCTTTTGGACACCTCCCTAGTTTCTTGATATTATATGATATGATATGTAACATGTTTGCCATTAAACAACGTGACCATATATTTGGTTTGGTTCATGCAACACGTTTCCATTAAATTTTCTGACCAGATATTTGGTTTGATTTATGTAACATGTTTAGTGTTTACCATTAAACCACGTGAGCAGATATTTATAATTTTTCAAATCTATTTATTTTTCAAAAAGTACACAAACAACAAAAATAAACTCTATATATATATCAAAAAATATTTACATTCTGATTTTCTGATTTTAATAAATGTGTAGACGAACACAACAATTAACTGTAGCAGCAAAGATTAATAAAATAAAAGAACAGTGTTAAACTGAGTATGCAGTGTTGTGGACAAATTCTTAAGAATTTATTTGAGACATTTAAAAAGTTTCCACGATGTAATTACTGAGTTTAGAGTGCATAGTCGACGTTCAAAATCATGAATTTTTCAGAATCGGTTTTTTAATGTATTGAATAACGACGACGAAAAAAAAATTTAAATTATACAGTAAACTAATTAGATGGTTATGAACATATTTCTGAAAAGAAATTTGTCAATAAATCAGTGCTAGAAATAATTATTTTGTTTTCATCATTATATTGAGTTTCTAATTTTCTATGAATTTATTCGCAGATTTCTGCAAATTCTTCAAATGTCGTCTTTTAAAAAAAAACTAGAAAATCTGTTGAAAATCTTTGTGAATAATGAAAAGTTATAGAAACTAATAATTGATTAAGATTTCTTATTTTCGATGATAAGATTAATTTTTATTTTCTCAACCTGTTCCTAAACAACTAATTAGTTTACTGCAGAATTTTGTTTACATTGTTTGTCGTCGTTATTCAATGATTTAAAAAAACAATTCTGAAAGCTTAAGTACGATTTTGAACTTCGACTTTGCGCTCAAACTCAGGATTTACAGATCTTTAAAAAGTTTTTTTTTGTCTCAAATGAATCATAAAGAATTTGTCCACAACACTGCATATTCAGTTCAACTACCTTACATAGCCGGTCTGTCCCTTTAAATTTCAAAACTGAAAATAAAACTACATTTATTGCATACTTGTTTATTTGCTAGATCCGGAAAGATAATGAGACGAGTGTTGAAGAAGATTGCAAATGATGAAACTGATCTCGGAGATATTAGTACCATGGCGGACAGCACAGTTGTTGAGGTTAGTGTAGTTTCATTTTATGTTTGTCAGGACTGGGTGCGATTAGGACTTCCCCCCCCCCCCCAAGCAGCTCCAGAGGGTGCAAAAAATGTTGCGCTTCGAGCATATTTTGCCCCCCCCCCTTGATTTATTTCTGTGTCCTTTTTTAAAATGATCGTTTTCAGTTTATCCATTTTTTTAGAATAAAAATATTGCAAAGTTTTTTAAAAGCAAAAATTTTGCGACTTAAGTTTTGAAAGTTTTGTTAAAAATTAAAATTAAAAAAACGATCAATTATCAATACTAGATCTTACACCCTAGCCCTGCCTTTTTATATTACAGTGGTAGGCGATTATATCAATACAATGAAGACGACTTTCGAATTCAATTTTGATTTAAATTAAGCTGTTAAACAGCATTGATACACAAAAACATGAAAGTCAAGAGCATTTATCAATGAAAAAAGCTTCTCTTTGATTACTTGTAAACTTGTAAATCGAAAAAAGCTTGTTAACAATCAATACTTAAATAAAAAAGTCCTCTTCATTGTAGTGATATAATCGCTTACCACCGTAGTAAGTCTCGAAAGTTCACCTTTCTACCCAGAAATTTGCTCATTAATAATAATTTATTTGTTTACAGGTTCTGTTTTCAAAACGTCAGGAAATGCTGGACAGTAAATAAATGGAAAAGATAGCGGCACTAGTACTCGATGATATAGCAAAGTATTAAAAAGAATCAGAATTGTAATTCCGGTAGCTGTTCTTCATATGCAAAATTTATGAGTACAGTACAGTACAGTACAGTACAGTACAGTACAGTACAGTACAGTACAGTACAGTACAGTACAGTACAGTACAGTACAGTACAGTACATACAGTACAGTACAGTACAGTACAGTACAGTACAGTACAGTACAGTACAGTACAGTACAGTACAGTACAGTACAGTACAGTACAGTACAGTACAGTACAGAACAGTCTCAGTCTACACTAATAGACACTCGCAAATATAAATGCAAACTCGGTGTTTTAAATTCGCAGCCTCTTAGCTGTTCTTGCACTTTTGTTTTAGGCATAGTTTTTGCACTGTTTTACAAGATGTTTCTACTTAAACCAACTTTTACAACTTCTTAATGAAGAAAAAATTTAATCCCATTGATACACAAATTATGATAATTTTGTTATTGTTTTTGTTAATTTACTTTTTGTATTTATGTATGATAGAAGTGCTTGTTGTTAAAACTTTAGCTCAATTTGAATAAAAATGCATTTTTCTCGTAAAGTTATTTATATACATAAAAACACCAAAACACTGCGGGTGCCAGAATTTACTGAGATTAAAAGTTTTTTAGTTTTTAAGTTTTAAGTTTTTAAAAATTACTACGTTACTGAAAATTATGAAAATTATGGACATTTTTGTGCTCAAACCCAAAAGCAGGTTCACTGCCAGTTAACATTGTTTTACTCGCATCTTTAGCCTTGAAGTCGGTCGTTGTGCGTTCCAAATTATCAGGGATTTTTACTGTTATCACAAAGGGGGGGGGGCATGAAACGTATTACTCTCCGGAAATTTAAACAGTGTTTAACCATAACTTAGAATTGTCCTAGGAGGCTGAATTTTTGCATGCAAACTCAGAATTATGTATATTACATGCATTTTTTTGGTGTTGAAGAAATCGGAGCAAAAGTGCGCGCCCCCGTGCTTTTTGTGAAAAAAGCGACTTTTTTGACAGTAAATCAATCTTAACTTCATTAATTGCACTTGAACATTTTTCTTGGCACTCTTGAAACAAATATGCGCTAAAAAAATTCACCTCCAAAGGCTTGAATGTCTGCGCGCGCGCGCAATAAAAGAAAATATCTTTAAATACTTATGTACTAAGTTTGGCCTAAGTTAGAATAACAGTTGCATGATATACATCAAACTATAGCAAAATTGGGACAAGGAATTCATTTCCAAGGTCGAAATAGACATTGGAGCATTCTGACCGGCGCGCTAGTAGCCAACTATTACATTATGGGTCATCTTAGTACATGTTTTATGTCGATTTATAGGTAATTTGGCACGAGGAATTCATTTCTGAGGTCAAAATAGATATTCGAGCATTCTTACCTGCGCGCTAGTAGCTAGCAGCTACCTTATGGGTCATCTTCCCACATATTTACATGTTGTATGTCAATTTATAGGTTATTGGGCACGAGGAATTAATTTCTTAGTAAAAAACTTTTGTAATACTGCTCTGATCGACGTGCTAGCAGCCAGCAAGTGACCTACTGGGTCATCCTGCTCGAATATTAAATTTGACCTCAGAAATAATCAATAAACTTTTTCACCTTAAACGCATTACAATAAAGTACGGTGGTAGGTAAATATATCGATATAATGAAGACGACTTTTTTATTTAATTTTTTTGGGTTAGCAAGCTTTTTTCGAATTACAAGTTTAAAAAATAATTCAAGAGAAACTTTTAAAATTTAAGATTGTTTGTGTATCCATGTATCTAAAAGCTTGATATAAATAAAATTTGATATCGAAAGTCGTCTTCGCTGTATGGATATAATCGCATATGACCGCATTAAAGAGAAGAAGAGTAAAATGTTTAATTGGTGAAATTGTCATCAAAAGTCACAGCACAGCTTGCTGAGATAATAACCTATAAATACATTAGAGATTCCCGAATACGATCTGTTCACCAGAAAAAAACTTTTATCCGCATTTAAAGGTTATTTTTCTCTAGAACAATCCGTTTACAGTGGTACCCAGAAAACAGTGGAATAATTGGCGTCTTTTCGTTTAAATTTCAAAATTTTGGAATGGGTTTTTGTACTTCTTTTAGCGAAATATAAAATTCGCAAACGTATGTTTTACAATAAAAGGTTCAATTATTTTTAGCTTGTCTTACACGTACTTCAAAATAAACCTTTTTTTGCAGGAATGATTAAGTTTTATTCAATGTTTAAAGCATACAAATTTTAACAAATTTAGAATTTTGAGAAATTTTGTTTAAAGATTGCTCCATAGTTTGCAGTTGATGGAGCTAGTTGTTCAAGAGCAACCAACTACATAGTTCGTAGTTTATGGAGCAAGTTTTTCAAGAACATTCTGCTCCATAGTTTGGAGTTTATGGAGCTAGTTTTTCAAGAACTACCTACTCCATAGTTTGCATTTTATGAAGCTCGTTGTTCAAGAACTACCTACACCAGAGTTTGCAGTTTATGGAGCTAGTTTTTTAAAAACATTCTGCTCCAAAGTTTGCATTTTAAGGAGCTAATTGTTCAAGAGCAATTTGCTCCAAAGTTTGCAGTTTATGGAGCTAGTTGTTCAAGAACTACCTTCACCATAGTTTGCAGCTTATGGAGCAAGTTGTTCAAGAACTACCTACTCCATAGTTTGCAGTTTATGGAGCTAGTTGTTCAAGAACTACCTTCACCATAGTTTGCAGCTCATGGAGCAAGTTGTTAAAGAGGATTCTGCTCCAAAGCACATTCTGCTCCAAAGCACCCCCTTGTCCAGCAATAACAGCCTTTGGTATCACATGTTCCAGAATATACCCATCCTTTTCCTGGAGACGTAGGAGCACATGTCCCTCGTTTCATGGCACAGAGTTTCGTGATCCTGGAGTAATCAATTAGTTATTAAAGATACCATTCATTTAAAGAGACATTTGTTTGATTCACAACGATACCCTTTCAACTTATGATTAACAAAAAAAATATTTTTATCTTTTAAAAAACAAAGCAAACACCCCATAGAGTTAATAAAATATATTCTTACCTGCATGGAGTTACAGTATTTTTCCAGCAGTATCCACAGTAGGTCGCAGCTCCTTCCAATGTTGTTGTTCCGACACATCGGTCAATAATCTGGTATCCATCTTTAGGTTGGCTAGTAGAGCACACTCCTCCTTTCCCCTGCAGACAAATTACAAATAATAAATAAAATTCATTTTTAGTTCTTTAATTACAAAAATGATGGTATTAAAGGCAAGTTACGTTAACTCATGTCGGATTCACAATGGCTTCCTTCAAAGTTTTGTCTGCATAAATATATTACTGACAAAAATAAAACTATGTTTGGACCAAAAAAGTTACAACTAAAAATAAAAGCGGCATCTTAACAAATATAACCAACCAAAAATACCAGAGCCCGAAATTTAAAAGAGTATCTATCAACGAAACTCTCGAGTTTCCTTTTGGGATCTTAGCATTTGTGTAGATTTTGATTTAAGAGATTCGAAAAAAATGGAGAATATAAAGAAACAAAATAAAATAGTATTCCATAATACAAATATTGATATCCACAAAACTGCCTAACCCCATTCATGAAACCCGGGCTCTATAACTGGTTTTCATAACGATAAACTGTCTCAAGTTTTGGGCTTAGGGGGTGGCAATGTACGCTTGATTAGGTATAGATTATACGGTATTTACATACTATAGCATACATTTAAGAAATCGGGTCTATGTTTCGGTAGGAAGTATAGAGAACGTTTAAGCCACCATATTGATGTTTACAACAAACCTTTGAGTGTGGGGATGCACTGCAGTACAGATTTAGTGCAATTCAAAACTTCATACCATAATCACCATAAACATGAGTCATGGCTCTGTTAAATGTTGTAATGTAAACTATTATACATAAGTTTAAAAAGGAATGGAGTGATCTGAATTTGTCTATTCAATGAAACGTCAGATAATTTAAAACAATTGTTTGATTTGAGGTCTACATAATATACCCCGCGTATTGTTTAACCTATTTGATAGTGTACATTACCAATCTATACACTGTTTTATCTGTGAAAAATATAAACCAGTTATTGACCAGAAATATAATACTTTTTATTCAACACAGTACAATACAGTTTTTCTTCTAATATAACAATTTTTATAAAAAAAGTCACCATAACAGAGTTTTAGTAAATTTTAGTGAATTTTAATCAACTTAATCTCTTCAAAAAATATGTTATTAAGAAACCACAAGTGAAAGTAATCAAATTTCATGTAGAAAAAAATACCTCGTTCATAAATGATTAATTTAAAGCTTAAGTTGGTTATAATTTTTGTTGTTATATTTTTGTGAGACATACTTTTTGGTTTGTTATTTTTTGTCAGTTATATTCTTTATCTTTTTTATATTTTTCCTACATCTCGTTTCTAAGCGTTTAGTTGAGAAAAAAATTGGATTATAACAAAGAGCCTGATGAATTTTATGAGAGAAATGAGAGAAATTATAACTGAAAAAAAACAGATAAAAATAATTCAAAATAAAAAAATATTTACTCTAAATTACCTGAGGCCAGCAAAGTCCAAAGTAAAGTGTTCATCTCTGAATGTTCGGAATTGAATGAAAAATTATTTAAACTTTGTCACTTTAAATACTTTTTACACGGAGGCCCAACTGGCTAATTATCTCAGTACACGTATGTACAATGCGCTGTAATGCCTCATAGGGGCCTCTTAATTCCTGGCATTCATGACAAGTGGCAAGTGTTTAAAAGGATGTAATAAATTAATTTTAGCTTTTACTTTGTATTTTATTTTTTTTTTAAATGCGTTGCATTTTAGAATAACTAGAAATAACTAGCTTATAATGGGTATTTGCCATTTTCTGTTGTGAGCACATGTCCCGTAAAATTCCAAAACAGCGAGAGGGGGATTGTATTTTGTAGATCCAGAAAAATAATTAAATTAGTATTTATTTAGGATTAGGTTAAGTTAAGACACTTTCTGGGCTGAGCGCTGCGTCTTGGACAGGCTAGGGGGCCGAGCGCTGCGGCCATGGG